CATCGGCCACCACCACCTGCAGACGTCTTGCTGGTGGCCATCCTCGACCGCGCCATCGCTCGCCTTTCACCTGCCTCTGCTGGGCAGTACGGTGCCGATGCAGCCCTCTTCCTATCGGTCCTGTAGACAGGCGTATGGGAGCGAACAAGGCTTGCCAAATAGCCTGTCAAAGTGGCAGGCCGGCCAGCTGGTGCGGCACGATACGGTGACCTGCAGCCGCGAGCCCTCTGGCCTGCTCGTTCTTGGCGGCGGTGGCCATCGACGACGGACCGGTGGCTGCCGCGCTGTTGCCGCCGCGGAAGAGGGAGAAGAGAGGCCGGGGGGAGAGGTCGTGCTCGCTTTGGGATCGCGAGCGAGGCAGGCTGGGCATATGCAGGGCTACGTGAGGCCCTCCTACACGGCCTCCTCTGGCCCGCCTGCCCCCGAGAGGCCCACGCCCGGCCTGCTCCTCAGCCTGTCTGCCCTCCGCTGGCCCTGGCCCTGGCCCTGCCTGCTCTGCCCGCCTCTTGGCCCCCCCAACCCGACGCGCTCGGTCCCCCTCCGCTGCCTGCCTGACCTCCTCGCCTTCCTGCCTGCCTCGCCTCCTTCTGACGCAACACCCCCGCCCCATCCCTTCCCCACGGCCATAGCCACAACGACAACGACGACCACCACCACCACCACCAACACCATCCCGACCGTCCCTTCCGCTATCGGCCTAACTGCGACAATATCACCTCGGAACTCGACCATACCTCACGCAAACGGTCGCACTTTGCTCTCTCGCTCAACGCCGCCCTCGTCGCGCACGCTTCACCGCACTCGACCCTCCATCAGACCGCCGTCGGTGCCGCGCTGGCGGACCACATAGATTGCCGATCCGTCTCGCCGGTCGATCGCCTCCTGGCCTTTGGTTGTTGTTGTTGTGTGGTGAGCAAGCCCAGCCCGGCATCCCCTCGACTGCACCACTCACGCGCCCGACGCACTACCGACGCTGGCGGGCGGGCGGCCACCAGCCGGTCCGTGGTCGCTGCCGGGCACAGCTGACCCTTCGACCGTCTTCCTCCTCTTCCAACCCAACTCCAACCCCATCGCGATCTGTCCTGTTTGATGCTGCATGGACCGTCACTACGTCCGCTCTGATCCTGCATACCGCACTTCGCCGCCAACGCGCAACGGCAATATTCTCAATTCGCCCGCCCGCGCTGCCTGGCTGGCCATCGGCCTATTTTTCCCGCCGGCGCTTTTGACTGCTTGCCGCGCCCCGCTTCCACCCGCCCGCGACCCTTGGCTCGCCGCATCTTCTCAACCTCCATCAAACACTCTCCTTTTTTTTCCAATCAACCCCATCACACGCCCCTCACGAACCCGCAGACGACTCCCCCTTGACGACCATCGACTCAGTTTTGCTTGCCCGCACGCCAAGCCTCACCCACCAGCCTCCTCTGCGACTCTTTCAGCCCATTCGCCGCCGTCCAGCGCCTCCGGCAGCCCATCCTCGCGCGCGACGTCAAGGAGCCATCCACGCCTGCCGCGGCATCTCCCGTCGCCCGCTGCATCTCTCTATGCATCCCCGATCGGTCCCGCCTTGATCTCGCCCATCTCGAATCGTTGATCCAGCTCCATAGGGGGACCGGGATCAAACGACTCGGTCGGAGCCAGCCTTCCCGCTCCGTAGAACCATGAGCATCGCTCCCGTGTCAGCCCCTACGTCTGACACGCCCGAGCAAGCCAAACCCGCCAACGCCAATGCCACAGCCACCGCCCCGGCATCCAACGCCAGCACCGCCAACCCTCCCTCACATCCATCCGATGCGGCCGCAAAGTCGCTGCAGAACAGCCCTGTCCCAACTGCCAGCGCTGCATCGACACTGAGCGAAGGCAAGGCAACCGCCGGCGCAGTTCCCGCTCAGCCGGCCCAGGGCCAGGCCGCTGCCGCTGCCGCCGCCACCAGGATCTCGGCTCCATCCGCCGAGCCGCCTTCGATAACGACGCCGGCCACCGAAGCGACACCGCCTCGGAACAGCGTTCAAGGCTCGCCAACTGGAGCCTCCGTGCAGCAGAGCTCGGACACGGTCCCCGCTGGCGTTCCGGCATCCTTGGCCGCATCGCTGCCGCTGGCTTCGGCTCCAGCTCCTGCTCCAGCTCCGGCAGCTACTAAGAAGGATGGAAGCGCATCGCAGGGTCCTGCTGGTGCCCCCTCTACCACGTCTGGCTCGACCCCCAAGGCCACCCCTGCAAAGGCCCGCGCGCCGCGCCAGCCAGGCAAGCAGAAGCGAAGGATCAACCAGGCCGGCTCAAAGGGTGCCGATCTCGCACCGCCTGGTCCTAGCACGGTCGGAGGCACCATCGGCGCCGTTCCGGATCATGCAGTGCCCGCCCTGCTTGGCGCAGGCGGAGGAGGCCGCAAGGTGCTGCCAGACCATGTCATGCCCTTTGTGTTGCCCTCGTCGACGGTGCGGCCAGACTACACTCTCCTCAACACGGCGACGCCCGAGGAGAGGGAAGCTTTCCTCAAAAAGGCCAAGCTCAACAACGGCTCCGGAGCCGGCATCGCCCCGAATCTCCCCCTCGCATCGACCCCAGGTGCAGCGGCCGACCCCTTTGCCGCTAGAGACTCGTCCATGACCCCCGGCCGTTCGGTCTCGCGGCAGATCAAGCAGCCCAGCGTCGAGATGAGCGACTCGTCCGACTCGGACACCTTTAGCTCAATCTCGGACAGCGACGAGGACGAGGAGGAGAGGCTGCAGAGGCGCGAAGAGCGGAAGCGGAAGCGCGAGCCCGCCAACGTCGGGGACAGCCTCGTCCTCCTCCAGTCGCTGCGTCAGTCGCGCCTCTCGCACCTCTCCTCGCTGCTGCCGCCCTTCAGCCAGAAGATGCGCTCCGGCACGATCTACCCAAACGTACTGCCCCTCAGCCTCCTCCATGGTCTCAACCCGCGCGAGCCGCACGTCTTGATCCAGCTCGGGCGCGCCGACATCCAGGTCGGTCCCCACGTCTTCGTCAAGACCAAGTTCTGGGAGGTGCGGCCCGACGTTGAGCTGCCCAACCTTGGCCCGCCCCACGTCGAGAGTTACACCGGGCCCTATGGCGAGACCAAGCGGACCACTGTCACGAGCTGCGTTCCCAAGCTCGAAGCCAAGCCAGAGCGAGTCGCGTTGCCGCTCGAAGCGAAAGCGCCCTCCAGCTCGCCTGTCAAGGCAGGCAAGGCTTCTGCAGCCTCCCAAGCGACGAACAGGATCGGCGCCGGTGCCTCCAGCGACCAGCGACCGTCACCAACTTCAACGGCCAGAACCACCGATGCCAAGTCAACACCCGCCGCCGCAGCAGCAACACCAAAAGCAGCCGTAACGGCGGGACCTGCTGCCTCGAACGGAACCTCTTCGCCATTCGTCATCGCACCCACACCAACTTCTATGTTGACCAAAGCGAGCTCGGTGCCCGTGCCTGCAACTTCGCCGGCTCCTGCATCCGCGCCTGCGCAAGCTCCACCGGCGACTGCGAAGCCTCTTGCAACGAATGCGCCTCAGCAGTCGGTCAAACCCCCTCTCGCTACTGCTGCTGGCGCATCGACACCCAAGCAGCCCGCAGTGAAATTGGCGGTGCCGGCTGCTGCCCCGCCGAGCCCCGTCAAGCCGGCGACTTCGACGGCGGCGCCTGGTTCCGCCACTGGTGCGGCTGTCAACTCAGCCACGATCGCAAAACCCGTCGCAGCGCCCGTGTCGACCCCTGCGATGGGTGCAATCGCCGGCGCGCCCACGGCGTCCTCGGCGATTGGACCTCGGCCAGTGCAACCGGCGACAGTGCGCCCGGCCGGAGCCCCTCCTGCGACATCAGCGTCGGTGCCAGCCTCTTCGTCTGTCAAGCCGGCTGCTACAGCCCAGAACACGCCAGCGACTGCTCCGGTCGGGGCAGCGGCAACACCACCCAAGACTGCGAGCCAGATCCCGACCGCGACGGTGACGACATCGGCGTCCGTTGCCGGACAGACGACGACGGTTTCACAGCACGTCCAGTTCGCGCCCGCTCGGTTGTCGCCCATCTCGCAGCCATCAACGCAGCAGGCTGCTCAACGGCCCAGCCAGCCAGCGACGTCACAAGCCGCAGCATCGGCCGCACCATCGCCGGTTGCGACCAACAAGGCCAGCGGCGGCAGTAGCGCGCCAGGCCCTGCTCCGGCTCCGTCTGTGGCGAAAGTGGCTCCGGCACCTTTGGCCGGCCGACTCGTCCAACCTCCCGCCGCCACGACTCCTGGCGGCAAGCCTCCCACGGCGACAACGACGTTTGCACCCATAACCGGACCTTCTAGGCCGACGCCGGGCGCCACGGCAGGTCCCAGGCCCTTGCAGCCCACCACGGCACAAGCGAGGCCTCCGGCGTCCGGAGCGCAGCCAGCCATCGACGCCGTGCTTGTTTCGCGTGTCAATGCGACGGCAGCACTCAACCCTGAGCTGCAGCAGCTCTTGCACGTGGCCGCGTCGGGCAAAGCGAACCCTGAGCAGCTCAAGTCGCTTGGTGTGTGGATCCAGGCCATCACTGCCCAGCTGCGCGAGGACGAAGCGCGCGCCGCGGCTTCTTCGTCGTCGTCGAACGCGGTAGCCGCCGGCAAGCAGGCTGATGGCGGCGCGGGGGCCGCCGCCGCAAAGGGCAAGGGCAAGGGCAAGGGCAAGGACGGCCCTCCCTCGGCCTCCGAATCCGCTGCCGGCGCTGCCAACGCACAGGCGACCGACAGGCCCAAGAAGGCCAAGAAGCCCAAGCCGGATCCCGAGGAGCTGTCGTCGATCAAAGCAGCCAAGAAGGCGGCCAAGGCCGAGGAGAGGGAGGCCAAGAAGAAGGCGGCCGCCGCTGCCAAGGCCGAAGCCAGGGCCGCCGCCGCTGCCCAGAAGCAGCAACAGCAGCTGCTGTTGCAACAGCAGCAGGAGCAGCAGCAGCGGGAGGAGCACCAGGCCAAGCTGCGGCAGCTGCCTCCCGGCTGGCCCACCGACGGTCCGCCTCGCCCGCCGATCATTGTGGTCGAGTTCCGCGAGAATCCGAGCATGCGGTTCGTGCTTCCGCTGTGGAAGTGCGTCGTGGAGCGCCGGGAGGGCCTCGACCCGGCTTCGATGCCCAAGGTCAAGCGGGAGCGCGGCTTCTTTGACGACTTTATCGAGGACGACGACGACGACGACAGCAGCAATCCGGACGTCAAGGGCATCGAGCCGGAGCTCAAGCTGAGCTTCTTTGTCCCCTCGGTCGGGTCCGACGCTGCCGGGCTGAGCGGCACCAACGAGCTCGAGGAGATTGAGGCCGCCAGGCGAAGGGCCGAAGCCGAGATGACGGCGCAGCAGATGGGCGGTAGGGCCGGCAGCATCGAGGGACTCGCAACGCCGGAGCGCGCAACGGGCGGCACCAACGGGACTGCCAACGCCGCCGCCACTGCTACGAAAGGCGGCGCTGCGGCATCGACCCCGGCGCCGGGGGCCAAGAAGCTGTCAAAGAAGGCGCAGAAGAAGCTCGACGACGAGATCAAGGCGCGCGCCCGCGCCGAGGCCGAGGCGGCCGAGCAGGAGAAGAGGCACGAGCAGTTCCCAGCCACGTGGAGCATCTCGGGCGGCGTCACCGAGAGCATGTGGGAGGCGTTTGGCAGGGTGCCCGGAGCCATCACCAACGCCGTGGTCCGCCCCGTCAAGGCCGAGCCCGAGATTGAGCTGGCGCCGGACGTGGCCGAGTTCCTGGTGCCGGAGATCAAGTACCACCTGCTCGACCAGCCGGAGGAGGAGATCAAGATCCACAAGGAGACGGCCGACTCGTTTGTCGACCTCTACAGCCAGCTGCCCGACCGGCGCTTTGTCATGCCGTGCATCCCGCCGATGCACATTCCCTTTGGTCTCGAGGACCACCTCTCGGACAGGTTCGCCATCCGGCCGCAATTGGTGGCGGCACGGCCCGTGGCCAAGCGCAAGGCGGGTGTCCAGAGCGGCGACCTCGACATGATCTTCACCTTTGGCGGCATCGGCGGCGGCGCTGCGGGCGCAGCCGGGCCGGGCGCGATGGGCGCGATGGGCGGGATCGCGCCTGGCGGCGACGATGTGACCGCCGGCGTCAAGTCCGAAGAGCCGGAGCCGACGCCGAGCAAGCCGCCCAAGCGGAAGCGGCACGTCGCCACCCACAACCCCGACGGCTCGATCAAGAGCTGCGGTGCGTGCGGCAAGACCAAGACGCCGATGTGGCGCCGAGGGCCCAAAGGACCGAGCCAGCTGTGCAACGCGTGCGGCGCGCGGTGGAAGGCGGGCAGGCTGGTGGTGCCAGAGGTAGCGCCCCCGCCCATCATCGAGGCCGACGGCGACAAGGCCAAGGACGACAAGGACAAGGACAAGGACCGGGACAAGACCAAGGCGAAGACCAAGGGGCACGGCAGCCAGGGCGACAATGGAGCCGGCGGCGCGGCTGCAGGCGATGGCAATGGCGCTCCGCTTGCGGCTGGCCACGGCGCCATGAGCGGGGCCGTCTTTATCCCGATGGGCTCGTCGGCGGCGTCCATGTCGATGCCGGCGACGACGTTTGCGCCCGTCACGGGGATCGACATGACGCGGGCGCCGTTTGTCTCGCAAGCGCTGACATCGCCCTTGAGCTCGGCGGCGTACTCGCACTCGCTGCTGTCGATGGATGGTGGGCCGATGCATCTCGACGGCGGCGGCGGCGGCTTTGGCTCGGGTCTGGGCATGGGCGTCGGCGGCCTCTCTGGGCCCTCTGCGCCCGGACCAAGTCCCTTCATCCGATCGCCCAACCCCTTCCCGGGTCAGGAGATGATGCCTGCCTCGGTGGATCCGTCCGTGCTCTTTGGCGGGAGCAGCGGTGGCATCTGAGCGCTAGCGGGTGGGGGTACGCTGGTGTCCACGACGACGAGGAACGACGAGAGGCGATTGCTGTAACACTACCACACACCCGGGCCGACCGCGAGGACGAAGGAAGGCTGGGAGGAGGAGGAGGGGGAGGCGCACGACAGACGAGAGAGCGCGACAGACCGGCCCCAAGGGATGATACAAGAAATCGCCAGTGCCTAGCCACTAGAGCCGTACACGGATGGGCTGTGGTGTGGTGTTGCGGCGGCGAAGGTTGACAAAGGATCTGACCGGGTCGATGATGAGCTCGCACCCACGAGGGCTGCTCGAAGGAAAGAAGCAAGCAAGTAGGCGGCAGCGGATCGTCGGACCCCAGACGCGCTCAGCCAATCCCCGAAGAATGCAGTGTGCCGCCCGCCCGTCCGTCTGCCGCTCGGAATCGGCTTCGTTCGCAGCGCAGCGTGGAGTCGGCAGCGCGGGTACGGGTACGGGTACCTGGCTTGCGAGCAACGAAGGCGGCGCCCTGTGGATGTCCAAGTCGCGCCGAGTGGGAATGTATGGACGCCTCACGCGTGCACATGTCTGGCGATACTGTGCGGCACCTCGTCTTCGGCAGCCGTTGAGATGGGCAGAAGCCAGGCCAGGCAGGGTCAGACGAGGCAGGCAGGGGGGAGACGAGATGCCGACGGATGTCCGAGCACGGCAAGGCCTGGCAGGGCGGTGCAGAAGAGACCGACCGAGCTCGAGTCGTCGGATTGCCCTGTGATGCATGGCCCCTCTCCCGTCCAGGAGGCAACGCAGAGAGAGAGAGGGAAAGAGCCCGAACGGGTGGAGAGTACGCGTGTGAGCGCAGCCAACGAGGGTCGCGGTCGAAGCGAGGCCGAAGGATTTCGCCGTCGGGACTGCGGCGTCGTTTGCTCTCGAGCTGCCTGGCCTGGTCAAGCCGGCCTGCCTTCCGTAACCAGACACAGGGAAGGAGGAGGAACGCCTCAGACAAAGATCAGAAGAAAGGCCAACGTACGTCGGCCGGCATCGTCGAGATCGTGGTTGGAGGGGGTCGGGTCGCACACCGAGACCCAAACCGGCATCGCCGAGCAGATCAGAGCGACGGCGGTGCGAGGTGGCGAGAGAGGGCCCGAGCTGACCTCGGGCGACGCCACCTGCCACGGTGCGCCAGGTCGCGGATACTGCTGGTGGTGCTAGGTGCGTATGTACGTGCTCGCCGGGGCATGTGGTAGGATCGGTCGACGACGCCGAGGCGACAAGCTCAGCCACCCAACCCAGCTTCGAGGGCCGTCGCCGATCGACAGGAGGGTCAGGACGGCAGGCGGCAGGCGACGGGCGGCGGGCGGCTGAAGACGCCGAGCGACCGAGCCAGGCGCTTCGTTGGCGTGCGCGCGGCGGCCCTCTTGGCTTGGGGCGTTGCACCCGGCCTGGCCTGCCTCGGCCAGACACAGAGGCACGCCCGCCAGCTTGCTTGCTTGCTTCTTCTCTGACCCCGGTACGCCGGCTGCAGGCGCATGGTGAGGCAGGGCAGGTCGAAGTGTCGCTGCGCCTCGCCTCGCCTCGCCTTGCCCTGCCCTGGCCTAGCCTGCCCTCTGGCCGCCAAGCCGGACGGGGACGACCCCTCTTTTTTTCCTCGGCCCCCTCGAGGTCAGCTTGCCAGCTCGTGCGCCTGCGCCTGCGCCTGCCCGCCAGGTCAGAGGGCAGCCCAGGCAGGACTCCTAGGTCCGCCTGCCAAGCGCGAGGGGACGCTCGCCTGCTTGCTGGCCCGCAGCCCCCCACCAACGTAACCCACCCAACCCGGGCGTCCGCCGCCACTTACCCAACCATCGCCCCGTCGTTTGACCATCACCACCACCACCCACCCACTCTCACCATCAACCACCAACGACCACCCTCCGACCCCTTCCGACCAACCACCTTCCTTCTCCATCTTCGTGCTGGGATAGAGTCGGGTCCATCGACGACGGCCCTCTGGACTCACGCAGACGACTCCGACACGCTCGTCTCTCGGCTTCCCCTGGTTCCGTCGACTGCCTTTTCTTGACCACACCGTCTCGCTCGCTCAACCTCTAGGTGAGTAGCTGCTGCCTCGTCTCTCGCTTCTCGTCAAGACCAGCAGCGCTCGTCTCGTCGACGACCTCGGCCCATTGGGACGGACGGACCTGGCTGACTTGTTGCGCGACCCCCTTTCTACCTGCAACCACTGCCCCACAGACGAGGAACACTCCGGACCGCATCGCCCGCCATGTCGTACACACGGCCCTCGGACCCCTACATGCACTCAAACGAGTCGCAGTACGATGAGCGCTACCAGCAGGGTGGCTACTCGGACTACCCGGACAAGAGCCCCGGATACGGCGGCTCCAACTCGTACGGCCAGAATGCAGGTGAGTGCGACTAGAGCGTCGACGCCCCTCTGCCCGCTATCCCTGTGTCTTGCACACGCTCGTCACACTGCTGACGCACCGCCATCGGGATTCTACCGCTCGTACCGCAACGGCTCTTCTGTGTCCTTCCCCTGCCGCCCGCCTCGTCCCATTGCACGCGCCAACCCCTAGCAGCCACCAACGCGGCCGCCACCTACTCGTACGCCAAGCCCAAGAAGGGCATGTCCAAGTGGATCAAGTTTGGCATCCCCCTCGCCATCCTGATCATCGCCGGCGCCGTCGTCGGCGGTGTCGTCGGCAGCCGCAGCTCGGGCAGCGATGACGACAGCAGCGGCAGCACCAGCAACCGCTCCAACGTCGGCAAGGGCAGCGACGCCGGCGCCGACTCGGGCACCCTCTCGGCCTCGGCCCAGGCTGCCAAGCAGGGCGGCAACAACCAGCTCTTCTACCAGGGCACCGACGTCTATGGCAACCCCGCGTTTGTCACCAAGCAGGTCGACACCGCGGCGCCCTCCTTCAGCGGACGCCAGCACAACTCGACGTGCTCCGACACCTTCTCGGGCGGCTCGCTCACCAACCTGCGCCCCCACCCGCGCATCATCGCCACAAAGGCCGAGTGGGACTGCCTCGGCGAAAAGATTGCCAACGACGCCTACCTCACCCTCTGGAACCAGACCATCTTCCACAACGCCACCGCCTGGCTCACCGCGCCCGTCACCAACTACTTTGTCGACGGCGGACCGACGGGATCCGGCATTCTCGACGTCAGCCGCGAGGTCCAGATGCGCGTCAAGGCGCTCGCCTACGCCTTCAAGATGTCGGGCGACCAGCGCTACAAGACCCGCCTCTTCCGCGAGCTCAACACGGCCGCCGGCAACTCGGGCGAGTCGAACTGGTCGCAGAACACGATCGGCTGGAACCCGCAGCACTTCCTCGACGTGGCCGAGATGACGTCGGCCTTTGCCATGGCCTACGACTGGCTCCACGACGACTGGTCCCAGGACGAGCGCGACACGATCCTCGGCGCCATTGTCAACCGCGGCCTGGTACCCGGGCAGAACCAGTACGCCACCGGCGACGGATGGTGGAAGACGACCAACAGCGGAAACGGAAATTGGAACTGCGTCTGCAACGGCGGCCTCTTGACGGGCGCGCTCGCCATCCGCGGCGACGGCAACAGCACCGAGAACGGCATCGCCGACAGCATCATCAACTCGGCCGTCCAGAACATGAAGGACAACTGCATGCGCGGCGTCTACACGGACGGCACGTGGTCCGAGACGCCCAACTACTGGTACTTTGGCACCAACGCCCAGGCGCGCGCGCTCAGCACCCTCATCTCGGCCACCGGCAGCGACCAGGGCCTGCAGGCGGTCAACCCGAACTGGTACAAGACGAGCGACTTCCACATGTACGTCACCGGCAACGCCGGCATGTTCTTCTACGGCGACAACGGACCGGGCAAGTTCGCCACCACGGCCAACCAGCTCATGCTCTACTCGAAGCTGTCGGGCGACCCGCGCGGCGCCCTCTTCCAGCGCGACCGTTCCGACGCCTCCTTCGACCCGCTGAGCATGTTCTGGTACGACCCGGCCACCATCGGCGCCTTCTGGAACGGCCTGCCGCTCGACCGCTTCTTTGACAACGACGACGGCGGACAGTGGGCCAGCATGCGCAGCTCGTGGACCGACACCACCGGCGTCTATGTCGGCGTCAAGGCCTCGAACGCGACGGGCCACCAGACCCACGGCGACCTCGACGCGGGCACCTTTGTCGTCGACGCGCTCGGCACGCGCTGGGCGGGCGAGTATGGCAACGGCAACTACCTGTCGCAGGACTACTTCTCCAACGAGACCGACTCCTCGGCGCGATGGACCTACTACCGCAAGGCGACTCAGGGCCAGAACACGCTGGTGCTCAACAACCAGAACCAGGTCGCCAACTGCCTGCCCGTCAACAAGTTTGAGACGACCAACCCCGTCCAGAGCGCCGCGCTCGACTACAAGCCGGGCACCAACGACGTGGCCTACTTTATCAGCGACCTCAGCAGCTGCTACAGCCTCGGCCAGGGCGTCGTCCAGCGCGGCATCCGCATGCTCAACGGCCGCCGCCAGGTCCTCGTCCGCGACGAGATTGCCCAGTCGGGCTCGATCAACAACATCAAGTGGCGCGTCCAGACCAACGGCACCGTCACCCTCTCTTCGGATGGCAAGACGGCCACCCTCAAGCTGAGCAAGATCACCGACGTCAACGCTGGCGTCACTGGCACGCTCAACCTCGACGGCGGCGAAAAGACGATGGTGGTCAAGATCCTGTCGCCGTCCAACGGGCGCTTCACTACCGACGGCCCGCCGGCGACGCGCATCTACGGCCAGCCTGTGGCGTCGCCCCCGCCCGAGGTGTCGGACCAGGAGAACCGGGGCGTTACGGCGCTCCAGATCGAGGTTGACGACACGAGCGCGGCGTCGACAATCGAGGTCGTCTGGCAGCCGCAGTGGAGCGACCTGACCGACGCCGACCGGGCGGACCCCAAGTCGGTCTCGCTCTCGCTCTGGTCGCTGACCAGCCATAACGCCTAGAGCGGGCGGGCATGAACCTGGTCGTCTGTCGTCGAGCGGGGGCCAGAGAGCGAGACGAGCTTGGACCGCCGTCACTCTCGGTGGCCCGCTGCTCTGCGCTTCACCTACACGTCACCATCTCTTCCTTCTTTCTTTCGATTGCACCATTACTCGCCCTAATCGTCCGCAGCCCGTGCGGACCGCATCGCGTATCCGCCCTGGTCGGACGCCCACCATCGTTGCTCGCTCTTTTCGATGCTCCTCTTCCTCTTCCCCCTCCGTGTTTACGACTGCGGTCGGGGGCGAGTCGAGTCCCCGTTCCCTTGCCCTTTTCTTGCCTCCTGTCGTCTATCTATTCGCCCACTCTTTTTCCTCCTCTTCGCTCGTTGCCTGCGGCTCGACAACAGCATGGACAATACGAGACCCGTCCCAGCCAATGCCAGCCCGCCCACCTGCTCGCCCGCCCCCTGGACCATAAGCTGTCTGCGCAGACAGAGTGCATGCTGCCTTTGTTTGCTTGCTCTTGAGCGGCCCGTACGATTGCGCGACTTGCAAGGGATGGAAGGAGAGAGTGAAGGGGGGTGGCCAGCCCGAGAGGCTTGCTCGCCGCCACAGGAAGAGGAATGCCGCAGAAGACGCCGGCGGGCGCGCGCGTGAAAATGTGTGCCTGGCCAAACGAGCGGGGGCGTCAGCGTCAGGCTGCACGCCGGATTGCGGGGAAGAGACCCCCGGGCGAGGAGCAAGCAGGCAGGCCTGGCAAGCAAGCCAGGCAAGCCAGGGCTTGGGGGCAGCGACTTCACTACTCTCGCCGCTGGCCAGATCAGAGCGGCCAGAGCCTGAGCTAACTAACTGCCTTGGCGAGGTGCGGCTCCCTCACTTTTATTCTCTTAAGCCGCCATCAAAGGGGCCGGGGCGCCATCTCCTCTCTACCTCTTTGGTCGCCACAATCCACGCATCCTTCGTCCTCGACGCTCACAGTCGCTCCATCAGGCAGCACTCGTCAAGCAGCCATCACCGGTAGACCCTCGCCTCTCTCCCTCTCTCTCCACACCATCATCCTCCAGCCTCCCCGAACGGCCCCGCGCTCGCAATGGCCCCCGAACCGTGCAAGCAGCCGGCGCTGACGCCAAAGTACCACGACGTCGTCATCGTCGGCGCGGGCGTCAGCGGCATCTGCATGGCCTGCCAGCTGCGCCGCAAGTACAACATCACCGACGTAAAGATTCTCGACAAGCTCGACGGCATGGCCGGCACCTGGAAGGTCAACACCTACCCGGGCTGCGGCTGCGACGTCCCCGCGCCCGTCTACTCGTACTCGTTTGCCCAAAAGGGCGACTGGTCCACCTTCTACCCAAAGCAGGACGAGCTCCGCCGCTACTTTGAGACGGTCGCCGCCCAGCACGACCTCGGACCCGCGTTCCACTTCAAGACCGTCGTCCGCGAGAGCCGCTTCGACGTCGACACGGGCCTCTGGCACGTCTGGACAGAGGACCTCGACGGAGACAAGCAGACGCACCACTACGTCTGCAAGCTCCTCGTCTCGGCCGTCGGCGGCCTCTCGGAGCCCAACAAGTGCGACATCGAGGGGCACGAGACCTTCAAGGGCCCGCTCTTCCACTCGGCCCGCTGGGACCACTCGGTCCAGACCGACGGCAAGGACGTCGTCGTCGTGGGCAATGGGTGCTCGGCCACCCAGTTTGTCCCCGAGATTGCAAGGGGTGCAAAGTCGGTGACGCAGTTTGTCCGCAGCAAGCACTGGTACGCGCCCGTGCCCAAGAATCCCTTCGACAAGGTTCCCGGCTGGCGCTGGCTCGTCCGCCACGTGCCCGCCATTCGCGCGCTGCAGCGCTTCCTGATCTGGGTGGTGCTCGAGTCGCACTTTAGCCTCCTCTTCCTCAACCCGTACGGCGCCTTTAAGCGGTGGCGGTGGGCGCGGCTGTGCATCGCCCACGCCAAAAAGATGGCGCCCAAGGAGTACTGGACCACGCTCATCCCCAAGCCCGACGAGGTCGTCGTGGGCTGCAAGCGGCGCATCCTCGACAACAAGTACCTGCCCAGCCTCAAGCTGCCGCACGTGCGCCTCGAGACGTCGAAGCTGGTGCGCATCGAAGAGTCGCACGTCGTCTGCGCCGACGGCCGCCGCATCGAGGCCGACGTCATCATCCTCGCCAACGGCTTCAACACCCAGGCCGCCGGCTTCCCCATGCGCATCGTCGGCGCCGAGCGCGAGATGCGCGAGCACTGGAACCGCTTCGGCGGCGGCGGCCCGCTCAACTACCGCTCCAGCCTCAACGCCGGCTTCCCCAACCTGGGCAGCCTCAACGCCGCCAACTCGGCCACGGGCCACATGTCGGTCATTTTCACGTCCGAGTGCCAGGTCCTCTACTTGCTCGAGGTGGCCAAGCCCGTGCTGGCCGCCGCCCGGCCCGCCCAGGCGGCCATCGACCACATGCCGGGCACGCCCGCCTCGGACGAGGTGCGCCGCGCAAAGATCCCCACGTTTGAGGTCAAGCTGCAGGCCGAGCTCGACGAGCAGCACTGGATCGCCAAGGCCATGTCCAAGCTCGTCTTCACCACGGGCTGCGGCTCGTGGTACGTCGACCAGACCAGCGGCCGCGTCACGGCGCTCCACCCAGACTGGCAGTGGAAGTTCATGATCCGCTCCCTCTTCCCGAAATGGTCCGACATCGCCTACACCGGCCTGCGCAACGGCAAGTCGCACCCCGACGGCGTGCCGTGGTGGAAGCTCGTCGGTGACCGCATCGGCCTCGGACACACGCCCTACGTCTCGCCGAAGGAGACGCCCCAGATTGACCGCAAGAGCATGGGCGCGTGACGTCGTGTCTGTCGCTCCCGTCGGAAGGTCCCGACGACGCCCGGCCGCTGCGGTTCTCCCCTTGTTTATTCATTTCGATAGATCCCAACGACGACCAAGCAGTGATTGGCAGCAGCAGCAGCAGGCTCCAGGATGAAGAGGATAGACGGACAGCGCAGCAGAGCAGCAAGCTAGCGGTCATGGGAAAGCTTCCGCGCAGCTCGTCGAAGGCGGCATCTTAGCCGTAGCTTCCCATCTCTGTGCAGACGACGGACGAGGAGCAGAAGAGGGCGACGAGCGTCGCGTTGTCAGCCACGACCCTCTCTATCCCGTCCACCTGGCACCTTGTCTCCGACTCACGGTTGCCGCTCTTGGGCTTGGAGATCTTGGAGATATTCTTGCGCAGGATGTCGAGCACGACGGCGTACATGTTGCGCGTGTCGGTGAGCTGCATGTTGGCGCGGTAGACGCTCTTGCGGTCGTGCTCGCGGAGGGCGAGGGCGTAGTCCTCGACGCCCGGGTAGCGCACCATCTTGGCGGCCAGATCGCCGCGCACCGTCAGGGTGGAAAAGGGCGTGGCGAGGAGGTTGTAGGCGCTGTCCTGGGTGCGGACCACCTCGTTGAGCGCCTCTTCCTGCACCGAGACGCCAAACGTGTCGCCGTCCTCGATGCGCGGGATGAGGAGGTTGATAAACATCTTGAGGTCGTCCATGCTGGTGGCGGAGAGGGCACACAAGGGGCGGACGAACGGTCAGCAGCCAGCTCGCGTCCTGGACGTCTGGCGGCGGAGGACTTACAGGACGATCATCTCGTCCCATTCCGCCCGCAGATCATCGTAGACCCTCTCGAGGTACTCTGAAGCCTTGACGTTGCCGGTATACACCGTGGCCTCCTCCGGGGTGGCGCCGGTAGCAACACCGTTGGCATCGGCCGTCTTTCTCTTCTTTGACGAAGACGAAGCAGCCGCATCGTCGGCGGCAGCAGGGTGATGGACAGTAGTATCGGTCGCGATGGCGTCCGGATGGAAGTAGTGGTGCTTGGAGAGGAGGTCAGTCTTGTCGGCCTGGGCCTTTGCGATCTTCTGGTTGAGGAAGAGGACCTTTTCCGGGATCGTCTTTTGGATGATGGTGATGGCCTTGGTGCGCACCGACTCGTGCCACTCCTCGAGCTGAGACAGAGTGTCTGGCTCAAAGTTGAGCCGTACCTCTGCCGTCATGGCTGCCGGGCGCGGGTGAGTATTGCGGTCGAGAGAAGGCGGTTGGTGCTGTGGTGGTGGTGGTGGTGGTGGAAGGGTTCGAGGAGGCGAAGGCGACAAGGTGATGACGCTGCTCAGCCTCACTTTGCCTGGCCGCCCATGCTTGGTTCGGCCTTCGGAGATTGGCAGCTTCTTTTTCGAGCCCGATGCCGATCCACGCCACGCCACGCACGCACGGTTCAGCGACAGCGGACCCTGAGGGGCCTCCCCGCCATGCATCGAGCTGGCTGGCCACCTCCTCCTCCTCTTCCACCAAGCCCGCATTCCCCTTCTGCCACTCTCCAAGCACTGCAAGCCCACCTTCACTCACCGTCATCGCCCTTCTTGACTCGCATACCCTCCCTACATTGGCCCAGACAGGAGCCGGATAGAGCAACCACGAAAGGGGCCCAGGCTGGCCCTCCCTGGCACTCCTCATCCGCGCAATGACGGCTGCCGCCCTCGACTTTGACGAGGCCGTCTTGCTCAAGACCTACAGCCTCGACACCCTCGAACCCTCGACATGGCACGTTTCAGACCAGGATGACGGCGGCAACCGCGGCAACTCGGCCACGAGCGTCGCAGACGAGCCCGACCCGCTCGGCCTCCGCCCCACCATGGCCTCCTTCCGCAGCCTCAGCAAGGACACAAAGACGCAGATCTCCCTCTCGAGCAAGACCTTCGATCCAAAGGTCTTCCTCAGCACCGTTCATCCGGACGCCACTTTCGCCGACCTCTCCCACGGCGTCACCCACCTCAAGCAGAGCATCGACCAGCGCTCCGAGGCGCTCAAGGTGCTCGTCGAGGACAACTTTGACCGCTTCGTCGCCGTCAAGGCCACCACCGACGGCGTCTACCGCGAGATGCGCGAGAGCGACGAGGGACCCCTCCACGACGACGCAGACTACGGCACAAAGCAGCTCAAGCACATCCTCGCCCAGGCCAGCGCCAAGGCAGACCAGGTCTTTATGCCCGTGCTCGAAAACAACCTCAAGACTGTCAAGCTGCGCAGCACTCTCGGAGTCTTTGAGCGCTCCAAATTCTTTTTCAACCTGCCGGGGAGCCTCAGCGACTCGGTGGAGCTGGGCAGGTACGACGTGGCGCTACGAGACTACAAGAAGGGCAAGTACCTCCTCGACAGCCGGCCGGGCCAGCTGCTCGCCTTCAACACCGCCGCGGGCCAGGCTGGCAGCACCGACCCTTCGGCCGCAGGCTCGGCCAAGCAGCAGGCGCAGCAGCGCAGGGTGTTTTCCAAGGTGTGGGACGCCGTCGAGGCGACCATGAAGGAGATGCAGTCTCGGCTGTTGGCCCAGCTGCGGGAGCCCAAGCGCAGCGTCGAGGACCAGGAAAAGACGATTGAGGTGCTGCTCGAGCTCGACCCCAACGACGACCCCGTCTCCGTCTACCTCGAGTCGCAGCGCAACCACATCCGGTCGCTGATGCGCAAGGCGTACGACTCCAACGTCGCAAAGGTCGACGCGGTGCAGTCCGTGGGGCGCCTGGTGTCGCGCTCTCAGAAGGATCGCGCGCGCGACCTGCAAAAGTGCGTCGGCCTCGTGCGCACCGGTGCCTCCTTCGACCGGGCCATCGGCGCAGACGGCTGGAAGGCCATCCACGAGCTCGTCCGCAGTGTCTCCGAGACCATTGTGGGCACGCTGCCTGGCTTCTGGCGCGTGGCCAAGAACCACATGGAGGGCAAGTTCACAAAGGGCAAGTCGAGCTCCGCCGCCGCGTCATCGTCGTCGGGGGCCGGCGGCGGCAACGGCTCGGATCGCATCTTTGCCCAGTCAAAGGCCTGGGCGACCGAGGCGCTCGAGGCCTACATCTCTCTCCTTTCGCACTTTTTCACCCTGACTGATGTGTCCATCTTGGCGCGCCAGCCGCTCTCGCCGCTGCCGGACTGGGTGCCCGTGGGCTCATGCTCAGCGACGTCGGCCTTCTACATGCGGGCGATCCTGAGCGAACTGATCGAGGCCGTCAATGATCTTGCGGTGCTGGGCATCACGAGCAGCAGCAGCCTCAAGGGCCTCCTCGCCAACGCCCGCTTCAGATTCACCGAGGTGCTCTGCCACCAGTGGCAAGAGGACGCCAAGATCTTCTACCTGCTAGAGGACTGGACGCCCAACACCGAGGAGCAGGCGACGACGCTCTACCTGCGCGACATGGCGGCGTTCCACAAGAGCAACGCTCGGCAAGCCTATCACATCGCCGGCGGGCGTGACACGTCGCTCGACATCGGTGGCGCTGGCTCGAGCAGCGGCAGCGGCGGCGGCGGCGCGGGACGTTCGCGCGATCTGGCGGTGCCGTCCGAGTTCACCGGGCGGATCAAGGCGGCGTTCCTGGATGCCATCTACGCCTTCCTCGACGGGCTCATACAGCTGGCCTTTTCCGAATACGACCCGCTGGACCCGGCCACGTCGACGAGCCAGAAGGTCATTGGCGACTCGAAGCTCATGGTCGATGTGCGCGACCTCGACACGCGCATCCTGCTCAGCGTGACCAACCTCACGCACCTCAGCAAGACGATTGTGCCCAACCTCGTCAATCAGTTCCAGGACGCCTACCGCGTCAAGATGGCGGATGATCTGAAGGTGAGTGGCCGACCATCGTCGCCCTGCTGAGAGGAGGAGCGTGGCGAGGCGGGATGGCCATTCGGCCCTGGAAGCGCTGGCTCGAGACTGACCCTCCTCATTTTTACCAATAATCCCCGTCCCATGTGTGCAGACGATCGACGAGGTGGCGCACCAGCTCGACGGCATCCTCTTCTCCGACTTCCTACGGCGCAAGTCGGCGCTCATCACGCAGACGCTGCGCAACGGCATCCTGTCGTCGGGCATCAACTGGCAGACGATCCCCAAGCCGTCGGGCGTGCACCCGTTCATCTACGAGTCGCTGCTGCTCCTCGTCCAGATCCACGCCCAGGTGCGCGCCGTGACCAAGCCGCTCGTGACGCGCACGATCCTGTCGCTGGTCGAGGACCTGGCCAACGAGACGCTCGAGTGCTTTGGGCGCATCCCGCGCTTCGGCATGGGCGGCATGCTCCAGGCCACGCTCGAAATCGAGTTTATCCACCAGACCATGGCGCAGTACATCAGCGAAGACGCCGACAAGACGCTCAAAAGGGTCTACGAGACCATCAGCCAAAAGTACCAGCGCGCCGGAGCGGCGGCCGGAGGTGGTGCCGACGAGGCCGAGACGCTCAAGCGCGAGCTCGAGAGGGTCAAGAGGGCCCTCATGGATAGCCGCAAGGCGACGGCGCTCGAGTTTCTCTGCTTCCGCAAGGCCCGGCCGAGGGAGAGGGACAGGGAGAGGGACAAGGAGAGGGAAAAGGGCAGCGACGCCGCCACCGCCGGCGCTGCTGCTGCTGCTGCTGCCAGTGGCGGAAGCGGTGCGGCGGCGGGAGAGAGGGCGAGAGAGGAGCGGAGGTGACGGCGCTGCCGTGCTGCCATGTTCATCCCAACTGCCTGCCCGCTGGGCATCAAGCATGTCGCCGCCAAATCGATCGAGGCTGGAGAGATCGTCGCCGTCTGGCCGTATCTCCGAGTGCAGGATGAAGGCCCCGTCCGGTCCGGAAAGCCCAACGTACGAGGGCACGGGAATGCAGGCCGAGCCGAGCGCCCGCCAAAGGGGCATGAGCAGGATGGAACGGTGGGGGATCTGAGAAGAGATACTGTTACAACGATTCCCCTTCTTGGTGTCGGCTTGAAAGATGCGTGGTGGGTGGGTCGGATTGCGAGTGAGGAGAGAGAGAGGTGGTGGTGAGGCAGGCGAAAAGGCCGGGGTCGTTCTCGGACGAGGAGCGACGTCTCGAAGGCGAGGAGATAGGCGGAGAGCGGCGGAGGAGGCTAGGTGGCGGGCCCAAAGTCTAGGATGAGAGCGCGGGAGTCGAGGTGTTGGTGATGGCTGCCGAGCCGCCGCCGATAGTCTGTGTGTCCGGACTGCAGCGAGGGAGGAGGGCGAAGGCGGGAGGAGAGATGGGATGGATATCAGCTCAGCCTGTCCAGGTGGCGTCTCTGGGTCGCAACCGGCGGAAGCGAAGGCGGCAGACGCAGGACGAAGGGAAGCGGACGACGAGCCACTCACATGATGGGGGCGACCTGCTTGTTGTTCTCGGCCATCATCCGCTGCATGAGCACGCCGACACCTTCGAAGACGCCTAGCAGGATACCGCACATGATGCCCGAACCAATGGCGGTTTTTGGTCCCGCTGGTGGCGTGGCGAGGCGAGACGAGGAGCGCGGCGATGAGAGCGGCGGGCCAAAGCAAGGGTCAGCCACCTCTGTCCTTGCGACGCTTGCCTCGCATCGTCCGGAGAGAGAAAAGCATGACACCATCGCCAGACCCGTGCAGGCAGCAGGCAGCGGCGGACGAGAGGGGCGGGTTTTGGTCGTGTACTCACATCGGATGGCCAGGCCTCCGCCCGTCATGAAGCCGGCGATGATGGCGTTCCACGGGTCCTCCTTCTGCCTTATCCCTTTGACGGCGCAGTCAAATGACGAGAACATGCCTCCCCAAACGCCAAAGTTGCCACCGAGCACGGGCGCCCTCGCCTTGATGGCCGCCAGCGAGCCGGGCAACCTCTCGCCCTACACATATTCCGGCGCCGCAGAAAGAGGAAAAGGGCAATGATGGATGAGGAGGGAACAGGTCGAGTCAGCTTCCGCACAGGACATCTCCGAAGTGCGATGATCTCGGCCGATCCGGAGAATTCAGAGGCGGGGGAGGAGTACGCACGCGAGGCGAGTTGCGGGCACCCTTGATGCCGTGCCAGATGGTGCCGCCGACGGCGCCCATGGCAAAGGCACCTCCAAAGTCGTTGAGGATGACCCAGGGACATGGATCTCTTGTGTGATCGGCGTGCGACATGGCTATGTGCGGTCCGTCGACAAGGGCGGCGATGGGATTTCGAGACCCTGACTAGCGGGTTGACAGCTGGGTTCGGGCAAGCCACGCGGGGAGATAGCGTGCGTGCGAGGATCGGCTCGGACCTTCTAGCGAGAGGAGGCAGTGCTGGACCTGGCAGTGGTGAAGGCGAGGACGACGGCGGTGGCGATGGCGGTGTTTGGCGTGGGTGGTGGTGGTGGCAGTGGTGGTGATGATGACGACGCGGTCGGGTGACGGTGGATGGGATCGCGGGTGGTTGCGGGAAGAACGTGGATGACGGTAAGACGCTGCTCGAGCTGCAAGCGGCGGTTGGCAGGTCTCAGCAGCTCTAGCCAACGAGGCTGCTGGCTGCCTGGAGGCCCGCCCCCAACCAGTCAGCCCAGCCCGCGAGCCTCCTTCTCGCAGCCGGGAAATTTTTGTGACGGGCCAGCCAGCCTAGGCCCCCCCGGCCATCCTCTTCCTTTTCCTTCCTTCCGATCCCCGCGCCCCTCCCTCTATCGCGCGAGAAGTCGACGCGTCTCGAGCTCAACTCCGGAACCGACGCTCGAGCTTCGACCTCTGGAGAGTGTTCTCCTGCCTTGGACCTGGACGTCGACATTCAGGAGGGTCTGTACCACCTTTCAACCCTTCCTGGCTCAGGCACACCGCTGCGGAGCACAAGTGCGGGCAACGTGTTGTTCTTTGCCCGAGACGGATCGCGATGGAGAAGCATGCTATTTGACAGGGGCCGGAGCGGTGCGAGATTATCGGAGGGGGAATCAAAGGGGCGAGTCAAGAGAAGCAGAGAGACAAAAACGAAGGTGTAGGCGACGTCGGTCGCCGAAAACCATGGGGACCATGAGCAAAAAAAGGACAGTGGTGGAGGTGCGCAGAGGCGGCGGGAGAGCGGCTGATGCTGGTGTGGGACGGTGCCAGTCAAAGGCGACTTCTGAAGCCGTCGACGTCGAAGGGATGGATCGTCATCGTTGGCGCACGGCGCCTGCCGAATGCCAACGCGGCCTTCGCTCGACGGTGCTGTCGATGCCGCCCTCGATCGCAGGATATCGGCTCGCCCGCTGCCTGGCAGAACGCGTGCGGGGGCCTTGAGGAGCTGAGGCAGCAAAGGGGAAGGGGCCGTGCTCCGCAAGCCGGCGTACCGGTGGAGAGCTGCAGGCACAACATCGAGGTCATGCCAGGATAGAGGAACTGTTCGTTGTGTTTTGGAGAGAGAGGGGAAAAGGGCTGGGCAGGCACGACAATGGGATGCGCGTCGACAGGGGCTCGACGGGGCGAGAGTGAGAAAAGGAGAGAAATGGGGCGTAACCAGATGGGCGGGTGGGGACGAGAAGATTGGCGCGCCGGCCCGGCTAGCGGAATGTCCTGAGTCTGAAGCCGCTGGCGCAGAGAAGGGGCCAGCTGGCCGGCTTTGGGATGCTCAAGCCCGGAACAAATGCTGGAGGTTGCTGGTGCGGTTCTAGTGGCGGGGCTTGGTTAGGCGAAAGGCGATGCAAGGCGGCGAGGAGCGGGGTGGGTTGGATGGTCGGGTGGCCATCAAGGCCAACAGCATGAGGGTTTTGCGGGGGCGTCTACGGTCTTGGTATCCTGGTGGTCGAAAGTCGGGGCGAAAGGGCCGAGGCGAGGCGAGCACTCGGCAAGAGCAACGACTACTTGCCGCCAAAGTAGCCAGGCGGCGGCGCCTGCTTGTCGAGGTTGCTTGTGCTGCTCCCCGCCGACGCCTCGCCGCCGGGCGCCCGCTGCGGCCTGCGTAGGCGCACCTGGCGGGCGGGCCATCCCGCGTAGACCTGGCCGGCCTCGGCAATCTCTCCAGAGGCCACCAGCGTGTGCTCGAGCAGCATCGAGCGGGGCTCCATGTTGGCTCCCGAAAGCAGTCGACTTCCGGTCCGCATCGCGCAGCCATCGCCGATCCGCAGCTTGTTGAGGCTGAACCTGCCCCTCGAGTTGATGTGCGCGACGACCGAGCAGTCGTCGATCGACACATTGTCGCCCATATAGACGAGCTCCGGCTCCGTCAGCTGCAGCGACGGCTTGCCACCCGCCCAGATGGCGCAGTTCTTGCCGATGTGGGCACCGAGCAGCCGGAGGTACCAGACGACGTAGACGCTCGAAGACAGGTTGCCGAGGATGTGGCCGCCGAAACCCTTGCCGAGAAGCTTCTGCAGGCTGAGATGCAGCTGCCAGCGCTGACAGTAGCTGCTCGAGTCCCAGTCGTACCGGCCTTCGCGACGGCGACCGATGACGGCCCACTTGGTGCCGATAACCCAGGCGAAGGCGAGGATCGCCTGAAGGAAGAGGAGCACGATGAAGGCGATGGCGATGAAGGCGTAGATGAGGCCGGGGCGGTACCAGTGGTCGTCGAAGACGATGAGGCCGGCCTTGCTGTACTCGAACTGGGTGCGGAGGAAGTTGAGCAGCAGCACGGTGCCGACGGCTGCCGTGGCCCAGTAGCCGGACGAGAAGATGGTCATGGCCACGTTGATGACGACGAGCATCAGGTACGGGAAGACGAAGAAGTTGGCCTGGCGCTTGTAGAAGGCGCGTCCAAAGGGAGTGATGGTCTCGTCGTCGCCCCCGACGGTGGCGCCCTCCTTGGTCTCCTTGTTGGCCTTGCCGAAGCTGACCGCCTCGCCGTTCTTGGAGCCCATCCAGACCGAGCCCTCCTCGTAGTGCCCGTTCCTGCGCGCGAGAGCGCCGGAGCCCATGACGCACTGCTTGCCGACAGTGGTTCCGGGAAGAAGGACAACGCGATCGGCAATCATGGCGCCTCGGCCGACGCGGACGCGAGCCCAGCCGATGCTGTCCGAGGTGAAGACTTCGGAACGCGATCCGAACACGACGTCGTCGCCGATCTCGAGCAGCTCCGGGTCAGGGCAATAGATGCCCGAGCCAGGCCAGTAGACACGCTTGCCGACGCGGGCGCCCATCGCACGGTAGATGACCGACGTCATCTCGTAGTGGGTGCCGAGGATGGCCAGCGCGCGGCGGATCTGCGGCTGCGACAGCAGCTGCTGGTTGATCCATCGGCGGAAAAGGGCGAACTGGGTGGCGTTACGCATCGACCCTTCGCGGTTGAGGCCGAAGGCTCGCTTGATGACGATGCCGAGCACGAGGTTGATGAGCGGCGGCATGCCGTTCCTTACGATGCGCGCCACGTAGTGCCAGCCGACACGCTTGGGGAATGCGAACCACGCGATGACGCCCTTGACGCTGTCGTGGTGGTTGAACTCGAACGGCTGCGAGAGGAGCATGAAGAGCGACGCGAACCACGGGACGTAGCAGATGAACTTGACGACGAAGACGAGCGGGTAGCCGAAGAAGAAGATGAGCGCCCAGTGAGGCTGCGGCACCGTGGTGCGGTTGAAGGCGGCGTAGGCGTCCGACGAAGGCTCCTCGTGCGACGACGACTGCGGTCCCCAGACGGTGCCGTCGGCCAGGCGGGCGCCGGGCGAGATCTGGGTAAAGGTGTTGACGACACAGTCGCGGCCGACGATGATGGGCTCGAGGCGGAAGTAGCCGTCGCGCTCGACGCAGAAGCCGCGCAGCAGGCACTTGTCGATCCGCGCCCCGTCGTGGATCGTGATGAGGTCGTACTCTGCGATCTTGGCGTGCTGGTCAATCATGACGTCGGAACCGATCGACATGCCCAGCAGGCGGAAGTACATCTTCTGCAGGCCGGGAGTCAGCGCGAACAGGCCCTTGCCGGCCGTCTTGAGAGACTGGTTGACGATCCACCACCGCAGGTGGTAGTTGCACCACATGGGGTACTTGCCCGGGCGGTACCTTCCGATGACGATCCACTTGAAGGCGATGGCGGTGACGGGGCAGATAATCCGGCTGGTGAAGCGGGCGACGGCGATCGAGGCGAGCAGCGCGCCCACCCGCTCCCAGAAGACGTCGCGGATGTAGAAGGCGGAGAAGGCAAGACCGTGAAGGATGACGGTCCACGTCCAGGCCGCCTTGAGCGGGTAGAAGAAGAGGAACGGGACCAGCTGGATCAGCATGACCCAAGGGTGCGTCTGGCTGCGCGGCTTGTAGCCGTGGCTCTGGTAGGCCGGCTCGTCGTCCTCGTCGTAGCGGTGGGCGCCGTAGCCGGGGCCAGAGCCGCCCTTGTCGTCGTAGCCGTCGAACAGTTCGTCGTCCTCGTCGTCATCGTCGGCACCGGCCTCGTCCTCAATCAGGCTGGCGATGCCGGCGATGGTCGAGTTGTTGAAGAGCGTCGAGACCTCGAGCGAGATGCCCGTGTCTTTGCGGATCAGGTGGACCAGCCGGCCCAGCAGCAGACTGTTGCCACCGAGCAGGAAAAAGTCCGACTCGGCCGTGATGGTGCCAGCCTCGGTGTCGAGCAGCTTGGCGATGATGTCACGCACAATGAGGGCGGTGCGCGACATGGCCGACGCGTTCTGTCGACGCACCTCGTCCTCCATCGTCTCGAAATCGATCTGGCCGTTGACCTTGGCCAAGGGCTGTCGGAAGACGTGGAGCGGGTTGGGGACGACGTAGCCGTGCAGCACCTGGGCGAGCGCCCGATCAATGTCGGCCGCGTCGTAGTCGGCGTCCTCCTCTACCTGGATGAAGGCCTCGGGCGAACCATCCCTGCGCTGGCGCACGGCAGCCTCGATGATGCCGGGGATGCGGTAGCACGCGCGCTCAACTGCCTTGACGTCGACCGAGACGAGGCTGCACGGAATCGGCTCCGAGAGCGGCACCTCCTTGCCCGGCGCCTTGGCCTCAAAGTGTCGCTGCAGCGGCGGCACGTCGTCAGAAAGAGGTCCGATGTTGAGACGGGTGCCGAGCTTGATACGCAGCGGCTTGCCCGCCTGGTTCTTGGGCAGGTCGTCCATGTAGACGGCGGCGAACGGCCACTTTGAGGGGTGCAGATGGGACCGGAGCATGTTCTGCAGCTCGGCCAGTCCGATACGCGGCTGGTTGGGGACGGGAACGATGACGACACCGATCGTCTCCTGAAGCACGGTATGCTCGATCGAGAAGGCAAGGCACTGCTTGACGCGTTCCTTGCACGCCTGTGTGATGGCCTCCTCAACCTCAAAGGGCGAGACGACCTCACCACCCTTGTTGATGATCTCCTTGGATCGGCCGGTGATGTAGAGGTAGCCGTCGGCGTCCATGTGGCCCATATCGCCCGAGTCAAACCAGCCCTCGCTGGAAAAGGCAGAGGTGTCGAGCGGCTCAAACGGATCCGTCGACGTCTCGTAGCCAGAAAAGGTCGGCAACCCGCGCACCGACACGGCACCTGTCTGACCGACGGGCAGCTCCCGCTCACGGTTGAAGGGGTCACGGATGGAGAGGTCGGGGCCGCATGCCACGCCCGAGCAACCGGGGCGGTCCAGCTGGTAGTTGGTGGGCGGCGAGGCGATCGGCATGCACTCCGTCATTCCGTACGAAGGCAGGACGGCGCAGCCGCCAAACGTCTCCTTGAGCTGCACGGCCAGCGAGGGGAGCAGACCACCGGCGGCGTTCGCAATCATCTTGATGCTCGTCTCCTTGGTAGCGTCGACGCCTTCCGGCTTCGAGGCCAGGATGGCGTGGTGCATCGTGGGCGCCGCGTAGTACCACGTCGCGCCGAGCTGCTTGGCCAGCGGCCACCAAGCGTTGGCGTCGAAGCCCGCACACATGATGGCACTGCCCGCCGAGAATACAGGCGCCCATAGGTTGCGGACGATTCCTCCGACGTGAAAGAGGGGCATCATGTTCACTGCACGTCGCGAACAGGTAGCGGGGATGGTAAAAGGTGCCGTAGGTTAGCAAGGGCGGCCAGTGGGCTGCGCATTGCGCTTCATCTCGTCGCATCAACTCACTGTTGACGCTCTCCGGCCGGAGGTCCCAACTGTAGACGACACAGCACGTTCCGACGATCATGTGACGGAGCGAGTAGGGGACGACCTTCTTCTTGCCCGAGGTGCCGGAGGTGTGCAGGACCAGACTCTGGTGCTCGAGCCCGTGCGGCGCCGAGGGGCGCCTCCCGGCGGTGGAAACGATGCCGCTCTGTCCGAGCAGGCCCAGGTCGAAAAGACCAGCGGGCCCGGATCCTCGCGGCTCGACAAAGATGATCTCCATGCCCTCCTCGTCGTGTAGTGCCTGAAGGCCGAGCCGGTCGATGGCGTCCCGAGTTGTCACGACGGCCTTGGCGCGCAGCCGGACCGCATCGTCTCGCAGCTCGCCGGCGGTGCAGCTCGCGTTGACGGGCGCGCAAGTGTGGTAGGCAGCCACCGAGAGGAGCGCAAGAGCGTTCTCGGCGCCGGTCGGCAGGGCCATCATGACGCGGTCGTTGGGGCCGAGGGGAGCCTTGCCGGGCGTGATGGGCATCACAAACGAGCTGACAAACCTCTTGATGGTCTTGTGATCGAGCGGGGGCCTCGCCAGATCCGGCGACCACAGGGCCGGATTTGGCGTCGACGGCAGGCAGTCGATGAGGGTGGTGATACGTCCATTGTCGGTGATGTGCTCTGCCAGGTGATCGCCGAGCGACTTTGTCTTGGGTCGCTGCGGCAGGCTATAGAGGAAGCCCAACGGAAAGTCGGAGCTCATGATGGCGGTGACTATGGATGCGGGCTGGACAGTGATGGCGGTCCGAAGAGGGCTTCCGAGGTCGAGAGGACGCTGAGAAAAGGTGTAGCAAGCGACAGCTTGACGCTGCGTCTAGCGCGATCGACCAACTGCCACGGTGAACTGAAGCACAAACTCGAGATGGGTGCCGGTGTCGGATGGGCGATCGTAGCAGGTCGTCGCGGCTGGAAATATGCAGGTTTCCAGGCGAGCCGCAGTCGATCTCGCACAGGTGGACGAAGCGGTGCGGGTGGCGTCAGATGCTTGGCCGTGCTGGGCTAGAGAATGACGGGTTCGACAGGGACGTCCGGCGACCGAAAGGCTTCGCTGTTTGGCCGAGATGTAGAAAGAGCAACAAGGCGGCCGAAGAAGAGGCAAGTCGTTGAACGAATGAGTAGACGACGAGAGCGAGCAGAGGGAAGGATGGCTGTGGTGAGGATGAGAGCGCGGACGAGAAGGCGTCTGGCGCCGTGGGTCGACGATGGCGAGCTGGAGTGCGACACGCCTATGGGCACGGCGTCTGGTGGCGGATCGAGCGGGTGAGGAGCTGCCCTCGACGCAGCAAGCGAGGGGGAAATGGGATGCCGAGCGGATGCAGCGAGCGGGACGGATGGATGTGGATGGTGACGAGAAGATGGACAACGACGACGAAGGGCAGAGGTGTAGGAGGAGGCGGGCGCGCAGGCTGCGGTGGTCAAACCGAACCCGCTGGGCAGGGAGGTTGGGTCGCTGCTGTTCGGAACGCTACGCTTGCTGAGGCGGAGATGGCAGGGAGGGCGCAGATCGACGGGGGGAGGAGAGGCGAGCCAGGTCTCGATGAGAGGCGTAAGGGCAGCAAGCGGCACAACAGGCAGCAGAGCAACAGCAGGGGCAGCAGCAGGCGATTCTGCAGCAGGGGCAAGGGGGGATGGCAAGCCAGCAGCAGCAGCAGCAGCAGCAGCAGGCAGACTACTCGAGACTAGGCCGGGCAGGCAGGGCAATCGCGCGGTGAGGGGCAGCCAGGCTAACCAGCCAGCTGGCTTGGCTGGCTGGTTGGCTGGTTGGCTGGCCAGCAGGGGGCCAGGCTAGGGGCACCACGTACGGTCGTTGTGGTTTGAACTGGGCCCCCTCGCCTCGCCTCGCCTCGCCTCGGCGACGGAATTCCAAGCCTCAGCCCAAGAGGCAGGCAGGCCCGGCCCCCTCTGCGCCTGCTCTGCACATCAGCCTCCAGCGGCGTTGACCCACACGCAAAATCCACGCGCTCGCCCGCCCGCACCGCCCCGCCCCGCCCCGCCCAGGCTGGTTTGGCACACCTCACAACAGGGCCGCGCCGAGAAAAGAAAAAACCCGCGCGCGCTCGACCGCACGCACGCATCGACCGCCCCCGCCTGCCTCGGACCGACAACTCGACGCCGACGGCACGCAGCCCGCCGCCAGCCAGCCAGCCAGGCAGCCAGGCGCCGCCGAGGGATGGGAGCGTGGGTCCGTCTGCGCCCTTGATGCGAACCGAGGGGCGGTCGACAGGCAACAAGCAAGCAAGAGGCGGCCCATCGGATCGAGCCAGCCAGCAAGATGCGGGAAGACCTCGCGGGCGGCGGGCGGCGGGCGGCGGCGGCCACAATCCGGCCGTCGGTCGCTGTCCTCGACCCTACCCTGCCCGCTCGTCCTTGCCACCAGTCTACGGCCACCATCGCAACCGGGCTCCACCTCTCTGTACAACGTCTGTACAAGAGCGAGATATCGTTGACGGCGCTCGCCACCACATTTGTCCCCTTCAGAAGCGGCAGCCGATGTCTCCTGCCCCCTCATTTGAAGGGCTGTCCCGCCGCTTTTTGGCCTTCCGTTGGGCCGTCGGACGTACTGTACAGTAAGTTACGGGCCAGAGTACCGTAGCTTGGCTGCACTGCGCTGCGACTCGGCGATGCTGCTGCTGTTGCTGCATGTGTGGGTCCGCGCACGCCTCTCATCTACCGAACGCCTGCCTGCTTAGCTGGCTTGCGTGCGGGCTCGCCGGCCAAGCCCCCTACTCTGCTCTGGCCTGCCTCTTCTCTAGCTTAGCTTGTTCTAGCGCGGCCTGGACAGCGGTATCCTCGGCCATCCTAGCCTAGCTAGCCTTCCTGTTTGCCAGGCGCCGGCGTCTTCCCACCTTTTTCCGCGCGAGGCCGAGATGAAAGACCACCTGGGAGACTTCGCGCGTTGTCGACGCCCTCGAGCCGGCCTGTCTACTTCTCTGTGCTTCGATGCTCGTTTCGCCTGGCTGCTTGCCAAGAAGGCGCGGGACGTTTTATCGTTGCTGATGATGGCCGGGAGGAAAAGCCGTCGCTGCTCGAAAGGCTTGCCAACCTCCGAGGGCGGAGCGTCCCGCGTTCGGGCCGACTGGTTTGACACCGCTCGACCTGCTGCACTCAAGACTGCCAGCGGCGAGGCCCCGATGATCATTCGGCCAGGTTGATCGCGACTGTGCTACCGGTAGCTCGGTAAGGCCTCAGCCACATCCATCTCTCGCTCGTCGCCGAAGAAGAGGCGTCGAGGTGGGCACAGTACGTCGCGTGCACTTACCCAGACACCCTAGGGGATGTCGCCGAGAATCTTGGTTCGTTGGTGGGACGGTCAGTCGGCCAGTCGGGGCGGCGCCCGGCGTCGGCGCCATCGTCATCCTGGCCTGGACCGGTGGTGCCTTACTTCGAGCAAGCTGACCGGCCGCGCAGCCTCATCAGAAGAGGTAGAGTATGGTGTAGAATCTTGCGTGCCGGCGTGACCGTCACCGGCAGTCTTCATGCTTTTCGCAAGAGGGCGAGCTGCCTGCCAGCGAGCAGGTGATGGTGACGAGGAGATCTGCTCCGGACCATACCTGTATTGGAGCTGCCACGGCCGAGACCTGCCAGCCTCGTGTCGATCGCCCACGCTCAGAAACCGACAGCCATCGATCGGACCCTGGGCGACAGCTCGCAGATCGACGCAGGTGGCGGTCCAATGGCAAGCGGGCGGAAAAGCGCAAACAGCATGTGTGCCATCTGACATGCGGCAGCGATGGGCTCTCCTGCCTGCTCTTCAGCCGTATCACCGCCCGGCCGATCAGTGCCCATCGACAAACCAGGGGGGAGGACAATGGCGACGGAAAGGTCCAACAGCCAGCAAGCTCGACCCTGCCTTCCGCTCCACAAGCGGCCGGCGGTCTCTTTGCTTGTTTGGCCTTTGACTCGCAGGCATGGGCAGGCGTCGTCGTCGCTTTTTGTTACGCTTCGGCAGAACGGAAGAGGGCGAAACAGCAGCTGGCCCTGCTGTGGGGCCTTTACGTTTGGTGTCGATCTAAAGGCCGAGCGACGCAAGACAGGGGGCGTGGGTCTTGTCTTGGAGGCTGAGGAGTTTTATTCGTGGAAACAGCGCAGCGCGCTACCGCGGCGATGCCCGCTCCTCGAGCTCGTACGCACAGGTAGGCAGGTGTGTACTGCCGCCCCTCTCTCTCTTTCGTGGCACGCGAGCTAAAGGCGCACCCGACGTCGACATTGGCATCGCGGTGCTGTGTAGTCACACGCTATCAACCTGGCCGGTAACTAGCTCTCAGCATCGACGAACGAGCCAGCCTTTCATGGTCGGCGCGTCCCAGATTCTCGGTACGGTCAGGAAAACCTCAGCTTGCCTGGCCGCGCTACCTTGAGGGCAGCAGACGCCGTCGCTCGCCGCCACCGTACCCTTCACAGGTCATGCTCCCTTGGCATGCCGTCTGATCCAACAAGTCCCGCTCGTGATCTCTCGGCACGATTCGCGCAGGCGAGTTTACAGAGTGCGGGCGCAACCGCCTTGGTCACCTCCTCGCGACCTTTGCCGGATCCATGACAAGCCAAAGAGCCGTGCCGCGACGGAGACGCACTCTCGCACCTCTGCGGTGCATCGCACAAGGTCGGGATGGGTCAGGCCTGGCAGGCCTGGCCAGGTCAGAGCAGGCCGCACTCGCTACCGTATCCGCGCTGTGGTACCGGTAGCTCGTCGCTCCGCCTGGCCATTGACGGGTCCGTTACTCTGTGTATTCTTGGCTCTTGCCCGACCAGCTTCATTCATCCTGCTGCTCGTGCCAGCATCGTCGACCTTAGGCAGGCTTCAACACCCGATCCTCGTGTTTTTCTTCCGCGGCTCTGCCCATCTGTGAGCCTCTAGGGTAAGGCGCCCGTCGTCTGCGATAACGCTCGCCAGCAAGAGCGCCTATTCTAAGAACCTCGGACTGCGCCTACCAGCAGTATACGAATGTCTTGGCGCATCGCGACCAGGGCGCACGGCGCCTCGAGTCGGGAAGGTTCCGAGGCAGGCAGGGCGGCGGCGCCAAGCAAACGTCGCCTACTTCTCTTCGAAGCGTCACAGCGTGGTGAGGCGCCTGCGGAAAAGATCTCGTAAATCCAGACGGAAATAAGCCAACGCCGCACCCTCCGCCGTCGCGATGACAGGCGCTCCGAGCCGGACTCTCCTTCCACTCCTTCCTCTTCGCACGGTTCCGTTACGGCAGACGTTGGTATCGCAGACCTGCGTGTCCGCCAGCCCGCAAGTCAACCGCCGCATGCTCTTCAAAGGTGTGCAAGAAGCAATCCCCGCGTGCGTTGAAAAAAAAGCAAAAGAGTAGCTTCGGTCGGTCTCGATCCGACGACCTTTGGGTAACCCACATCGCTTCGAAGTGGAAAGGTGATATGAGCCCAACGCGCTAGTCCGACTGCGCCACAAAGCTCCTTGATGACTGCAGAGCCGACTTTTATTTAAATATACGCTTTCAGTATTTCGCCTATTGGCCTCTTGATTTCCTTCACAGCTGCCGCCGGCTGCCGGCCCAAGGCCAATGACCGGTCCGTGCCAACCAGGTCCCCCTCACCTTCACCCTCGACCCCAATCCTCCTTCGCTCGTCTCAAGTGACCATCCCATCGAGGACAGCTCCCTACCGCCGCTGCCGCTATCCTCCGCCACCACGACAATGACTGCTTCGGACCGCGATCCCCGTCTTGGACCATGGGCGTTTGAGATGGACATCCCGACGCGGTGGCTGGACAACGACCAGTGAGTGCGAGTAGTTCGAAGCGAAGGCGCCTCTCAACCGACACTGCCGTGACTTGACGAGCGTCGCTAATGCTGGCCTTTGTTGGACGCACGCGTTACAGGTACGGCCACCTCAACAACAGCGCCTACTACCTGATCGCGGACAGCATCGTCAACACCTACCTAATCACGCACTGCGGCATCGAGCCGTTCCAGCACTCGCCACCCCCGGCGTCCTCTGGCGCAGCTTCGTCGAGCGGCGGGGCATCGTCGGCGGACGTCATCGGGCTGGTGATTTCGAGCTCTGCCAACTACTATGCGCCCACGTCGTTTCCCTCGAACCTCCGGGTCAAGCTGAGGGCGGTGCACCTGGGTCGCAGCTCGGTGCGGTACGAGGTCGGGGTCTTTGAACAGCCTCTCAAGTCGATGCTGTTGAGCACCGCTACCGGGAGCAAGGACGCATCACTGACGGTGCAGAGGGCGGAGGAAGTCGGTGGAGACAAGGGTGGGACCAAGGCGGCGGTCGTGACGCAGGCGACTCACGTCTTTGTCGACCGAGCGTCGCGGCGGCCTGTCAAGGCGATGCCGGACCAGCTGAGGAGAGGGCTCGAGAGACTGGTGGTGGGTGCGCCATCTCCGGCTGCGAAGCTTTGAACGTTGGTCAGTTGCCGTAGAAGGCTGAGAATGAACGGCAGAGGAGAGAGAGAGAGAGACAGAGACAGAGAGGGGCGGGTGCACATCCTCGAGGAACGAGGAGCGGGACAGCACCGGACGCGGCGCCTGCTTAGTCAGCATTGAAAAAACCAGGCCCCGGCGAGGAGGAGCAGCCCACGCCGCCTTCTTCCGACTGGCTCTCCCTCTCGACCAACGCCCTCCTTCCCCATCCCCCTCTCGCCAATCCCCCCCTCTCGCGCTTCCCATCATCCGTTTGTGCCCCTAGCCGCCCCCTCACCTCGCTCGAACATGGCAGCGCTCTTCCCGGCTTCGTGCCGCTCCACGCCGCTCCTGGTTGCCACCGCACGACTGCAGCTCAGCTCCGCCTCGACCTCGACCGCCGCCCGCACCTTTACCACCTCGCAGCCCAGCTTCAAGAAGTCCAACCGCGCCCGCGGCGCATCCCGCAAGTCGCCCCGCAACCTCGCCATCCTCGCTTCCCTCTCGCCTCGCATCGCCACCGCCGCCCAGGCGTCCTCGGCCAAGTCAAAGAAGGCGGCGAACCCGCTCGAGCCAAAGGAGGGCGAGACGCTCCTCACCCTCGAGCAGGCCTGCGAGCAGCTCTCGGCAAAGGAGGGCAAGAAGCGGCCCCTCAACGCCTACGAGCTCCACATCGTCACCACCGTATCCACCCACCAGACCAACGCTCTCCGCGGTCGCATCTCGTTCCCGCGCGACCCGCGCAACAAGCAGGAGAAGCTCCTCATCTTTGCCGAAGAGGGGTCAGAGGCCAACGAGTCGGTCAAGAAGATCCTCGCAGAGGAAAAAGCTCGCCTAGGCATCCCTGCTTCCGCTGTTGCTGCTGCGCCCGCCATCGAGCCGACGCCCGAGCCGACGCCAGCGGTGGCCGAGGCATCTGGCGAAGCGGCGACAGAGGCCTCTTCGAGCAGCAGCGACAGCACCAGCACCAGCACCAGCAGCAGCACCAGCAGCGAGGCGACGGCGTCCGAGTCGGCAGCACAAAGCAAGGTCAGCGTCTATGAGCCTTCCATCATCCTCGGCGGCTCGGAGCTCATCTCGTCGGTGCTCAACAACCGCGTCAGCGGCTTCACAAAGGTGCTCTGCACCCAGTCGCTCCTCGGCGAGGTCTCCAAGTCGCTCGCCCGTTCGCTCGGACCCAAGGGCCTGATGCCCAACCCGCGTCGAGGTACCGTGGTGCCGTCGGACGACGCCAACAAGATCCTCAACGCCATCAAGGAGGCGAGGGGCGCAACCGACTGGAGGAGCGACAAGATTGGCGTCGTACGAGGAGCCGTTGGGCGGCTCAACTTTGACAAGGGAGAGGTCAGGAAGAATGTCGTGACGCTCCTCGACGCCATCCTCGAGAAGGTGCCGACGCTGGGCAATCAGGCCGGCGCCAACCAGGTCGCTGGACAGGCCAAGGAGTACGTCGAGAGGCCGCAGAGGACGCCGGGAGAGCTCAAGCGAGGTAAGTCGTCGTCGTCACCTAGTGCCAGTCCCTTGCCTCTGTTCCTCCTCTGCACGACGAATGCTGACCCCGCCCGCTCGCCTCAATATGACCACGACGACAGCTGCGGGGATGATCAAGCAGATCCACATCAGCTCGACGCAAGGCCCGGCATACAAGCTCGACCTTCGCGACATTCTCGCATGAGCCGCCCCCGCCGTCGCCAGGCTGTGCTGCTTGCGCGCTCAGCCCGGTCGCCTTTTCGCCGAATGTCACCCGATCGTCCGCCCCTTTGAATCAGCGGCGTGAATGAGCGTGCCGGCGTCGATGGCAAGAATTTGCGAGAGAGGGTAAGGCGAGAAGCTTTCGAGATTTCAACGAGCGAGATAGAGGGTGGAGAAGAGCGCAACGGCGACAGGGAGCGTGGTGACCGAGAGATAGGCATGTGGTCGTACGAGCGAAAAGCGAGGCAGAGAGAGGAGAGGTCGAGAACGACCCGCAGAGCGGAGGCATCGGTACGCCATCACGATCTTCACGGCGAAGAGCGGGCCGACTCTGCTGCCGCTGGGATCGGCGCGGAGGGGAGGGCGTCGTCTCACATCGGCAGAGGCTTGGTCAAACGGCCGTACTTGTCGATCGACAGGCCCATGCCATCGAGGCGGGCCTTGACGTTTTCGGCACCGGGGCCGTCGAACCGCTTGCCCGTCCCGAAAAAGTTGGAGGGCAGGCGGTGGTAGCGGATTCCAGAGAAGAGGATGAGGCCTCCTCCGAGCCCGTACTTGAAGCCCTTGGACGCGAATATAGGGTTGTTCATGACGCCGGCAGGGATCGCGTTGAGCATGCCGCGCTTGACCAGGCTCGGCCGCTGATCCGAGGACGAAGAGGCGAGGCTGATGGACGCATCGCCGTCGTCGGCACGGTCCGGTGCAAACGTCGGCGAGCTTTGCGCGAACTTGTCGGGCCCGCCGAAGATGTGCAGGGGCGTAACCTCGTCGTCGAACCACCTCGGGTCGTCGAGATCGTGCAGTCCGGCGGGTCGGGCGTCGTGGTGGTGCTCGCGCTCCGAGTCATGCTCGTCGATGCGGTGCGGTTTGACAAGCACGAGGTCCGAGACCGAGGCGTCTACCGAACGAGCTTGGGCGTTCTTCTTGCACCCGTGTTCCCTCTTGACGATGGTCTGGCCTCCGTTTGCGGGCGAGGCGGAACGTTCGACCTTGTCCTGCGGCTCGGGAGTGGCGTCCGGGACGTCGCGAGCACGTAGTCCGACCATCGAGCCAGGCACGATGCTGCCCGGAACTTGGTTTGAAAGGCTGCCCTGAGGATAGCTCGACACGGGGCCGCCTAGCAGTGGTCCAGCTGTGCCCATTGCACCAGAGGGGGTCGACGGCAGCTTCGTGCCAGGAAGCATCACGGGCTGGGCGCTCGCATAGGTAAAGCCGGAGGGATCGGCGAGGCGGGCGCTGCTGCCCTTCTTATCCCTATCCTCCAGCTCCTTGTCGAGTCTCTCGGTTTCGGCGTCAAGCTTCTTCTGCTCGCGGTGACTGTGCACCAGGATCGGGACGCCAACCGAGAGGACGCTGCCCACACCAGCCGCAGCGCCCAGCCCGGCCACGACTTTCGGCCTCTTGTACCAGGGCAGGCTCTTGGCGTCGACGATGGCCGGTCCAGCAGCTCCGCTCTCGATCCTGGATGCGCTCCTGGAAAGGGTGCCGGCCGCTCCAGACTCGACGGCGGCGGTGGAGGAGGAGGAGGAGCGACCAAACGGCCACAGCTTGCTTCCAAACGCCTTGACCGTGGAGCCGAACGACGAGAGGGCTCTGGAAGCAGCGCCAGAGGGAGCCTGGCGCTTGGTGAGCATGTTGTGGTCGTCCTTCTTGCCGCTTGCACCTTCCGGGCTCGATTTGGTCTTGTCGCTGCCCGACTGCTCGTGATCCGACTTGGCCGCATCGCCACCTTCCGTGGGCAGAGGTGTCTTCACACCGGCGTCTGCGGACGGGTCCTCATCGGGCCAGGTCAGGTTGTTGGGGTAGCTCCTGAACGTATGGATCTTGTCGTGCTGGTCCTTGTCCTTGCCACCGTCCTCGGACTCGTCCTTGGGACCCTTGCCCAGGTCGCCCTTGGTCTCACCGGGGACAAAGCGCGGCGCCGACTCCTCCTTGGCCGGGCCGCCGTGCGCGTCGACCTCGTCGGACTTCTTGTCCTTCCTCTTGTTCTTGTGAAGATGCTGCTCGACGAGGTAGGCCGAAGTGAAGGCGCTGGCGCCAACGGGCACGCCCAGGGCCGCTCCGATCGCGGCCTTCCGCGTCTTTGATAGGCCGCGCCACCAGTCTCGAAGGCCCTTGCTCTCGGTGGCCTCTAGGTGCTCGGGCGTGTCGGAACGAAGGGTGGTCTCGAGCAGCCTCTGCTGCTTGATCTCTTTCGGGTTCTTGCCACGGCTGAAGGTCTCGAGGGCGTCCAGGATGGACTCGGGGCTGGATGTGGCCCGATGCTCGCCTGGAGTCGTCAGAGCGTGCAGCTCTGACTTGGGCAGGGCGTTTTCGATACTGCGTCCCGTCACCGTGACGACCTCTGGAGCCTGCAGGTTATAAAGTGACGGGCGTGAGAGATTTCACAGCATGTCAGCACCCGTGAAAGCACCGCGGTCTGAATCGAGGGAGGCAGAGGAGATACTTGCCTTGCTCTCGCCGAGACCGAGCTAAGTGTTGTAGTGCCGTGTGGTCGAGGAGGACGATAGCAGGGGATCGGACCGGTCCGGATCAGTCGCTACTCTCATTGCACGCCGCCAGCTCACTTGCAGCTCACCAGGCTCTTTAGCATCTCAAATGCGCGCTTGTCGATGTGCCGCATTGGCTTCGCTTCTGCTGGACGACGAGCATCTCCAGGCTGAGCAGCAGTGGCAGCAGCAGGAGCAGCAGCAGCAGCATCAAAGCGGTGTTGGGTGTCGTCTGCGGACCAAGTCTCGCCTTGAACCGCTCGAGCCGCCCATGGCTCGACAGGAACAGGAGCGGTGGCGACAAACTCGCCGACGACGACCAGGAGCAGGGGCAGGAAGGTGCACCGCATCTCGGGTCAAGGGCGACGTCGAGTCGCTGGGCAGAGAGGGCGGAGGAGGAATGAAGGCGAGGTGCGCGGTACGCGAAAGGGAGAAGGAAGGTGGGAAAGGCAAGGTCGATAGACGAGAAGGGAGAGGGGATGGCGTCCGCACGAGGCAGGCCTCGGCCCTCTTAAGTACACATCGCCACGTCGGCTGTCACAATTGCGGCCGACGACTTCATTTCCTCACTCTGACCTGGCTCTGCAGTCGGATAGCCCACCTGCTCTCTTCTTCCTGTCCATCCGTGGTGGGGAGGGGGAGGCGCTTCATCTGCAGCGGGGCTGGCTTGCTGCGCGGGGCGAGGGTCTCGAGTGGCACATCAACCAAGGCTTATTTTTGTCTCCGTCTTTGTGGGTCAACGCAGCCTTGGCTCGACGAGCAGCCACCATCCAAACGTTCACAGCGCCGAATTTTTGCCAGCGAGAGCTTGTGTGGGACTATCGCTGGCATCCGTACATGTGAGTCTACATGGGCAGGCCGCAGACCTCGCAGTCGGACGAGCCGGGCGGGTTGTGGAAGGTGCAGTGCGGGCACACCTTTGCGTCGGTCGGGGCGTCGGCCTCCGCCCCGCCGGAAACGGCCCCGCCCTGCCTCGACGAGGTTCCTGTGAGTTGGACCGAGTCATCGGCGTCGTCGTCGTCGTCGACAAAGGCGTCATCGGCGTCCTCGAAGGCCATGTCGTCATCCGACTCCCCGCCATCGTAGGTAAAGTTGTGCTCCGCCTCCTTCTGTCCCGCCGCCTCCTGCCCGCCGCTGTGGTTGTTGGACGATGCCGCGCTCGGGGCGTGCTCGCGCGCGATGGCCGCCAGCGTCTGCCACCCGGGCCGGAGCAAGAGCGCATCCAGAGCAGCACCAGAGTCGTGGGTGATCGCGACACGGCATAGAGCAGCCATGTCGTCCTGCGAATCCAGGAGCATAGTGGGAAAGAGACAGCGAGCCAGGCGGAAACGCGTCAGTAGCGGCTACATGGGCGCCCCGCCACGACGGTCTAGCGGCGGCTGCCCGCCTTGGACGTTCATCTGTCGACTCACCTGATCCAAGAGGCCGGACGTGTCGAGGAAGGCAAGCAGGTGCCAGTCGCTCAGCGTGCCCACCAGCTTCTCGCGGACCTGGTTGTCGTCGGCCCGCGACTTGCCCTTGGTGTCCTCGGAACCGCCGCCGACGGGAAGGAGCTCGCGCTGACCCACGACCTTGCCGATCTCGGTGAGGGCGACAGTGAGATCTTGGTCGTGCAGGCCTGGCCGGTTTTCAATAGGAAAGGCCGACGAGAGGAACGTCGGGCTGGGCGAGTTGGGAAAGCCGTGCGTGACCTGCGATGCCCGAAATACAAGGATTAAGGAAGCAGCGGAAGTGTGCCGTTGGCATGCATTAGCCGATCCGCGCTCGTCACACTCGTGTTCAGACGGAGCGGTCCGATGACAGCAGGGCAGAAATCGGGCCGTCGGCGACTCACATTGACGATGAGGTACTCGACAGGGAACGTGGGCTTGGCAGTCTCCTTGACGTCGATCTTGTACTCGTTGGTATACCGGTAAAAGACCTCGGGTACGTAGAGAGCGTCGCCGCTGGGCTTGACCCGGATAATGTTGGGGTTGACGCTGGCCTCAATCATGTCGGCCTGGACCATGCCCATGGCCTGCTCGCTGACCTGGTAGGACGAGACGTCGATGCCGCCGTCTTCGGTGCCGCTCAGCACGCAGGTGACAAACTTGGAGTTGAAGCGGCCGCTCGAGCTAAAGCGGCTCGGGTTCGGGTTGCCGAGCTGGAGCTGGGCGGCAAAGAGGGTCTCGCAGCCGGAGAGGAAGAAGCTGTCCTTGTGGCGCTTGCAGGCGACCATGCCGGCCTTGGACGGGTCCTGGTGGGTCGGGTCGGCAGGGCTGAGGTCCGAGTAGATCATGCCGACGAACTCGAGGCCACAGGCACGCGCCAGCTTCTCGACTCGCGCCTGGTCCTCCCAAGGCACGCCGAGCGTGAGGCCGTCGAGCTCGCCCTCCTGCGGTGGCTCGTGGATGGCCTCGACCACAGCCTTGATGCCCATCGGCACGTCGGGGTAGGCCTCGTACCGGCCGAGGAGGAAACCGAAGCGTTGGCTCGCCGTGCTGCGCCAGAAGGCGAGGATCTTTTCAATCAGGTCCGGGTGCGCAAACTCGACGTGGTCGACCATGCGGTAGGGTTGCCTCTGCAGCGTGATGGCCGAGGGCTGACACTTTGTGCAGATGCCGGCGGGCCAGCTCGGGTGCTGCCCTGACGGGCAGGGCACCTTGACGCGGTAGTCGGCCTCCTCGAGGGGCGGGATGTACGATTGCGACGGCTTGTTGAGGGCAATGTCCTGCTTGCGGAGATAGGCGTGGAACGAGAGGTGCTTGATGCTGTGCTCCGCCTGGTAGTTGGAGTCGTACGGCTGCGGCGAGAGCGAGGGCGAGTAGGTGGTCCGAGGCGGAACAACGTTGGCAGAACGGTCAGCTCACCTGCGTGAAGAGACGGCCACCCATATCGCATCGAGCCCTGCTCACCTCGAGCGGCATGCAGTAATCGCACATGCCCTTGGGCCCGTGCCGGCAAAACTGGGCGTCCTTGGGCCGAGGGATCTTGCCCTCTTGCGCCTCCCAGTAGGTGTCGACCTTGTGCTCAACGGCCGTCTCCCAGGGCTTCTTGGCCTTCGCTTCGGCGGCGCTGCCATTCGAAGATGGGCCGGCTGCGCTTGACGACTCTGCGGTGGCGGCAGGTGCAGCGCTGCCGGCTGCAGTAGACGACGAAGCCGAAGCTTCCTGGTAGGCGGCGTACAGAAGGTGACCGTGGCTGCGATGAAGGCGGTTGACGTGGTTTCTGGCTTCAGGCTGAAGTTCTCTAGTTCGCACGGCTGGCTTTCCGAACGAGGATTGAGTGCTTCAACTTACGAGATGCCGAGCTCACCCAACGTAGTGCCGCGGAGGTCATTGGCAGGAAACTCTCCGCCGCGCGGTTGGTTGGAAAAGGTCAGAGAGCTGGGGTCTGCATTGATGGTCGTCTCGAGAACCTGCGGAGACGAGAAAGGCGGGGTCAGCGAAGGCGGCTGCGCAGAGCTGGGGAGCGGAGCAGGTTGCCTTTGCTCACCTTGTCTACGAGCTTGGCCGCATCGTCGGTCGGCTCGAGCGGGAAACGGAAGATGCCATCCTTGGAGCGGACGCGGACGAGCTGATATGCCGGACGGTCGAGGATGCGCAGGGCTCCGGTGGGGTCAGCATGTAGTCGTGCAGAGGCGGCACGGCGGGCCGGTTGCTCACCATGTTTGCTGTCTTGCCCAGGGGTCGGGGATAGGTGTGGCTGGATGCGGTCTGTATGCGACGAGCTCGTTTGCTTGATCGGGAGAAGCTGTGCGAGCGGAGTGAGGAACGAAGCTGCGTGGCGGTGTCGACGGCGTTGGTGTTGGTGGTGGTGGTGTTGAACGCCGCTGTTGCAACCTCGCTCACCTGCTCGACCTGACCACGGGCCAGCAGGGCAAAGGCCACCCGCGAAGGTCCCAGCCTCCACATTGACAGCCAGGCCAGGCCACGCACGCATGCTCGGCTCCGGCCGTCCGAGCCTGCCCCCGCCAGACCTGGGTGTCTCGATCACTCAGGCGGCCCCTCCTCAGCCCTCCTCCCGGCCCAACACGGCAGGCCTCCCGACATCGCCCCGTGGTCTGCAATGTCTGAGATATCTATGCGCAGTCTGTCTTCTCAATGCAATCCCCTCTCGCCCTGAGCTACCTGATCATATCATACATGCATGTCCGAGGGATCGACGTTGGCCATGAACGACCACACACCCTCGACGCCGAGGTCGTCCGGATCAAACTTGACGGAAATGTCGGGTCGGCCCACAACCTTGCCGTCGACCACGACGCCGTCCTCGTTGGCCTCGACACGTCGGCTCTCGGCATCGCACGAGTCCACCATCTCCTGAGTCACGACACCGCCCTGCGCCACCATCTTGCCCAACCCGAGCGAGAGCTTGAGCATGTTGGGCGGAGGGTTGAACTCGACCAAGTCCGGTGACGTGGGCGAAGAAGGCCGGCTCGTCTCTGAAGACGACGACGACGACGACGAAGAGGCAGAGAGAGCGGACGCGAGCGCGGCATTCTTGGCCTCGATATCTCGCAGAATGTTCTCGGCGGCAATGTCGGCCATGCCCCACGCCTGGTAGCCGGCGTTGAGCGCGCCAAACGCATCCGCGCAGTCGCCGATGGCGTAGACGTTGCTGATCTTGCCCGGCTCGTGCTCCGGATCGGTGCCGTGCATCAGCAAGTGGCCCTGCTCCTGCCGGGAAATCTCGGCGCCCGCCGCCTTCTTGTCGAGGAAGCAGTCGCAGTCGCCGCACGGTGGTCGCGCATCAAACGGCTGCTGCGCCGCATCCCGCGGGTCGGGGACGGCCACCTGCAGCGTGCGGTGGACGCGGATGAGGCGCGACGAGGGATCCACCGAGCTCGGGGAGAGGTTGGCCATGAGCGACGAGTTGGGCTGCTGCCCCGTGCAGAGCAGCAGCAGGTCGCACTCAAACGAGCGGCCGCCCGTCGTCTTGACCAGCTTGCGACCGGACCCGACGCACATCCCCTCGGCATGCGCCTGGACGCCCTCGCCCTTGTCGTCGCCGGCCACACAGACCTCTGGCTTGCTCTGGCTCTGCGCCGTCTCCTTGACGGTCGAGCCGCGCGGACACCCTTCGGTCAGCGCGAGGCGCTCGCCGAGGATGACGTTGACGCCTAGCGCCTTGAGTCGCCCGTAGGCGAGCTCGTGAACGCGCTCGTCAAAGTTGGGCAGCAGCTGCTTGCGGCTGTGGATCAGCGTGACCGACTTGTGCGGGTAGATGCTCGCGATGTCGGTGGCGAACTCGACGCCCAGCGCTCCACCGCCTACAAGGACGATCTCGTTGGATGCCTTGACCCGCTGCTGGATCTCTCGCATCCAGTTGATTCCGTCCCGCTTGAAGCGCGCGTCGGTGCGCAGCGGATCGGGGAGGTGCGAGCCGAGGGCGTACACAAGGTGCGTGTACGGGATCGTCACGCTGTCGATGGACCAGAGGCTCTTCTTGCGCTTGCCGCCGAGCTGGCCCAGCTGCTCATCCGAGGCGTCGGTCGGCGTGACGGTGATGTGGGTGGGCGAGATGTCGGTGACGGTCGCCTGCAGCACGACATGGGGCGCCGACTCCTCGAACCCCTCGGCCACTTCCTCGTTCTGCTGCTCCAGATCTTCCAGAGGAGCGTCCGGACCCGCCGCCGTCTCGGCCGTGTCTTGTCCGACGTCGAGCCCCTTGTCAATGGCCTCGCTGAGCTCGGTGATCTCCATCTCTGGCCGACCCAGTTCCTCTTCCCGCCTTGCCAGAGGGGCCGAGTTGGCAATCTCGGCCTCGATGGCCTTGTTGCCCGGATCCTTGAGGCCGGCCATGCCCGACTCGAGAGCGGCGCCATTGCTGGTAAAAGAGCTGGCCATGGTGGATGCGGTGGCCGACTGCGACTCGCCGCTCAGGTCCGAGTCCGAGGAGCTGCTGAGCGTGGCGTTGCTCGAGTACCGGCTGTCCCGGCTGAGAGTGTGGGCGCGGCCAGACGCCGGTCGACCCTCGTCTCTACGGCCTCGGGGGAGGGCGAGCGACTCGTCGTCGGCGCCGTCGAGGGCGTCCTGGACCACCGGGGTCTCCGCGAACTTCTTCAAGACGCTGGCCCGGGAGTTGGAAGCCGAGGGACCCGCTCCTGCCCCTCCCATCTCGAGGGCGTTGCTAGCCGAGCCGGAAGTGGTAGGCACCGAGCCGTTGATGGTCCTTGCCTGCCGGTTGGCTGTAGGGGTGGCGGCGCCCGCAGCCGCCTTCTTGCCGGCGCGAGAGCGAGCGCTTGGCCTGGCTGGTGCGTTCTTGAAGATCGATGTGTATGGGATGAAGGCCTTGTGCTCGTGGCCGGGCAGGACCGAGAAGCGGGGGAAGACGTAGAGGTCTGAGGGAAGGCAATCAAGGCCGAACAAGGGGGCGACGTGAGCCTCGGCAGCCGACAAATCAGAGCGAAGGTCTCCGTGGCTCTTGACTTACGGTTGAAATGGCTGTTTCTCTCGATGAGGATGAGCCTGTGAGAGGGGGGCAGGCGCTGTGCGAGGACGGTGGCGGCGTGCATGCCTCCGTAGCTGCCTCCCAGGACGACGACATTCTTTGTGATGGCGCTCGAGGAGGATTCGCGTGCGCTGTGGGAAGCGGTCGCGGCTGCGGAAGGGTGGGACGAGGCGGTTTTGAGACGGATGGGCTGCGCCATGGCTGTCGATGGCGCCGTTGGACCAGCAACGGTGGGCCTTGGGAGGGAGACTAGAGGCGAATGCAGGAAGAGGGAAACTGGACGGAACCGCAGGAAACAAGTCGATGAGCGTGGCGCTCGAGCGAGGGCCGACAGCTGTGTACGGAACAGAATGGTGCCGGCGCGGATGGCGTGCAAGGAGAAGTGAGGGATGCTCTAAGCGTCGAGATGGAGAGCGGTCGCAGGCGGAAGCTGCGAGAGTGGGCAAGTTGCAACGAGAGCTGTGTGTGTGTGGGACGTGTGCGGTGCGAGCTTGGATGTGTATCGTCGATATGGAGATGGAGAGGCAAAAGCGAAGAGGTGTCGAGGAAGGGAGGGAACGCAGAGAGGTGCAGAGTGGCGGCGAGCAGAGAGGCACGGGCGAAGGAACGACGACAGAGCGGTGGGCCCTTCTTACGTAGGTAGCTGGGGGTCCAGCCGGGACTGCCACACAGAGAGAAGCGCAGCTGGCCTGGCCTGCCCAGTCAGCCCACGCCGCGCCGGACCGGCCGCACTCGGCTTGGAGCGGCGCGAAGCTCTCCGCCGCTGGCCCTCTGCCCGCACATTTTTGAAATTCTAGCGACCACCTCCTGCCTGCCTGCTTGCCTGCCTGCCTGCTTGCCTGCCTGCCTGCTTGCCTGCCTCTTGGTCCGGCGGTCGTAATCTGATTTCCGCATCTGCCCTCCATCCTGCCGGTTCCAGGCTCTGACCGTCGATGGCTGAAGTAGTGGCACGACCACGGCGCCAAGCATCGAGCCGGTGCGACCTCGAGGCGTCCCCGCCGCTGATGATTGGTTGGGGCCAGAGGCCGAGTCATCCGGGCCTGGTCCGGCCACTCTGCCGCTCAATCAGATCTGATAACGGTGACCAGCCAGCCCCTCGACCGCCGCCGTCTCCGCATTTGCCCGTCGCAAGCCAGCAGACAGGCAGGCAGACAGGCATGCAAGGAGCTGGGCCGGGCAGGAGGCAGGCCTAGCTAGGGTGCGTGGGGCCCAAACAAAACGCCCGCTTAGACCGGCTTGGCACCCGCCGCCCTCCCCTGCATGCGGACGCGGGTGCTTCCGGGATTTTATCAGATCGAAAGAAAGGGACCAGGGCCGCTGCCAGAGAGGCCTGACCTGCCCAGCGCGGGCGTCGACAGCGCAGCGAAACCTGTGCCCAGCCCTTGCTGGCTTCACCCTCTGCGGTCTGGCTGGCTGGCGAACGATCTGCCGTCGGCCTCTGGTCGAGCTGCGCTGTGGCGGGCGATGCCTGCCTGGCCGTGCGTTTCCTCCCTGCCCGGTTCGGCTCGGCGCGGACCGCTGCCGGCTGCCCGTGGCCAGGCCAGGCAGTCATGCGCGATCGAACCGGCCTGCCTTATCTGATCAGCCCCAGAAGTCGAATCGGATCCGGAAGGGCGGCCTGCCCGGCGTGCCGACGTCCCGGCCATCGGATCCGGAAGCAGTGATGAACCCTTGCCTGGGCTGAAGATGCGACCCGACTCCCGAGATTTTGTCCGTTTGGAATTTTGGTTCCTGCGAAGTCGCGGCAGGCAGGCAGGCAGCCAAAAAGGCGGCGAGTCACGACCGCCGGGAAAAGGCTTTTCTTCCCCAGTCGAGCCCAGGTAGGGCAGCACGAAGTTGGGTGGTGATGCCAACCAGGAGTCTTGTCGGTGGTGTGTAGCCAGGCTCGAGGCGAGGCAGAAGAGCGTGGGGCACGGAAAGATTGGCGGGGGCTGGCTGGACAGGCAGTCAGGCGTCGAAATCTGGCTTCGAGATTTTGGGCGTCTGGATGCACGGCGGTGGGTCGGCGGGCAGCCCTAGCCTGTTGGGCGTGGTCACCTTGCTGGCTTCTTGCTTGCTTCTTCTCCTCGGTCATCCTCGCCCAACATCCACGGCTCAAGCCCGTCCATCTCGAGCTGCTCTTACATCGCAAGCGTAGCCGTCGCAACCCGCCTCTCCCGACGACATCAGGATGGCCGCTTCTCACCTCTCGGCCATGGTGCCCCCCGCGCCGCCGCTCCGCGTCCTCATCCTGGGCTCGGGCGGTCGCGAGCATGCCATCGCCCACCATCTGCTCCGCTCCAAGCGCGTAGAGCACATCTACTGCGCCCCGGGAAACGGAGGCACCGCCACCCTCGGTGACCGCTGCTCCAACCTTGACTCGCCCAAGGTCTCGAGCGACTTCGCCGACATCACCGCCTGGGCCGTGCAGAACCAGGTGAGCGAGGATCATCGCTCCTGCTACCCATCTCGTCTGCTTGCCTGCTGACCTCCCTTGGTAATCCGTCTCCGCCGCCATCCTCGCCTCGCCCTGCAGATCAACCTCTGCATCCCCGGCCCCGAGCAGCCGCTCGTCGACGGCGCCGAGCTCGCCTTCCGCAGGGTCGGCATCCCCGTCTTTGGCCCCTCACCCCTCGCCGCCCAGATGGAAGGCTCAAAGACCTTTGCCAAGGCCTTCATGGACAAGTACAACATCCCCACCGCCGCCCACCAGTCGTTCAACGAGTCGCAGGTCGACGAGTGCCTCGCCTTCATCAAGAAGCTTGGCGGTGCGCAGCAGGTCGTGCTCAAGGCCAGCGGCCTCGCAGCGGGCAAGGGCGTTCTCCTGCCCGAGTCCGAGCACGAGGCGCGCCAGGGCGTCGAAGACATCCTCGTCAAAAAGGTGTTTGGCGACGCGGGCTCCTCGCTGCTCGTCGAGCAGCGCCTCGCTGGCCCGGAGCTCTCGGTGCTGGCCTTTTCCGACGGCTACACCATCACCGCGCTTCCCGGGTGTCAGGACCACAAGCGGATCGGCGAGGGCGACACGGGCCTCAACACCGGCGGCATGGGCGCCTACTGCCCCGCCCCCGAGGGCCTGGTCGACAACCTGCCCGCCCGCATCCGCAACGAGGTCCTCGTCCCCACAATCGACGGCATGCGCAAGGAGGGCTTCCCTTTTGTCGGCATGCTCTTCGTTGGCCTGATGCTCACCGCCAACGGGCCGCAGGTGCTCGAGTACAACGTGCGCTTTGGCGACCCCGAGACCGAGGCGGTGCTCGAGCTGCTCGACGAGACAAAGGTCAGCCTGGCCGATATCCTCGTCGCCTGCGTCGAGAGGCGCCTTGACTCGGTCCAGCCCGTCATCCGCCCCGAGCACGCCGTCAGCATCGTTCTCGCCTCGCCGGGGTACCCGGGCAAGTACCCCACGGGCCTGCCCATCACCATCGGAGCGTTGCCGCAGAATGTCACCGTGTACCATGCCGGCACCAAGCTCGATGCCGCCGGCCAGCTCGTCACCGCAGGTGGCCGCGTGATTGCCATCTCGGCATTTGGCAAGACGCTGCAGGAGGCCGTCGAGCTCGCCTACCAGGGCGTCGATGCCGTCCACTTCGAGGGCAAGACGTTCCGACGTGACATTGCCCACCGCGCACTGAAGCCCGCCGCCGCCGGTACCAAGGCGGGGCTGACGTACGCTGCCGCCGGCGTCGATATCGATGCGGGCAACCAGCTGGTCGAGGTCATCAAGCCGCTGGCCAAGAGCACGAAGCGACCGGGCTGCGACGCGTCGCTCGGCGGCTTCGGCGGCACCTTTGACCTCAAGGCGATCGGTATGCGCGACCCCATCCTCATCAGCGGCACCGACGGCGTCGGCACGAAGCTGCGCGTGGCGCTCGACGTGGGCAAGCACGACACGGTGGGCATCGACCTCGTGGCCATGTCGGTCAATGACCTGCTGGTTCAGGGCGCGCTGCCGTTCTACTTCCTCGACTACTTTGCCTGCTCCAAGCTCACGGTCGACATTGCGGCGGCCGTCATTGGCGGCATTGCCGAGGGATGCCGACAGGCCAACTGCGGCCTGATTGGCGGCGAGACGGCCGAGATGCCCGGCATGTACGTCGGCGAGGAGTACGACCTTGCCGGCTTCGCCGTGGGCGCCGTCGAGAGGGAGGAGCTCCTTCCCCGCCTCGATCAGATGCAGGCTGGCGACGTGCTGGTGGGACTGCACTCGTCAGGCGTCCACTCTAATGGATTCTCGCTGGTGCGCAAGGTGGTCGAGCGGTCAGGCAAGTCGCTCTCTGACGCCTGCCCCTTTGCGCTGACGGCCGAGGCTGAGGCGTCCGGGGCCAAGACGCTCGGCGAGGCGCTGCTGGCGCCGACGAGGATCTACGTGGCGGCGTTGACGCAGCTCTTCCAGAACGACGCCGCCTCGCAGGGCCTGATCGCGCTCTCGCACATCACCGGCGGCGGCTTCACCGACAACATCCCGCGCTCGCTGCCCAAGGGCCTGGGTGCCGAGGTCGACCTGCTGAGCTGGAAGCGGCCGGAGCTGTTCGAGTGGCTGCAGAGGACGGGCAACGTCGAGCCAGAGGAGATGGCGAGGACGTTCAACAACGGCATCGGCATGGTCCTCATTGTCAAGAAGGACAAGGTCGACGGCGTCGTCGAGACGCTCAAGCGGAGCGGCGAGTCGCCCGTCGTCATGGGCAAGGTCACGGGCACCGAGGGCGTCAGCTATACGGGCATGGAGAGCTGGAGGGTCTAGATCTGGCCCTCGTCGTTGTTCGCTGTCTCGATCCTCTTCTATCTGCGTTCCTGCTTCGGCGAAAAGAATCCATGTGCATCCCTAGACAACCTCGTGCGGGGCTATTTGGATGCGCGGTTGACGACGACGTGGCGGCGTGGAGCTGCCGTCCGAGGCAGGAGATCGGCGATGTGCGCTGACAGCTGCGTCTCGGCAGCCCTGCCGTACGTGTGCTCGCAGCTGCAGATGGTACCTCTGTTCAGACCGCTGCTGGTGGCGTTGAGAGCGGTGTCCATCGACAGGACGGTGGTGCCTAGGCGACGCGGGACAGGCGGTGCTAGGTGATGGATGCTGAGCTGAGTCGAGACTTGGTTTGACTCGGGAGTCGGTCCTGGGAGGGCTCCTCCTCGCACGCTTCGGTTGACTTGTGAAAAGGGACAGACGGCGGCGGCGGGTCCAGAGGCAGGTATATCAACCGCTGCACCGCTGCACCGCGCTGCAGGCCAGGCACCACCTGCCGGGATAGGCACCCGCAGCGGCTGACGGCGGGGGCTCGAAGTTTCGCCGTCCCGGACATGTGCTGTGGCTGCCGACGCCGTCTCTACCGGTACCGCTGCCGCTGCTGGTCGGTGCGTGGGTGGCGATGAGTCGATGACCCTTGTACCGCGGATCCATCGGTCCTTGTCGTCGAGGTCCCGATGAACCCGACAGCCGCACCGCACCTTTTCCGGGACATGGCGACAACCGGGAACTCTATCTGTACATATGTGCATGGCAGCTCGTGTAGGTGACCCTTACCCGACGTCCGGTCGAACTCTCTGTGTGCGGACCCGCCGCCGGTACATATACATACGGCTCGACGGCAGATGTCAGAGACAAGTACCATGTACCTACACCGGCCCGGCCCGCCTTGTGCGGTGGAGAGGCAAGAGGTCCTTTTGTTCTCCCGCACGCTCGGCCTGCTCCTTTGCCCGTATGCGTCTGAAGCCGAGGCGCTGCGTTGAAAGAGGCCAGCGACCTCTCGTCCGGTCATCTCGTCGGTGGCGAGACATGCCATCGATGAGAGGAGACCTAGGACGCCGACCGCCTCAAGTTTCTCATTGTTGCAAAAGCGATGGCTTGATAGAGCGGTGAGCACTGACCTCTCCCCGTCCCCATCGCCTCTCGTTTCTCGGTGGACTTCAATCTGCGCCAACGGCGGTCGGTGATTGTTCATGGCCAGGACCTGGCGATGATCTCATCATCTCGAGATTGAGATTGAGATTGGATGCCAGATGTCATCGACGACGACGACCGTACCCCGGCCTTTTTTCGTTCAACAGGCCGTCTGGGGTCCCACCGATCAGGAACTGACCTCTCTGCCTTCGCTTGGGCGCATCAGGCCAGGGAAGGCAGGGGACGGGCGAGGTGGTCGGCAACCATGGATCCGTCGTCATCGCATATCGGCAACCACGCGAAGAAGCCCGCGTCGTGGCTGGCCGGGTACGGTACTGTAGACGTCAAAGCCGACGTCGCTCTCGAGCCCAAGGCTCAGGCTAGCTAGGCCTGGAACGGGGGATATGGCCACGACCCGTACACACCTAGCCACCCACCTGACGCTGCTACGGCTGGTCCCTCGCATGAAGTCAAACTCTGGGCTAGGCTATCCGTGTAGAGACGTCGGCTCTGGATCCGTCGCCTGAGGTTTGACCGCCATCTCCCCTTTGTTGTGGGCGGCCAGCAGGCCAGGCCTGTGACGGGCTTGCCTCGTTGGCGTTTCGTGTCTTGGCTCTCTTGCTCTCCGTCTGTCTCGCTGGGTTGGCCTGCTGTGCTGCACGTACCTGGCCAAGAGACGCCGTGGTAAGGCTAGACACACTACCGGTGCTACTCTCTGGCTGCATACCCACAGGCGGGGAGCGACACGACTGCAAGCTCGCGGGTGATCCGCCCATGCAAGAGAGAGGCAGGAGGCTATCCCAGCCCTCAGCGGGTGACCCGGCGTAGCATGTGATAGAGAGCCGTGGTCGGGTGCCCCGAGCGAGCGAGCGAGGCTGGCAGCTTGCAAGCGGGGTTTCAAGTCAGAGGTTCAGCGGCCTCCGCTGCGGTGCCGGCGCCGGTGCTGGTGCGGGTGCGCAGCCGCTCCACATCCGTCTGGTCTCGGTTCTTCCCGCCGTCGCGCCTTTGGTCGGCCGCCCTCCGCCCAGATGGATGGAGGACCGATGGACGCTTCCTCGCCCTAGCCTCCGCTCCCGCCTCCTCCCTTATATCACCCGTCCACTGCTGCTCACCCGACTGCCTCTCCCCACCGGCACCACCACCACCGCCAACACGATTGACCGCTCCTTGATCCCTTAGAGGCGTGCCCTTCGTCTCGTATACCCCACGTCGCCCCTGGTCAAGAGCAAGAACTACGACCATCAGCAGTTGGCGAATCCGCCTCGACACACCCACGCACGCACCGTCCCATCGTTCTTCGCTGGTCCCGCGCCGCGTCGCAATCATGGCAGCGCTTCTGCAGGACAAGGTGGAGCGCTTCTTTGGCCGCTTCTCGCCCATGCCCCAGTACTCGAGGCTCGGCTTCAAGCTGCTCGATTCGGACCCTGTCCTCGACGTCTCCCGCAAGCTCGGCTTCAAAGTTGGTGAGTGGCCCTTTGCCGCGCGGCTGCAGTGGCAACAACGGCCACGGAGATTGCCTGCCACCGATCCAGAGTTTGCTCGACCGCCGGCGACAGCCTGTGCTGACTATGGAACGCCCTATCCCGTCCGCTGCACCGCCCGCGCCCCGCAGTCGAGTATGACCTCCCACCCTACCCGCTGTACAAGGCTGGTGTCGGCAGCATCCAGATGCTCTCGTTCATCTTTGGCTCGGGCATCGTCGCTTACTTCCTGTACCACAACGTGGCCAAGAAGTCGGCCGCCGGCAAATGGTTCTCGATCCTCTTCCTCATTACCGCCCTCATGACCTGGCCCCTGCTCGACCCCATGTCCGGCGTCATGCTCATCGACTTCTGGAAGCCTGCACTCGGCTTCCGCTCCTCGCTCCTCGTCTGGGACATTTTCCAGATCCGCAGCGTCCCCGAGGTCGAGTCGTGGGGCTTTGCTCGCTTCTTTGCCCAGCTGTGGACCTTCCCCAAGGAGCTCGACGAGATCGAGGAGCGCACCCGCGAGGAGGGATACGCACGGAACCCCAGGATTGAAAACATCAAGGGCATGCCCAAGGTCGCCGTCGAGGCCGTCGCTCTGCTCGTCACCCTCTACTTTATCCCGCCCTACGAGCTGACAAAGGACATGTCCCAGCTCGCCTACCACTGCTACTGCGATGCCCTGGGTCTTTCGGTGAGTGCGGCTGGCGCGCGAGCAAGCGTACCCTGTACGGATTCCGCCAGGCCCTCACATTGCTGACTCGCCCTTGCTTCTCTGCTGCCGCCTCCGCGCCGCAGATTCTGATGGCGCTCGCCCTCTTCGGCGATGGCCTGCTAAAGGCGCTCGGCATCCTCATCAACGTCGAGATGGCCGACATGTTCGAAAACCCGCTGGGCACCACCAACATCCGCCTTTTCTGGTCGCACTGGAACCGCGCCATTGCGACGGTGCTGCACCGTGTAGTGTTTGGCGGCGGCAAGAGCAAGACGCGCTTGAAGAAGGCCAAGGCGGCCGCCGCTGCCGAGGCCGAGCAAAAGCGAAGGCACCTTGACCAGCTTTCCGAGACCGACGCCGGCCACACGTCGGGAGAGGACGAAGACAAGAACGGCCGACGCTCGCGCACCTCGAGCGGGCTTCGACCGCTGTCGCAGCTCAACGGCGACGCCAAGCTGGTCCACCGCAAGCCCAACGGCAGCGGCCCGCAGAAGGAGACGGAGACGACGGCGTCGGCCAAGAAGGATGCGGCCAAGAGCAAGGGCTCGTTCTTGCCCAAGGCGGTGGCGGCGATTGTGACGTTTGCCATGAGCGGCATCTTCCATGAGCACATTACCTACTTCACGCTTGGGTTCGCCAACGGCGAAAACTTCCTCTTTTTCCTGGCCAACGGCGTGGCGACGGTGACGGCGACGTGGTTCAAGCGCACCTTCCCGGAGGCCAACGCGCGCATCCCGACGCTGGTGTCGGTGCTGATGCTGCACGTCTTCTTCCTGGCAGTGATCCCGCTCTTCTGCTCGCCGTTCATCCGGTCTGGGTTCTTTATCCAGCTCGAGGCGCTCAAGTACGAGCTGCTTCCCATCCGCGCGCGCCCGCGCGGCAGCTTCGTCTACCTCTTTGGCAAGTGAGGGGGCGGCAGCGGCGAGCCGGCGCAGATGCACCATCGCCCGGGCCGCCGCCGCCGACGACGACGACGCTCGGGCCTCGCCTGCACCGCTGCTCGATGCACACCTCTTTTTCTTGACCTTCTGCGGCGATTCCTTGCGAGGTCTGGCTGCCATCTAGACGCTCTTTATCTTCTGCGCTTTGCTTGTCCGTAGTTTCTGGCGCGCCAGATGTCGCCCTACCGCTCGTTGTGTACCAAGTTCCGCCCGCAATGTGTCGATGTCGATGCCATCAAGGAAGAATGAGGGGATCTACGCGGCTGTGCTGGTGGCGGCAGCAGTCTTTGCGTGGGGCGTCTCACAAGGGCAGAGGCGGACGATGACGATGGAGCGGCGCGCCTACGAGGGCGCCTCTGCTTTGTGAAAGCGGGCGGAAGGCGGGCCAGGTGGGGGGGTGAGCGGAGGATCCCTGGCGCCGCCCCCGCATCTGGAGAAAAAAGAGCGCGCTGGGCTCACCAGCACACCGCCTGCCTGCAGGTGCCGTCGATCCGAAGCAGGTTCGGTTAGAGGCCCAGCAGGCCCAGCAGGGCAGGCGCTCAGCGTATATCCATCCGCCCGCCGCCGCCTTTGACCTTGGCTGGCCTCTTTGTCTGGCAGGCCAGGCCTACTGGCGTCGCCTCGTCAGTCGACCAACTCCGCCAGGTCGGGCGTAACTCTGTAGGCTCGTCGGGCCTGCCCCATTGGGGACTGCACCAAGACGTTCTCTACAGACCACTCTCAGACTCCTCTCGCGGAGCCGTGCGACCGCCATCTTCACCATCATCACCACTACTGTCCTCCCCTCTTCCTCCTCCTCCTCCTCCTCACCATCGCCATCACCTGCCTACCCGTCATCCCGCTCTTGCACCCCCCTTCACGCTGCACATCGAAGCAGCCGCCTTTCTCGCGTCGGCGCTCCACACGGCAGCCAACCATCCCCTGCCCAAGATACCCCTCGCTCCCTCACCTGAGCTGATCTGAAAGCACCGTACCCAACCGCCTTGCACCTCACTTCACCACGCCCTGCCACCGCACCGCAGCACAATGTCGCGCTCCTCTCCTCTCCTCGCGCTCCTCCTCGTCTCCGCATCCCTCTTCCTCGCCCCTTTGGCCGCCGCAGACGACGTCGCCGCCTCCCGCAACCTACACATCCTCCCCGGCTCGCCCATCTTTGCCAGCACCACCGCCTTTAACCCGGCGCTGACCAACCAGGGCGGCACGACGAATTCGGCGGGCACGTTTGACGTCTCGCCCCTCGCCACCTCGACGTCGTACCAGTTCCAGCCCGCCAGCCAGACGACGTCGTTTGCCGTACAGTCGCCCAACTTTGCCACCCCAAACGCCGGCAACGCCGGCAGTGGCGGCGGCAGCGCATCGGCACCGGGCGCGGCAGTGACCCAGACCGTGGTCCAGACTTCGCAGCAGACGAGCTTCTTCACCCCCTCGCCCACTGACGCCGCGAATGGCCCCCAGAATGGCGGCGTCGCCGCCGCCACGGCCTCGTCCGACGCCCAACAGCCCGTGCAGAGCATCAACCTCGCACAGGACAACGCCGCATCCGGCCACCTCGCCCAGGCCCAGGCGCAGTGGAAAACGTCGCTCTGCGCCGCCATCGCCGTCGTCGGCGCTTCGATGCTCGGCGTCGTCGTCGTCGCTTGAACAGGTCGGACCGCCCGCTCCACCCTGCCGCCCCCTACTCGGAACCCCATCGGATTCGCAACCTCGGGCGCCCCCTCTCCGCTTCTTCACCACCGACTCGACGACAAACCTCGCGCAGGACCTTCCGACGCTCCTTTTCTCCTCACCTCCTCCAGGTCCGCGTGAAATGCTTCGCCTGCCTTGCTTTCCCACTTGCTTTCCCCCGCCGACTCGCTCCTGCACCCTCTTATATACCACGCACCCAAACCGCCATCCGTCTCTTTCAATCCCCCTCTGGCACCCACTGACCAAACGCCACCCGCGACTCATCCGCCAGCCAGCATGGTCGGGATCGAGAGAGACGGATGGATCGACGGGTTATTCCCCCAGCTTTCTTTCTTCCCCTCGTGCCTTCTCCCATCTGTTACCATCTGCCTTCTCCTTCTTTGTTTCTGCCTGCCAACCCCTTCGGCGCTCCTCTGCTCTTCTCATGGCCTCCGGCCCTCAGCATCACGCCACGGCAGCTGATGGGGCAGGGGGTAGTAGTCGTCATTGCTTCGGTATAATCAGATCGCACCGCACCGCACCATCTGGCCGATGATCGTCGTTCCTCGCCGCGTCCCTCTGGACAAGACGTGCAGCCGGGCAGCCGCGCAGCCGCATGTCGGCGCTGGCCTCGCCCTGCTACTGCCTCCCGCGCTTGTCGTCGAGGTCCTCGTCGTCGCTGGATCCGGCCTTGCGGTCGTCGTCGGTGTGGTTGTTGCTGTTGAGCCTGCTCCGGCTCATGCTCTTGCGCTCCGGCAGCGCCGGGATGACGCCCTGCACCTCGTTGCGGTTGCGGCTCTGGCTGCGCTCCCTCCGCTCGCGTTCGCGCTCCTTTTCCATCTGCGCCTTGAACTTTTCCTGCTTTTCGCTGCCCTTGCCGCCCGAGAGGAAAAAGGCGTCCCAGTTCGAGGGGCGGACCTGGGTCTGGAGGCGGTCGAGGTCGGCGTCGCTCGTGTAGTGCACGGCGAGGTAGGTGCGGTGGGTGAAGAGGAGGGGCAGCAGCGAGGCGAGGATCAGGCTGGCCGTCGCGGCCGAGTCGGTGTTGCACCACAGCGCGGCGCCGTTTGTGAAGCGCGTCAGCTCGGCCAGGAGCGTTTTCGAGTTGGCCGGGGTGGAGCTGCCCGACTTTGACGCCTGGTCGCCGTTGGCCGTCGCCGCCGCCGCCGACGAGGGGGCGCCGCTCGAGGGGTACTCGTACAGCGACAGGGTGCGCGACACGTTGCCCTTCCAGGCCCACTCGCGGCCGTTGGGGCCCGAGAAGAGGTACTTTGTCTTGAAGAGGGTCGTCTTGGTCGTCAGCTTGCGCGTCTCGCCCAGGCGGGGCATCGAGGTGATGCTCGACGAGGAGCTGGGAGACGAGTAGAGGGAAAAGGGCGCGCTCAACGAGACGACCTCGTACGTCGCCGTCGTGTCCGACTTGCGGATGACATAGGGGATCTGGGGAGGCGGGCGGGGGGTGGGGGCAGTGGGCCGAAGCGGGCAGGCAAGAAGGGCGGCGGAGAGCTCAGTCGATGGTCCTTGTCTGATACCCTCGCTCGTTCCTGCTCTCCTCCAGCTCGTTGCGGGAGCGTCACTCACGTTTCCATCAATCGACACGCTGATCCAGCCCGCGAGGCTCCATGCCGCATCGAGATCCTTGACGGCCTTTGCGAGCTTGGCCTGGACGGCGGCGTAGCTCGACTTGGACGTGGAGCTGGTGGGCACGTGGACGACAAAGACGAGCTTGTCGCCGTCGTCGAGGTTGGAGGCGACAATGTCGCAGTCGGACTTGTCGATGTTGCGCAGCGACAGGCTGCACGGCGCCTTTGACGGAAAGAGGGTAACGTTGTTGCCGACGTAGGGCGGTACGGGCAGCGACGACTCCGAGGGAGCGTTGTAGGATGGCGGGTGCTGCGTCATTGTTGCTGCTCGAGTCGAAGATGCCGGTGGTGCTGGTGGCGATGCTGGTGGACGTGGGTCGAGGAAGGACGGTAAGGTGACGGACGGAACGAGAGAGAGAGGGGGGGGGGAGGGGATCAACGACGGCGGGGCTGCCGTCACCCACACTTTTTGCTTCTTAGCCGCGTGGTTGGAATTCGAGTTGGCGGCGGCCGTCGGAGCAGCTCCGACCGCCCTGCCAAAGCAAGCGGCATGGTTACCGCGCGGTGCGGTGGGGGCTGTCAGCGTACGTACCGTCGGGTACGATTTCATCGGTGGGTCCGATGGCCTGCCCCCCACTCTGGCGCCTGGGCTCGCCTGGCCTGCCTGCCTGACCATGCTTTCCTCCTCGCCTAGGCAACGGCAACGGCGCCTCACCTGGCCTAGTAGCGTGGCCAGGCCACGGCAGGCCACGCCCGTCGGTCGGTCGGTCGGTCGGTCGGTCGGTCATGTTCCGGCGGTCTCTGTCCCGAAACGTCTCATGCTCACGCACCATCTCCCCTGGACCCATCACCATCCTCCCTCACGTCGTTGCCATCGTCTTCGCCGACGACCATCGAGCCCCAATCCGCTTTGTTTCAAGGCGGCGGCAGTTCAGCCGACACTACTCCTGCCTGCGTGTCCCCCGCTCCGCGCTCGGCCATCTCCGCGCGGTGCCGCGGAAGAAATCCCGAAACCCTGCGCCGAGCCCCAGCGGGCCGCAGCAGGCGGGCAGGTGGCGGCTGCACGATGGAGATCATCGCCTGGCAAGCTTCACAGGCAGGGGGGTGGGGGTTGGGCCTCGACTTCCGAAGATCTTGCTCTCTCTGATTTCGTTGCTCTGCGCTGGTCGGATAGGCACAACATACAAGGCGGATAGCTAGATACCACGAAACGAACGTACCAGGCCAAGGCAATTCCGTGAACCACTGCACGCCGTCAAGCTGGGCCGCTGCTGCGCGACCCAGCACCCAGCCCCACTCTAGGCCAGGTATTGGTTATCGCGCAGCCAGGCCTTGACATCCTCGGCGTCCCTCTGCACCCACCGGGCGTTGGCACGCACCGCGTCGAGTCCCTGGCTGAGGCCCATCGAAAACTTGCTCACGTCCTTGCCCTTAAAGAAGCGCTCGACGTCGTCGGCGTCCTCGTTGGTCGAAAGCGCGTTGAACGAGCTCTCAATCAGGCGCGACAGCGAAAAGTTGCCCGCGAACCGCCTCGACAGCTCGTCGTACTTGGCCTTGGTCGACTCCCACATCGCCCGGCGCCCCTTGGGGTTGGCAGAGAGGGCGCTGAAGAAGTACATAAAGTCCTGCTCCTTGACCTCGCCGCTAAAGGGGAACTCGATTGTCCGCTTCAGCAGCGCCTCGTCCTGGGTGAAGCAGAGCGCAAACATGGCCGCAATCTTGTGCGAGGGCGTCTCGGGCTTGCGGTACACGCCCAGCACCGTCTCGTACTCCTTCTCGCCGCCGTGCTTGACCGCCTGGGCAAACACGGTGCGCAGCAGGTCGGGGTGGATCTGGCTGTCGTCGCCGTTGGCCATCAGCGCACCAAAGCGCTTCTTGACCTCGGACAGCGTCCACTCGTCGCCCGCCGACGCCGCAACGCTGATGGCCACGGCGCGCAGCTGCTTGAGGTCCGGCGAGTCGTCCTTGCCAAACTCGAACCCGAGCCTCTTGGCCGTGGGTCCAAAGATGTCGACGCGGAAGCGGTCAATGGCGTCGCGCACCGCCTGGTCCTGCTCCCACCACACGCTGGCCAGCGAGGCAAGGTGGCCCGACACGGCGGCGTTGACCAGGTAGCTCGGGTCCTCGCGCAGCGCCTTGGCCAGCGACAGGCCGCCCGACGTCTTGCCGTAGCCGGCCTTGGCCAGCGTGAAGGCGTCGCCGACCAGGCCGACCCGGTCCTCGAGCGAAAAGGCGCCGTCCCTCTTGGCCGCCTCGGCGCCCAGCTTGGCCAGGCGCTCGGGCGAGTAGGCAACGCGGTAGACGCCGACCGTCTCGGCGTTGAGCTTGTAGTTGGCGTTCTGCGCGTCCTGCAGCGGCACCGTCACCTCGCGCTCGCTCTTGAGGTACAGCTCGCGGTCCGTCGTCACCTTGCCGTCAGCGCCCACCTTCTTGAGCATCAGCGGCACGTACCACAGCGTCTGGTCCTCGTCGGCCGACGGGTCGCCGGTCGAGAGGAAGCGGTTCTGCTTGATCTTGAGCGAGTCGCCCTCCTCGGTCACGCTGAGGACGGGGAAGCCCTGCTTGAGGATCCAGTTGGCCATGATCGACGCAATGTCCTTGCCCGAGGACTCGCTGATGCCGTCCCAGAGGTCCTTGGTCACGGCGTTCGAGTAGAGGTGCTTCTTGAGGTAGATCGAGACGCCCTTGAGGAAGACGTCCTCGCCAATCATGTTGGACAGCATGCGGAGCACGCTGGCACCCTTGGAGTACGAGATGGCGTCAAAGACCTGGTTGATGGCGTCCTCGACGTTCTCGCCCTGCAGCGGCACCTCGATCGGGTGGCTGGAGCGCTTGCCGTCGAGGTCGAGGGCGCGGTCGAGGTGCATGTTGATAAACTCGGACGCCGACTCCCACTCGGGGAAGCAGCGGTCGAGGATGACGACCTCGCCCATGAGCGTGGCAAAGGCCTCGTTGAGCCACAGGTTGTCCCACCAGTTGAGCGTGGCAATGTTGCCGAACCACTGGTGCGCCACCTCGTGCGACTGGACGCCGGCGGTGCGCTTCTGGCCCTGCAGGCCCGACTTCTCGGGGTCGTAGAGGTAGACCGAGGTGCGACCGGTGATGAGGCCCCAGTTCTCCATGGCGCCGGCGTCAAAGTCGGAGGCGACGAGCGTGTCGAGCTTGGGCAGCGGGTAGGCGACGTCAAAGACGCGCTCGTACTCGGGCAGAACCTTGACCTTGACGTCGAGCGCGTACTGGGCCTGGTGGATGTACTCGGGCGTGGTGTAGACCTTCATCGGGATCACCTTGCCGGTGAGCGGGCTGGTGTAGCTGCTCTCGATGCTGACGAACGGACCGTTGGCCCAGGCGACGAGGTAGGTCGAGACCTTGGGCGTGGTGGCAAACTCGGTCAGCGTCCACTCGTCAGAGGCGGTGCTGGCCTCGGTCTTGCCCTCGGTCTTGCCGGCCTCGAGCTTCGACGTATCGAGCTCGAGCTCGGCGGCGCGCAGGATCTTGTCCTGCTCGGCCTGGGTAACGTCCTTGGAGCTGACGACGTTCATGTTGGCCAGCGCCACAGTCTCCTTGCGGTGGATCATGCGGAAGGTGTAGGTGGCCTTGAGGTTGGGCTCGTCCCAGGTCGGGATCGCCTTTCGCGCCGCGGTGGGCTCGAACTGCGTCAGGGCGTAGAAGCCCTTCTTGCCCTCGTGCTCCCACGTCGAGCGGTACTGTAGTCGTCGCGAGGAGGAGGGGGGATAACAGACCATGCTCACTTGTCAGTCAGACGAGCAATTGAAAGGCAGCGGAGCGGCATCCTCCTCCTCTTGCCGTCTCGTAAACTCACGTAGCCTGATGAGGGTCGAGCATCATTTCACGACGATTGCAAGACAGCACTCGCGGAAGTCAGCAAAAACAGGTCCATCTACCACGCCGTCCGTCATGCGCCGTTGACCATTCGCTACTCACCGGCCATGCTGTTGTCGATGTTGCTGGCAAAAGCGACGACGAGCATGGCCTTGGAGCCCTTGGGCAGCTTGTTGGGCACGACGGCCGTGGCGCGCTCGTGCTTCTCATCGATGTCGAGCTTGATGATGCTCTTGTTGTCCGTCTTGAGCGCCTCGGACGTGATGAGGGCCTTGCTCAGGTGCAGCTTTGCGCCGGCGTTGAAGGTGATGGTGTCGGTCTCCTCGGCGACATCGAGCGAGATGGTGGCGGTGCCGGAAAAGGTGAGCGCCTCGAGATCCGACTTGAGGGTGATGTCGTAGTGGGTCGGGACGACGTGCTGAGGCAGCCGGAACCACTTGGAGGCGTCGTTGGCGGCGCTCATGTTGGGCGAGGGGAGGGGGAAGTGGTCGCCCTGGGTGCACACGGAGTGATTGCGGGACGAGGCGGGAAAGGCAAAGAGGCGAGTCGACCGGGCGAGCTGGCAGTAGCGCGGAGCCGGTGAGATGTGGCAGGCGAATGAGGCGAAGAGCGCAACGAGGAGGGGCAAGGCGAGCGTATAAGCGATCGTGCTCGTGGTCGTGCTCCTGCTCGACGGCATAACGAGCTGGGCCAGCGGCTACAGGGCGATGCTGCGAGAAAGCCAGTCGCCGTGGGAAGGGTGCGATTGCTCGACGAGACACTGTGGGATGCGCACCTTTGGTCGAGAGTCGGCTTTGCTGGCGAGACTCGTGCGGAGGGAAGGGAGGAGCGAGGTTGGCCGAGAGAGGCGAAGGGGCGGTGCTGCTGCTGATGCTACTGCTGCTGCTCGAAGGGGCGAGTTAGCGAGTAGTAGGCGTTGCATCTGCGCGAATCGCACGTGGTGAGCATTGGGACGGAGGGAAGGGGGAGCAACGGGGCAAGGCCGAGGTCAGCGTCGTCGGTCGCCACTGTCTGTTGTCTCCACAAAGCGCCGAGGCGATCAGCGGCGACTCACAAAACAGGTCCCGAGGAGATGTAGAGAGGGGAAGAGGATGGTCTTTAAGAGGGAAAGGAGGGAGGGGAAGGGGAGAGAGGCCAGGTAATGGTTGACTTATGAGTTGGGGCTGCACGTCGAGGACGGGGCACGGAGCGCCGTCTTCCTTTGGCCCACATGAAAGGCGGAGCGGTCGCGCTGCCGATTCTGCTGCTACGGGTACAGTACTCACCTGGGGGTCCTTGGGCTGGAGACGGTGGTGGTGTGGGTGGGTGGTAGTGCTGCAGCAGCAGGCAAAGAGAAGACTTTAAGCTCGCGTTTGATTGAGGCTGGGGAGGACGGAGGGTAGGCCAGGGTTGCGCTCGAGCGGCAAAAAGACAAGCAAGCAGGCAAGCAAGCTGGGCAGGCTTGCGTGGCCCGACGGAGAGCAGGCCAGGCAGGGTGCCTGCGTTGCCTTGCGTGGCCAAGCCCAGGTAGGGTGGGGGGGCCAAGTGCGCTGCGCGGAAAGCGGCCCACCTGATGCTGCCGCCCGCACGGACGCGCGCCAGCGAGTCAAAAAGGCAAGCAGGAGGCCAGGCCGGGGGCCAGCAAGCAAGGCGGTGCGCCGTTCCGCTTCTTCGGCCGCTCGACCAACCGCGACCAACCAACACAAAGGCGTCCGCTTTTTTCTCGACTCGGAAGACGGTGGCCCGCGCTTCTTCACGCTTCTTCGCGGCAAGGCGAGGCGAGGCAGACTACAGGCCTGGTCAGGCACGCATACGGCCCCACCTCGACCGCGGCCCTTTGCTCAATCTCGCCCTGCCTAGGCTCGCCGTCAACGCCGGCCATTCGTTCGGGTGGCGTCGTTCCTTGTCTCTGCCTTGCCTGGCCGGAGCTTCCAACCGGCCCGCCCGCCCCGACCGACCGGCCGACCGACCAGCCAACCACGCACATCCACGGCCCCACTGCCGCCTCGATGTGCCTCCCAGCCCAACCCGTCCTCTCCTCGAAACACTCCTCCCGATCACACGCGCTCTCAATCTGCCAGTCCATAGAGGAATGTGCTACAGCAGCAGCTGGACCTTCCCAGAGCTGCGCCCTATGCTGTTCTCGAGTTCTGCTGCGGCAGAAAAGAAGAAGGCTATATGTACAATTGCTCGTCTGCGGGTCTATCCTCGTGCCCGCTCCTGTTCGCGGGCCGGTTCATCCGGGCATCGATGGTTGCTAGGCATGGCGGGAAGCAAAATGGCTGGTGTCGTATCGTTGCAGCTCGTGATCGCAAAGTCATTAGGATGGTCGACCAGTCGGGGGGTTGGCCGTCCGAGGCTCCCGCCGGCCTAGGCCTTGGCGCGGTTGCGCACAATCTCGTCGCGCGTGATGCTGCTCCTCTCGCACATGCCGCGGAAGATGCCGTCGGGGCGGTCAAAGAGCGCCAGCGGCGAGTCGTACTCGGCCAGCTGGCCCTGGTCGAACACGGCGATGCGGTCGTAGGCCAGGATGGTGCGCAGCCGGTGCGCAATGCAGAGGATGGTGCGGTTGGCAAACTCTTCTCGAATCGTCGTCTGGATCTTGGCGTCCGTCTCGAGGTCGACCGAGGCCGTCGCTTCGTCGAGCAGGATGATCTGCGAGTTCTTGACCAGCGCCCGCGCCAGCGAGACGAGCGACCGCTGCCCCACCGACAGGTTGCCGCCTTCCTCCTCGATGATCGTGTCGAGGTTGATGCGCGACGTCCTCGCCTTGGGCGTGTCGGCGCCCGAGGCAGGCGTTGTCGTCGCCACCGCCGATCCGGACCCGTCATCGGAAGCCTCGCCGATCGGCAGCGCTGCCGGCGTCTGCTGCCCCGTCGTGTCGTCCGAGACGAGGTAGGCCCGCTTGAGCGCGTCGTTGAGGCGCGCGTCGTCGTACTGGTTGAAGGGGTCGAGGTTGGAGCGCAGCGTGCCGCTGAACAGCAGGGGCTCCTGCGGCAGGATGGCCAGCCGCCTTCGCAGGTCCTGCAGGCCGATCTGCGACACGTCGACGCCGTCGATGACGATGCTGCCCTCGCTCAGCTCCACCAGCCGCAGCAGCGCCGTCAGCAGCGAGCTCTTGCCGGCGCCCGTGCGTCCGACGATGCCCACCTTTTCGCCATCGCCCACCTTGAACGAGATGCCCTTGAGTACCGAGGGCAGCCCGGGGCGGTAGCTGAGCCAGACGTTGTTGAACGCGATCGAGCCCGTCTCGGGCCAGCTGTCGCGGACCGGGTTGTCTTCGCGGACCTGGGCGGCCTCCTGGTCGAGCGACTCGGCGTAGTGGAGCAGGCGCTCGACCGACGCCGTGTCGTTTTCGACCTCGGCCACCTGCCGCGTCATCCACGCAAACGCCTGCGACACCGTCATCATGTACGTCAGCGCCACGCCGCTGTTGCCGCCCGTCAGCGGGTTGGAGCTGGCCGTGGTGAGGATGGCGACGATGAGCACCAGCAGCGCTCCCAGCAGGTCGAGCCGCACGCCGAGCCAGCGCTGGTTGGCGGCGCTGGTGAGGTAGGCGCGGTTTTCGATGTCCATGCGCTTGATGTTTTCGCGGATAAAGGTGTTGGTCTCGCGGTAGGCGCGGATCGTGGCCAGCCCGGAGAGAGTCTCGGAGAAGTGCGAGTAGAGGCTGGAGCGGAGCAGGGCATCGAGCCGCTTGACCTCGCGCGCCGACGAGCGGTAGAAGAGGGCGCCGAAGAAGTAGAAGACGAGGACGACGGCGACGGCGATGATAAAGTAGTGGGTCAGGATGGTGATGAGGATGACGGCGCCGACGACCGAGGCCATGGTGTTGGCGGCCATCCGGATCGCGTCGGCCAGCTGGTTGTCGACCACGTCGACGTCCTTGGAAAAGCGGTTCATGATCCTGCCGATCGGGGTGACGTCGAGCCAGGCCATGGGCGCAAACATGACGCGCGAGATGGCCTCGCCGTGCAGCCGGCGGCAGGCGTAGAAGCTGAGGTAGCCCATCGCCATGCCGACGATGAACGTGAAGATGGTCATGAGCACGCCGAGCGCGGCAAAGATGCCCATGTAGAAGCCCTGGCTCTGGTGGAACTGGTCCGCCTGCCACCAGACGAGCCAGTACGAGTTGAGGATGTTGGTGGCCTGCATGGCGACCAGGCTGAGGACGCAGATGGGCACCATGACGACGCCGTTGCCGAATTTGAGGTAGGAGTAGTAGACGTGGCCCGAGATCGAGCCCGTGTTGCGCTCCTCGGCCTCCATCAGCGTGCCGGACTTGTCGTTCTTGCCCTTGGAGAGGCCGGACCGCTTCTTGACCTTGGCGTCCTGGATGTCCTCGGCCGTCCCCTCGACGGCCTCGCCCTCGTCTGCCTTCTTCTCCTCGTCGTCCTTTTCCTGCTCGCCACCGAACTCCTCGATGAGCCGGTGGAAGGGCCCGTGGGCGGTCGACAGCTGCTGGTAGCTTCCCATCTCGGCGATCCGGCCATCCTCGAGCGTGATGATGCGGTCCACCTCGGGCAGAAAGTGGAGCGCGTGCGTGACGAGGAGCACGGTGCGGCCCTTGGCACGGAGGCCGAGGATGGCGTTCTTGAACAGGGCCTTGCCGACGTGGGCGTCGACGGCCGACAGCGGGTCGTCGAGACAGACAATCTCGGCATCGTAGTACAGGGCGCGGGCGATGTTGACGCGCTGCTTCTGACCTCCGCTGAGGTTGACGCCCTTCTCGCCGATCTCGGTCATGTCGCCGGCGGGCAGGATGGCCAGGTCCGCCTCGAGCTCCGACACCTTGACCGCCTCCCAGTACCGCTCCTCGTCAAACGACTGGCCAAACAGGATGTTGTCGCGGACCGTGGCGTTCTGGATCCAGGCGCTCTGAGAGCAGTAGGCGACGCGCTCGCTGCCCCACTGCACCGTGCCAGACGTCTTGCGCATCTCTCCGATGCAGGCCTGGAGCAGGGACGACTTGCCAGACCCAACAGGACCCACGATGGCGACGAGCTCGCCCTTGGCGATCCGCAGATTGAGATGGTGCATGGAGAAGGGCTCCTGCACCTCTTCGGCGGGCGTGGCGTTGACCGCGGCCTCCTCGGCCGGGGCGCCGCCAGAGGCCGCTCTGTAGAGGGCCGTCGCTGCACCGATCCCGGAGACCTGGCCATCGCGCGGGGCGACGCCGCCCTCGCCGGAGGTCCTTGCGACGCCGTCGTCGGGGTGGACAAAGCCAGCGTCATCGCCCGCCTTGGGCTCGATCTTGGCCTCGCTCAGCGTGGCTTCTCCGTTGTCTCCGGCAACGCCAGCAGCCTGCTCGGCTTCGACCTGCTTGTAGAGCGGCACCTCGGCCTGGCCCTGTTGTCCTGACGTCGGCGATACGGCCGAGGAGGCAGTGACCGGAGCCGGCAGTCCAGGGGCAGGAGTCGCAGCGGGAGCGGCCTTGCGGAAGACTTTCTTTGCTCGGTCCTTGAGCGCGCCCTTGGCGCCTCCTGCTTTTGCACGTCTAGCTGCACCGGCGCCTCCAGCCCCGGGGCCGCCAGGTCCGCCCTTGGTGGGCGGTGCCGCATCGGCCTCGACCGTCTCCCAGCGGAAGCTGGCGTCGCGGATGACGAGGGCGTCGTCGCCCTTGTCGTCGTACTCGAAGGCGTCGTCGAGCTGCTCGGCGGTGAAGACCGAGTAGAGGCGCTCGAAGGCGTTCATGGCGTCGGTGGTGGAAGACAGGCAGAGGGGCAGGAACATGAGCGGCATCCTGAGCAGCTGGAAGAGGGTGAGGGCCGGGAAGACCTTGGCAGCGTTGAGGTCGTGGCCCGAGGCGCTGTAGACGACGAAAGCCACGACGGCGGCCAGCACGGGCAAGCTGAAGGCGACGGCGTTGTTGGCCGCACGGATGATGAGGATGCTGCGGATGTCGCGCAGCTCGCTGTTACGGATCTCGCGGATCTTCTGCAGGAAGCGCGACTCGTGGCTGAACGACTTGACGATGCGCATGCCGCCAAGGACCTCCTGGATGCTCTTTGCGCGCTGATCGGTCCACTTCATCGAGCGCCGGCGGATCATGAAGAGGCACTTCATCGTGTACGTCTGCAGCGGGGCGGCCAGGACGAAGATGGCGAAGCCGGCGAGCGCCGAGGGTCCGATCTGGGTGAGAAGGATGATGAGGCAGACGACAATCTGGATGGGCGCGGCAAAGATGATGGTGAACCAAGCCGAGGCAAAGTCGATGCGGCTGCAGTCGGTCGAGATGTGGTTGACGAGCTTGCCGCTCGAGCGGGCCTTGCCGTTCATCCGCATGGCGCGGTTAAAGATGGCGGCGATGAGGGCGGCGCGGCTCTCGACGCCGACCGACATCGACTTCCAGAAGAACTGGTGCTGGCAGACGCTCGCCAGCAGCTGCATGAAAAAGAGGGCAAACGCGAGGCCGATGCCCCTGCCAACGCCGGGTCCATCGGTGTCGGTGGCGGCGGCCGCGTAGCGCTCCTGGGTGAACTGGATAATGGCCTTGAGGACGAGTGGTGAGGTGATCTGGGAGGCGTCGCCGACAATCTTGAAGGCCAGGCCGGTCCACAGCTTCCGGCCCATCTGATCGTGCATGGCCATCACGAGCGAGGGCCGCTTGTGGCCCGAACGAGGCTTCTGCGGCGATGCCTTTTGGGCAGGCGCAGCGGCGCCCGATGTGGGGGCGGGAGGCGGCGGCGGCGCGCGCCACGCGGCCTCGCGCTCCTTGACGCTTCCGCTGCCAGGCTTGAGCGCCGACTGGAGCGTCCAGGTGGCCTTGCGCTTCCAGCCAGGACGGATCTCGCCGCATTCGAGCTTCTCGTTGTACTCCTTGGCCTCCCTGACACGACGCTCCCAGTCGCGCTGCAGGGTGACCGAGAGCTTCTCGGAGCCGCAGTCGTCGGGCAGCTTGTAGAGGTCGGTGGCCTCGAGCGGGCGCTGGTAGCCCAGGACCATTAGCGGCGTCAGCCACTGGAAGTAGAGCTGGCTGAGGATGTTGGCGGTGGCGAGCGGGCTGGGCCGCGCCGCGTCAAAGTTGGCAGGAGGGGGCGGTGGCAGGTCCTTTGGCCGCCACACCTGCCACCAGCGTTCGCGGTGTTTCCCTTCAAAGGCGCGGACGCCCGGATTGTACTCGTAGCCGTCAGCCTCGTCCTTGGACGCTGGCGTGGTGCTGTCATCGGCGCGGGCCGGCTTCTCGAGGCTGGGCGAATGCTCAGAGGATGCAGTGGTCCACCTCCGCCGCTTCTCGTCATCCTGGCTGGCGTCTGAGGCGACGGTGCCGCGGGCCGCTGCCGCGGTATGCGCATCCAGACCGAGATCGACGGACGAGGTCTGGGAGGTCGAGCCGGCCGACCGTGCGGTCTCGCCGATTGCGACTGGTGTTGTTGATTGGGTCATTTTCCGCGGCGGTGGCGGTCGCGCCGACGGCGAAAGTGGGCGAAGCGACGCGTCGAAAGGGCAGAGGTGGCCCGAAGCCGCTTAATCTAGACCTCTTCGACGATCGCTGCCGGCCTCGAGAAAAGTCGTCGAGGGTCGAGGGGTAGATGAAGCTGCAAATGCACTGGTGATGGTCGAGACCAGGGCGGCCTGTGGAAGGATGCGGGCAATGGTCGCTTGGCGTCCTCAAGGTTGGAGCGAAGGAGGTTCTTTGTGGAACGAGGAGCTGGCCGGGTAGAATGGGAACGGAATCGACGGTGGCGAGGATGATGATGGTGAAGGAGGTAGATTCAGCGGGGTCGGGCGGGAAGCTACATGGAGGACCACGAGCGGAAGACTGAGCCATGCGGCCCTGTTGAGGCGGAGAAACAGAGTAGGCAAACTACCGGTAAGTCGCTCAGGCCCCAGGCGTCGCTTCCAAGATTTCGATGGTGGCGGCCATCCGGCGGCTCGGAGGTCGCTGCACCGATACAAGCAAGACAAGAGGCGGGCATACGGGTGCGCGCAGCCGGCCGGTGGCAAAGCAGGCAGGGCAGGGCAGGGCAGGGCAGGGCCAGGGTGCACCCGCTGGGGCCTCGACGACGTGGAGGGCCTGGTGCTGCTGCTGCTGCTGCTGCGCCATCGTCAGGCGGTGCCCGGAGATACCGAGACGGGCTAAGTTACGGGCGGGGGCGTCGGCAGCCCCGCCTGGCTTCCTAACCTGTTGATGCGCCTACACGACCTGGCGCGGCACCCTTCTTTCGGAAACGGCCCAGGGCTCAAAGCAAGCGTCGAGCATGCATGCGTTTAGAGAGCCCAGCGGATGCCGCGAGGTTTTTTCCTCGACGAGCCCAGCCACCTCCGTCGGATTTCAGATCGACAAAGGGGTCGCTGGTGCACCGCACCGCACTGCATGGCCTGGCCTGGACCACCTGGCTGGTCAAAGGCGTAGGCAGGAGTTGCGAGCACTTAGGGTCGCCAGCGACGCTTCGGATCTCTGCACCTCTCTCTTCATCCGTGGCGGATACAGATCGACGGTGGCGGGACCCTCTTCGGGATGCTGTGCTGAAGCCGAGGAATTGGATTCCTTTGTGGTTGAGGTCAGCAGGCGAGGCGAGGCGACTTGGCGGCCGCGCGTACGTCCTGGTTTGACTCTGCCGGGCCTCTGTCGGCTTGGCCGGGCTCGGCCCGAGTTGAACCTGCTGACAACACGCCCCTGCCAGCCCCTTTCCCTTCTCAATCGCAGCGTCTCCGACGGACCGCATCGTTAGAGGCTGGCTTGTCTGCTGAGCAAGTCGAGAACGCGCGCCACAACTCTGACAATATGGCAAGACAGGTCTGTGTAGCAAAGGGATCGGACCACGGCCATGGCGATGGAGGGATGCTCTGGAGATGGCAATTGAGGCCGTCGTCTAGCTGGCTTGTTGACTCCGTCGTCGAGATCGGCGCTGACCGACACGCATGATGAGATGACCCCCCGCCAGAACAGTAGGCCTGGCCTAGCTCGGAAAGTGTTTTGCCGCTGCGAATCGCTTCGGGACGCGGGACAGCCATTGGTACCATGCATACGCGCGCTGCCGTCTGGACGATGACTCCATCCGCCCCAGCCCCCTCGTCCCTTGGGGAGCTGGGAGCTCGACTTTCCCGCGGAGGTCCCGACGCCCAGCAAGCAGGCTCAGTCGGTGGTGGCCCTCGTCGTGACATGCACGCACACTCTCGGTATCGGCCCGACCAGCCTGCGTGCTACACACGAGATCAGAGAGAGGGAAGGTAGCGTAGGCTGGCGGGCGCAAGGGCGGCAGGCAGCTAACAAACAGCACCTCGTCGGCGAGGAGATCACCCGCTCGCGCCCTACCTGGCAGGCGGCAACACGTACGTACCTTGGTCCCTGGGCTAGCCTGCCTCGCCCGTACCTTGCTTCCGCTGCGCCCCACCGCGCCAGGGGGGCACTTTAACGGACCCTAGCCTGTCTACCTGGCTTTGACAGGTCCTCATTTTGCTGGTTGTCACGGCTCGAAGCAGAACCATACAGTAGTACGTACGTCGAGCAGATTGTGGCTGCTCGTCGTCGTCGTCGTCGTCTTCAGAGGTCAGGTAGGAGGCAGGCAGCAGATGGTTATCTCGTGGACTGACCGCGAACGGCGGCCACTTGCTTGCAGCCACACCTGCCGCCTGCCGCCTGCCGCCTGCGTAGCGTGGCCCGTTGCGGCGCGGGCATGCACATGCGGAGGGCCAAACGGCCGCTGCTGCTGCCGCTGACCTCATGCCGGCGGCGGCCAACTCCGACGCCAGCGGCCGCCTCTGCTCGTCAAAGCAGCACCCCCGGGCCCTTCGGCCGAACACTGCCGAGGCCCGTCACCTCCAGCGGATCGAGGCATAGGCACGAAGGCGCACGGCTGAGGAAGAACAGAGCATGGCGATGGCATGGAAACATGGGAAGGACCGAGAGCAGAGGATACAGGATTATGTACTGCGCGTCTAGTAAGTACTGTAAGTTATGAAGACGAGGCGGGATTGCAAGAGAGTAAGGGAAAAGAGCCTTGGGAACTGATATGCTACGAAACTGCTGGTTGGGAGGATTCCTTCTGCTGCGCCGTCGACCGCCTACCGCCTTCTCACACGCAGGGATCCCAGAGGAACTTGAGCCTGCTCCCCGCCACGGCCTCCTGGCCCGGCTGCTCCTCCCGCGCTCCCGGACGGCGGCCAGCGAGCCTCGACGACGACGACGACGACGACATCGACGGCGGCTGCCCGACGATCCCTGCACCAACCTGGCGCGACGCCTCGCACCGCTGAGGCAGCGGGACAAAGTCGTTGGCGCGGTGCTTGCCCCATCTGGGCTTGAGCGGGCCCGAAATCTTGTGCTTCTTGATCATCTCGAGCTCGAGGCTGAGCATGAGGAGGTGCGAGCTGTTGCTCAACAACCGGAGCCGGATGTGGGTCCCTGCCGACGGGGAGCTGAAGACGGCGCCGTGGCCAGCCGGACCCGTCGAAGTATTGTCAGCGGCCGCGGCGCTCGGTGCGGTGGAGTCGGTATGGTCGCCGGCGCGGGGCGGATACGAAGGCCCACGTCGTAGGTGCTGGTTCATGGTCAGCGCCTTGGACGACGTCAGCGTCTGCCCAACGCTCGACGCCACCACCTTGACCGCACCGCGACGGCCGCGCGAGCCTCGCGGTGGCGAAGACACGTCGCCGTCTTCATCGGTCGACGACGCACCCGGTCCCCTGCGCGCGGCGGCGGCGGCATAGGTGAGATCGGGCGAGCTGCGCACAGCTCGGATCGCCGAGCCGTGACCCAAGGAGATGGAGCCCAGCGTCGAGGAAGTCGACGAGGAGCCCTCGCGCCTGCGCGAACTGAAACCTCCGCCGAACAGGCCGACGGCGCACTGCCGCTTGCCGAGCCGGCTGGGCGAGGCCTCGCGCACAGAGTCTCGTCCACGGCCACGTCCTTGCCGGCCGCGCGATCGAGCCCGGCTCGAAGCGCCTTGCTGCTGGTCGGAGTCCGATGAAGTGTCGTCGCTGAGCTGCCGACGGCCGGCTCTTCCGCTCCCCGAAAGATTATCGCTGTCCTCGTCCTCGGCTTCCTCGTCGATTGCAAAGGCGGAGAAATCCCTTGGGACGAGCGCCTCGGCCTTGGGCCGGGTCGAGCGTGGGCCCGAAGACCTTCGCCGCTGGCGGCGGCTCTGGAACCTCCGGAAGCCGTCTTCGTCTTCTTCGCTCAGCTTGGCACCAGAGGCGGGGCTGGACTCGGACGCCGCCTTGACCTTGTCTTCCCGGCGGTGGTAGGTAGGGGATGTCGGTGCAGAGGCGATGTCCGTTGGCCGCCGCTCATCGTCGAGGCAGTCGCTCTCAAACGTCGGGATCACGATGCTGAGCTCGAGAGCCTTCGGCCGACGGCCCTTGTCGTCAGACGATTCGACCTGAGCGACGTCCTCAGAAGGCCGGGCAGATTGACGGTCCCCTAGCAGCGATGCGGACTTGGGCGGTCTCGGCATGTCCGCACGAGGCTGAGGGGTGACTCGCTTCGCATCGTGATCGAAGGCATCGGGCCGGGTCGAGTCGCGGTCGACCTCAGAGCGGCTGCGGCTGCGGCTTCTGAAGGTCTGCAGGTGCACGACCGACGACAGCTCCGTGTCGGGATCGATGGGCTGGCCCAATCCCGAGACGTACGCCGAAGGGTCGTGATCGCCCTCGTAAGGGTTAGCCACGCCGCGCCCCTTCTTTGCGAGCGCCGACGGCTGGCTCGATGATCGACGGTGCGACACGCCGCGGACACTCTCGCTGCTGCTTTGGCGCGAACAGCTCAGGGAAGTCGGCGGCGACGGGCTCGGCGACGGCGAGGAAGGCCGGCCCATGCGGAGTGCGGCTTGCCTCCTTGCCTCGACATCCTCGTCGCTGAGCGAACCGTGGTCACTGGCATGCCGGAAGATGCTGGCGAGGTCGGCCATGGTGCCAGGCTGACCAGCGCCGCTCGTCGCGGAGCTCGATCGCGCGTGCGCCGCTGATGCGTTCGCCTCTCGAGCCTGCCTGGCGGCAAGACCGGGAAGCAGGATGAGGTTGGGCAGGCGGGCGAGATTTCGCCAGCTGTTCGAGAGCAGACCGGGCGACGCCGCAACAGGGTCCACCTGGTCCTCGGTTCCCGCAGAGGCTTGGCGGTCGCGACCTTCGTCCTGACCCTGACCGGCTCGGGACCACAAGCGGAAATGGCTCTGCAACCCGGCGAGCCTTGCCTGGTAGGACTGCGATGACGGCCGCGCTGGAGGTGTCTCGGGTTCCTCGATGGCAGGGCCACGCCCAGCCGCGCCTCCGTCGTTGTCATCGTTCTCTTCGTCGTCAAGATCGCCGATGATCCAGGATAGCTTCCTGCCGCGCTTGGCCGCGGTAGTCTTCGTGTCGGTCTCTGAGGCCGAGTCCTCCTTGCAGAACTCGACCTGATCGACCTCAATCATGTCCTCGATGCTGTTCATCGTGATGCCCAGCAGCGGGTCGGATCCGGAGAGCACGGGAACGGGCACGATGGGCTTGACCGTGGTATGTTGCAGCGGCGGGCTCTGCTGCACCAGCGAGGTCGAGGGCGCCGATGAGGAGAGCGATGGAATGCTCGTTCCATTCGAGGCCGAGGAGCCGTCTGGGAACGAGAAGGCGCCGCTCGGGCTACCAGAGCCGTTCGGCCTGGACCGGGGTCCGATTGGGATCGCCATCGCCAGCGCTTCCATGGCTCTGCGCGTCTCTCCAGCGATGTCGCTCGAGCTGCTGCAGCTCGACGCACTGCCATCGAGGTCCGAAGGGCATTCGCTGGTCACCGTGAGCTCACTGCTGAGAGACGAGGGTCGAAGCGACCTTCGCCTCTTGGCGTCTGACCCAGCGTGACTTTTTGACCGGCTTGAACGCTCCTCGTCTGCTCCCACGCTCGGCGACAAGAGGATCCGCATGCCCTTCCACCGATCCCGCTCGACGCTCGACCACCTGCGCGAACGTCGACGCCTAGGTGCACGTTTTTCGACGCCCACCGCGTTGCCGTCGTCACCGTCCTCGTCGCCATCCGAGGTGAAAGATACGCTCGTCATATCGCCCCCGCCGTCGTCAACGTCATCGTCGTCGTCGTCGTCGTCATCGTCCGATGGGAAGAGAGCGCCGTCCTGAGATGTCTCCCTACTCCTCAACGTCGGCGATGAGGCAAGGGAGCTTCGGTCACTAGGTGCGATCCTGCTTGCAATGCGGGCTCGCCGGTCCTGCGATGCCTCCGGATCGCTCGTGTCTTCGCTGCCGCTCAGGACGCTCGCACTCGCGCTCCTTCGACCCCAACGACGGCTCGGGCTTACGTTGGCGCTGCGACCTCTGCTGACCTTGTAGAGCGAGGGAAGGGCGGCGCACGTGGCGGCGAGGGAGGACTTTTCCGGGGCGGAGATCGATGCAGACGCCAGGATGGAGTGGCCCAGCAGCCGGCCGTACTCTGCTGCGGTCCCCGTCAAGGCCTGCGAAGCGCCTGCGGCGCGCAGCGAAAGGGGTTCCGCCAGGGTGGACCGAGAAGATCCGGAGCGAGGGTGTCCCGATCGCTTGCGACCCCATGACGATGTGCCGGCCCTTGCTCTGACGTCGACGTCTTCCGGGGAGCGGGAGCGAGGCGTCGTCTCGTGTGCGCCTGCCTGCGCCTCACGGTATATCCGCCGTCGCAGCTCGCGCTCGTCGGTGATGCGCCGGGGCGTGCTTGGTCGGTAGATACGGGTACCGTCAGAGAGGAAGCCGTCGTATCCATCCGAGGATGTTCGCCCGATGCTCTTTGCGCGAGCATGAGACGCCTTTCGCGTGCGAGCAAAGGAGAGCGACAGGCGCTCGTCCTCTTCCGCCTGGTCGGGATGCTCGGCAAAGGCAGTCTCGCACTCTTGACACTGCACGGCCCCGTCTGTCGCGCGAGCCTTGCCTTTGCGGGAGTATGCCGGGGGCGGAATCGATCCGTACGGTTGCACGTAGGCAGCAGCAAAACCGGGCAACAGGCCCTGCGGTTGATGAGGATTTGCAGACCTGGCTGCCGCAGGCGTCAGCGTCGTCGGGTTGGATGTCGAGGGTGCTGATACGTGGGCGGGATCGGCCATGGCGGTGACCTGCGCTATCCGCGGCCCCTGGGCTTCCATCTTTGGAACTGGATCTCAGGAAAGAGGGACGTTTGCGTGGTCGCAAGAGCGGCAGTGATTTAACCACTCAGCGCATGAGTCGCGAGGAGTAAGAAGCCGAGTGTGGGTTGTTGTCGTGCCGAGCGAGGGGCCCAGAGGACAGAGTCTTGTTCAAGTCACCGGCGATGTGAGGTCTGGAACCCGGCGAGAGGAGCCCTCGACAAGGGCGTGTGCAGGAAGGACTTGGTGCACAAGAGTGTGGCGACGATTGAGAGCGGCGGATCGACTCCTGCTAGAGGCTGACGCTGAAGGCGGTGGCAACCTTGAGCCGGTCTCTCGCTAACAGAATGGTGTTGTCAACAGAGCGGACGGATGGGTGCTGTCAAGTGGCGAAAAGCCGGCAGACGACGAGGCTGGGTCTGGGTCGAGACGTTGGTCGAGGGCCGTCGAGTGGGTGGATGTTGAACGGAGAAAGCAAAAGCAAGGATATCGACGACGCCCCGGTAGCGTGTGGTGAGGCACGGTCGACTTCGGGGCACTGGGTGTGCTATGTGCGCAGAAACCGGCCAGCCCAGATTCTGAGCTGATGATGGCAGGGCGTGTGGTGCTAGGACGGGGCGAAGGAGGTGGCGGCAAGCGGTGCGTGTCGTGTCGTGTCGTCGTGGTGATGGTGGCGGTGGTGTCGGTGGCGGCGCTGGCGCTGGCGCTGGCGCTGGCGGTGTGATTTCAGCGAGGAAAGCGTAGGGGCTCGGGCGGGGTCAAGCTAGGTCGGGAGCGAGCGTGGACGGCAAGGAGCAGGCAGGTACGGAATGCCCGCTAGGCTAGGCTGAGTCGGTAGGTTGGCAGATCAGAGGGATGAGGAGGGCTGATGTGACGAGGTGGGTGAACGCAGGCGGCGGTCGGACCCCCTGGCCCTGTACCGTAGTCGACTCTTGATGCAGGCTCTGCAGATGAAAGCCGTACAGAGCTCGCTCTGCTGATAGGCCGGGCCTGCCTGACAAAAAGGATGAGATGAGTGGTGGTGGGGTGGATTGTACGACGTGCAGGCCCCTGTTACGTTTCGTTGGTCGGTCGGTCGCGGTCGGGTCCCCTCTCTGGCAGTGAGACCAATGGCAGCGTTGCCAATTGTCGGCGATGTTAGGTACGCTGAGGGTGGCGCTCCGTAAGTGAGGGTGAACACTGGAGCGATGTGATGATAGCGTGTGGCTGAAGCAGATCAGGTCGAGTCAAGTCGAGTACGTGGCGGGTGCCGTATGGAGGTGCCGAAGCAGGTAGGCACGATGTGAGCTGGGCCTCGCGACCTCGGTGGTTGCGGCGAGGTGAGCGTCGGTTGGCCTGGCAGCACGAGTGCAGGCAGGCCAGGCGTAGGGCTGGCGGGCTGGCTCAAGCGTCAAACCGTACGTACCCGCCGTCCGTTTCTCTTGGCTGGCCGTGCCTGGCCCTCGCCGTGACAAATCGGTCGGTGCACAGGCAGGCAGGCAGGCAGGCGGGCAGGCAGGCGGGCAGGCGGGCAGGCAGGCAGGCAGGCAGGCAGGGTGAAGATTTTAGAGCTGCCGGCCCGCGTAAAGTCACACACACGTACCCACCCGCGGAGGCCGTAGACGAGGCCAAGGAGGCAGGCAGGGCCCTCGCCCTCCCGCCTGCCTGCCTCTTGCTTGCTGCGCAGCTTGCTTCACCCGCAGAAGAGCCGACCGCACCCGCCTCTGGCGCCTAGCCTTGCTGAGCCGCTGTGCATGACTTCACTCACACCCTCCTGCCGGCGCCTGGCGAAACCAAGCGAGACGAGCGAGGTGCCAGCCTCCGTTCCGCTGGAAGGCGGGCGGGCCCGTCCATCGTCGATCCATCCGAGCCCTCCGACTGTCCATCGCAGCCCCATCTTTTGTCGGGCCAGCCCGTCGCCGTCCCAAGCTAAGGCTGGCTGCGCTCGATGTCCAGCAGCGCCAGCAGGGAGGGGGGTCGCACCTCGTCGTCTCTCCAGCAAAGCCAGGTGGTCAGAGGTTTAGCCAGCCAGCTGGCTCGCTCGAGAGGCGGCATTCGGGATTCCCGCGGCGGAGCAAGAGGCAGGCTGCAGGCAGAGTCACCAAAGTGCGGATCGGGTGGGAAGGCAGGCTAGGCTGGCCAGAGGGCAGCACCGTAGGCGGGTACAGGAGCGGATGCATGGCGGCCGACGACCGACGAGCGAGCAGGGCAGGCACACGCGCACAAGCAAGCAGAGCTAGAACGCAACGGCCAGCGGGCAGGCAAGCAACGTGACGGGAGGAATTTTCATGCCGCCTTGCTTGCTGCTTGCTTGCTTGCTTCTGTTTGCCGCCATGCTCGACCCGAGCACCCTGGCGCTGCGACGGCGGCGGCGGCCGAGGCCGTCCTCAAACGAACGACCCTGGCCTGGTCCCGCAGGTTGGCGTGTCTGTGTGTGTGTGTGTGTGTGTGTGACACACGGCCGCCACCGTCTGACTGCTGCGTCGGCTGGAACCGGTGGCGAGGCCATCGCCCGCTTTTAGCACCACCACCTCCGTCGTCGCCGCCGCCGCCGCCCACGGTGTCTCGCGCCCGCCAAGACGCTGAGCTCCCGGTCCCCGTCGACCTCGGGCATCGGGATGCTGGCTCGCCAGCAACGAACGCCGCAGGTCCGTCCAGCGGGCGCAAGCACGATCTTGCCCGATGATGGCGCGGTGGCAAATGTGTGCGGCAATGTCCCCCGCTCTAGCTTCACCTGGCAGCCTGGGCACGCCGCGGCTGTGCTGCGCCACTCTGCCTGTCTGATCTTGGCGGCCGCGCTGGATATGATCGTCGCACCGCTTGGCCCTGTTCTGACCTTCTCTTTGATCAAAGATGATCTGATCTGATCTGATCTGATCTCGGCGGCGCCTGTATACCGTCCGTGCGTGCCCGTCGCTGCCTGTTCGGCAGAAGCCGGCCCGCCAAGGGGCCTAAGCTGCCTGCGGGTCCCGCACGTTTGGCTGGCGACGCATGCACTGCTGCACTTTGCTCGGTGCAGACGGCTGCGCCGGTTTCCATCCGAGACCTGGCTTGCATCGGGCTTGGAAGCGGCGCAGCGCATCTTAACCTCTTTCTGTAGGTCGTGGGTGGGCACCAACCGCGGTGGCCGTGGGCCGAGGCCTCGGTTGCCTTTTGCCTCGAGACGGGGCCGGGGCAGCGAAGGCGTCGTTGTTTGTGTGGCACACGATCCAGCTTCTCTTCGGAGATTTGCAGCCGCCGCTGCCTGACGTTACTCGACGTTGGCGCAGCGCTCCCAGAAGTGCGGCCTCCCCCGCTCGCCTGCCACGCCCTGCGCCCCGTCGTGGCAGAGGGCCAGGCTGCGCCATCTGCCGGTCCAGCGTGTCCCGAAGCGCTCCTCGCTGATCCTGGTCAACGCTCTGTCGGCTTCAAGGAAAGAGGAGGCCGCGACCGAACATGTCCCTTTCCCCCATTGTGTTGTCAATCCGCCATGCATGCGACCGAGCCAATTCCCACGGGCAGCGTGGCGACCTGCGCAACGTCGTCCACAAGGCAGGCCGAGCAACGATCTTGTCGACATCTGATTCGTTACCGTCGACGACCGAAAAAGTGTGTGCTCAATGGAATCGCCGGCGGCAGCGGCGGATGTTGCTGGACCGCTTGCTGGTCAAGTCGCGTGTTCTTCCTGCCCACGAATGAGGCGGGGATTGGACCAAGCTAGAATCAACGCAAACCATGTTCCTCCGGGCCCTAGTTACAGGAATCCCGCATGGCCCGGCTTGCCGGCTCGACCGGGCTTTTGGGTAGCGAGAGGCGACGCGCGCGTCTCAGTCGACACCGTCACCTTCCCTTTACCTCTCAGTCGTTCTGGGCACCTACACTGCTCTGGCTCCAGCCTCGCACTGGCAGAATCCTGCTGACCTTGCTCCTAGCCAGAATCGACGGTCAATCATCCACAGCGCGGCAGCTGGCTGCAACGAGCTTCGTTATGGGATGACATCTAAAGTGGTATCGCAAATCAAACAGACGGCAATGGATGCTGGCATGGGGCGGGAAATCCACCCCAGCCGACGAGAAGACGAAAGTGGAGCGATGCTCGAATGCGAGCGAAGATATGGAACAGCAGGACCGGGCACGTCATGGCCAAGGTTGACACGACCGACGCGCGCACGGCAACCCAGCTCCTTCAGAGGCCGTTCTGCGAGATGAATTCGATGATCTTCTCGGCGATCATGGGCTGGGCGTAGTGGGCGGTGATGCCGTGGCCGACGTTTTCGGCAATGAAGGACGAAAACTTGGAGGCGGCCGGGTAGAACTGCTTGACGCCCGAGGGGATGTCGGTGCCGTCGGGACCGCCCCAGCAGTTCGAGGAGCAGAAGATAAAGTCCTTTGCGCCGTTGACGACCTGGACGGGCTTGTTAAAGTTGGGGGCGGGCCCGCCGACGAGGCCGATGGTGAAGAGGGATCCGAGCGTGACGGCCTGCTCGGTGGACCGGGCCAGCTTGAAGGCCTGCTCAGAGTAGTACGGGGGGTAGAAGAAGCCGCGGACGTCGGAGGCCTCGGAGCCCGAGGCGAGCCAGGTGCGCGGCTTGGACGCGAGGTGCGGCAGGACGTCGGCGGCGACCGAATACGAGGCGGCGTTGAGGTATCCGGGCAGGTTGGTCACGTTGTTGGTGTATCCCGTGAGGATGGCCGCGTCGAGCAGCTCGGGCCTGGTGGCGGTGATGGCCTGGGTCTGGACTGAGCCGTAAGAGTGGCCGACGCCGACGACCTTGGGGTGCTTTTTGCCGCCGACGTTGGTCGTGTCGCGCAGCTGGCGCAGCACCTCGGCGAGGATGGCGACCTCGGTGGGCGCCTGCGTCTCGTCGAAGCCGTTGCTCGGCGTCTGCGACTTGCCCGTCCCCAGCCGGTCGTAGCGGAAGGTCGAGTAGCCGTGCGAGGCGGCGTGCTTGACAAAGCTGTACTCGGGCGACAGCGTAAAGTCCCAGTAGCTGGCGTCGAAGCCGATGCCGTGGACGAGGTTGATGAGCGCGCTGCCCTCCTTGGCGCCGCGCCTCGGCGTGCAGTAGTAGCCCTGGATGCTGTACGTCTTCTTGTTCTGCACCGTATCGCCCTTGAGGTGCGCCGAGGTGTAGTTGGCCTGGGCTGTGGCGAACTCGGTCATCTGCGCCGTGGCGTACGAAGTGTTCGAGTACTGCTGGACGACGTCGGTGAACTTCTGGTTCTTGGCGTCGATGGGGACGCGCAGCTTGACCGGCTGGCACTGGGCGTTGCCGAGACCGTACGGGCCGGCGACCGGGGCCGCATTGTCGCGCGGCTCGATCGAGATCGACGCTGCCGAGGCGAGGCTGAGCGCCGAGAGGGCAAGGGGGAGGAGGTTGACGAGCATCCTAGGCGTCAAGAGAGGGGAAGGACGAGGGGTCGCGTGAGGGTGGACGGCGAGCAGGAGAGGCGTGGGGATGGGGGATGGGCCTGGCCAAGACTAACGGCCTTTCCCCCGCTCTATATGTATGGCCCGCCCATCGTCGAAGGTGGTCCCTCTGCCGATGAGGGGCTCCTTGGGGTCGTGGACATAAAGGGTGGGACCAAGGCTGCCTGTCGCCGGGTTCTCGAAGCGCGGCGGGAAGAAGATGGGTGCGGGAAGCAGGCGGATCGGCGTGCCGCCTAAGCCCGTTTGAGGGGACGTCGGTCGGATGGACGGCGCCGAGCAATCAATCAACCAATCTTGCCTGCTCTGGCCGGCAGCTTACGACATGCGGTGGGCACGGCGCCGTAGCGGTACCTGCCTGGCATGCTTGGCCGTCATTCTCGGAAGGGATGAGGGATGGGGGAGGTCAGTGTCAAGGTCTAAGCAAAGCGAGACGCCGAAACAAGCAGAGGCAGATGCCGTCGAGCCCAGGGGGTTGTGTGCGCCGAGGCGATCCTACTCTGTAGCACAGCGACCAGGACTCTCAGGGTCTAGGTCGCACCCACACCCTGCCGCTATGACGACCGCCTGACGTCCGCCGCGGACAACCCGCCTGAAGGACCTCGTCGTCGTCGTCCTTGGCTCCCCTCTCTTGTCTGCCGCACCTATGTACAGGGACGTGCCGGTTGATCGACCTGCTTTCTCTCTCTTTCTCTCACGACTCGGACGCATTGCATCCGCGCTACGAGCGGACCATTGACCCGCCAGCAACGACGCCGCTGCTTCCTCTTTTCTTCCACGCTAACGTATGTGGGCGGGCGCGCACACGCGGTGCCTGCGCTCTACTGCCACTGCCAGTCCGACAGCGCGCAGTATGAGAGACGGATCTCGGTGGCCGAAGCCGAGAAGAAGGCGAAGGCGGTGTGGCCAAAGGTCTGGAGGGCGACGACGCCGAACCTCGCCTCGGCCCGTACCTGGCCTGGCCAGCAGAGAGCCGGGTGGGTGGGTGGGCGGGAAGAGGCGGTGGCGTTTTCACGGCGGACGACGTCGATCCTGATGCTGTTGTCGTCGTTTGTCTTGTTCGCACAGCTGCAAGCCACTTTCATGGTCCCGGGGGCAAGCCACACGGACTCATCGATGGCATTCATGGGCAGGTACACTAGTAGCATGACTACGGGCCAATTCATGGACCCACGTAGCTGCGCCAGCGGAAGAGATTGCGGCGGCGGCGGGGGCGGCGGCGACGCTACGTCGGTGGTGGGTGAGGAAGTCGGCGTTTGCGGTCTTTGAGGCGGCCTTGCTGTCATGCTGGTGCTGCGAGGGTGTGAGAGGAACGCCCGAGCGAGCGAGCCATGAGATGACGGGTGCCCTGGGCCGACCGCGTACCGTCTTTGTCCTCGTGGACGCACCTATAGTGCTGTACCTGGACTGTGCGTCGGTGCGCTTGATGGTGTGTGAAAGGCTGCCAGGTGGTCGACGCGCAGAGCATGGTGGCCGCTTGCAAAGGCAGGATGTTTGTACGCCAACGCCCTTGCAACGATGCCGACGATGGTTCAGCGGGATGAAGGCTCGATGAGGCACTACTTGATGCTGGCCAGTTTCAGGCAGGCGGCAGGCGAGCGGGCTGGCGGACAGGGTGGGCGTTGCTCATGCTGGGGCGTGAGAGACGCCGAAAGGGCGCGCAGGATGAACCTTGTTTTCGTCGAGCACGGCCTGGCCTGGTCTGGCCAGACAGCGCACCAAGGGCTCATGGTCGCGGACAGAAGAGCATCATCTTCGCCTGATTCGGAGGCGGCAGACATGTACATGTACGGCCGAAGGTATGGGAAATTCGATGATAGCCATCGTGGCATCATGCTCATGGGTCGAGGCGTGGTCGGCCCTCCGCGAATCGATGGGCGAGGGGCGGTCGGTCGGGTGGCTGGCTGGCTGCCCGTCGCTGCTTGTTCGACAGCCAAATGCCGTCGACGACGTGTGGACCTCGCCGCCTGTCCTGCTCGCCCCCCGCCCATCCTAGCCAGCGGCGATACCGTACGAGGCCAGGATCGACGCTCTCCACCTGCTCCTTCGCCAACCTAACCCTCTCGATCCGCATCCAAGACGATTCAATCGACACGGTACGGTCTCGAGCGTAGGTCCAGACCCTGCTCTGTCTCTCGCTACGCAACTCCATGGAAGGCGAGACGCGCCAGGCCCTCAACGACAGAGGGAGGTCGCCTCCGAGACGACGATGGAAGGGGTAGAACCACAGATACGTGCGTGTGAGCAAGCCCGGTGGCATCCTCTGTGATGGCCTCGGCAAACATCTCTGGCCGGCTTCCGATCGACGGCGATCCAGTCGTATCAGAGTCACAGGCAGGATTGCGACCCACCGGGGATCCTCCGGCCCTCGTGCCTTCCCACGTACGGTATCGTGCCCAGCCCCAGCCGGTACCTTCAAATCCCTGATCTCCAGCCACTGCAGCCCTGGCCGCCTGCTCAACCTACTCTTCACAGAGGGTACTGTAGCTGGTAGAGTGGCCAAAGAATGGGGGAAGATGCGTATGAGATCATCGATCCTATCCGACCGACCTAAAACGTGGTCCAAGACCCTAGGCTTTTCCCGCTGCACAGTCTGAGACACGATCTCGCAAAGCCGGGGCCGACAGAGTGTGGTGTGGTGCAAGCATCGCGAGCGACATTGTCGTCGTCGTCGTCGTCGTCGTCGTTGTCGTCGTCGTCGTTGTCGTCGTCGTCATTGCAGTTCCCGTCGCGCCGACATGGGAATGATTGTCGACGGCTGCCTAGCTGGACCTCTCGCATCGCGGCAGCGGAGACCTGGTCGACCACCCGCTCTATCCCGGCTCAGGCATCGCCCACAATCTCCTCGACTTCCATCCTCTCGGTGGGCGCCTCGCTGCCGCGTAGCTCCGAGGCGCGATGCTTGCGCTCGCGCTCCATGGCCGCAGCCGTCGATGCATCCGAGCGGCTCATTCGCCTCGAACCGCCCGCTCCAGAACCTCCACCGCCGCCGCCACTCGTCGCATGGCTGCTCGCCACCGAGTTGCCCCGCACCCGACCGCTCTTCTGCGAGCCGGCTCCGATCGACGGCGGTCTGGCAGCGGCCTCGTCCGCAGCTGCTGGCGGCGGCGGCATCGCTTCGGCCGGCGCCGCCTGCGATAGCGACGGCTTGCGCGAAGTCTTGCGCCGCTTGCCGCTCAAGCCACCCTTGCGACCGATGCGCTTGCGCGTGACCGTCTCGGTGCCGTCATCGTCAATCTCAATCACCTCCTCGTACTCCCAGTCGTCGTCGTCGTCGTCGTCGTCGTTGTTTCCGCGTCCAGTGCGAGAGCCGCTCTCCGGCGCGGTACCCTCGCGCTTCTTGACGTTGGCAGCAGCCTCGTCGGCCTCGAGCGCCGCCGCCCAGTCTCCCAGCGTCGCCGAGATCTCGGGCATGGGGCCCGAAAAGTCAATGTTGGCCGCCTGGGCATAGGCGTCGATGTCGATCGCGAGCCGGTTGTTGAGCGCATCGTCGATCTTCTTTGGGTTCGCCCGCTCCTCGATGTTCCACTTCTTCTTGATCATGCCGCGGTCCCGTCCGGGGAACAGGCGGGAGATCATCTCAAAGTCGGTGCCCCACTGGCGGATGGCCTGCAGCGCCACAGGCGGCGGTCGGCGGAGGGGAAACGCGAGCAGGATCGACACGTTAGCCGAGCTCAGGACAGGCGCGGGCGTCGCAGGGCCCCGCCGCAGCACGCAACTCACCCAGTAGAACTTGGCGTTGTCGTCGTCCGACCACCTCTTGTACCGCCCAAACGCCTTGCCACGCGTCGCGCTGTTGACGAAGCGGTCTCCCTCGCGCTCATCAACGACCTCCATGCCCTCGCGGTCCTCTTCGCCGTTGCCGTAGTTGGCAAACAGACTGGTCTCGTCGACAACAATCTTGCCGTCGACGATGCGCGTCTGCACCGCAAAGCGGTTCTCGGTAAACGAGTGCTCGGTCCCGGCCACCGAGGGCGCCCGACGAGCCGAGCGACGCGAGCTGCCCGACGGCCCTGCGCCGCTCGCCCCGTCGCCCTCCTCATCGTCGTCATCGTCGTCGTCGTCATCCACTTCTTCCTCGCCTTCGATAATCTCGTTGCCGTTGCTGCGTTTGCCACCGCCGTCGGCGTCGGCATTCGAGGAGCCGCTTGGCCCGCCCATGCCAAAGGTGGGCGCGGCGAACGAGGTGCCAGAGATGCCGAGCCTCTTGCGCTCCTCGAGCTGCTCCGCGGCCTCCTTGAGGGCGGTCTTGCGCTCCTCGGCCTGGCGTCGCCGCACCCGCTCGAGCTCAAAGGTCCTCGGACCGGCCCGTCCACGCTTCAGGTCGGGCACCGAGAGGTCGCTCATCGAGGTGCTCGAGGCATCGAGGCGGCTGCTCGGGAGGCCCGGCCCTTCGGTCTCGATCTGCTCAAAGTACTCGCGCTCGTCGTCGGAGATGGTGCGCGCCTTGCGAGAGCCTGACCGGCCGCCTGACTTTGCCTTCCGGCGCCGCACCCGGTTGCCCTCGTCATCGACCTCGCTCGTCGTCTCCCAGCCGCTCTCGTCGCTCTCGCCCATCTCGACGCCGTTGGGGTGGGCCTGGCTCCACTCGGCCAACTTGAGCTCGTACTCCTTTCTCGCCTCGGTCGCCTTGTCCTCCCACTGCTTCCTGTCCTCGGCGCCGAGGCGACGCCACTCTTCGGCCAAGAGCGCGGTCGCCTGCGTCAGGGGCGTGCTCGACAGCTCGTCTCGTCGCTGCTGCCTCATCGCACCCATGAAGAGAAGGTAGGCGCTTTGCGGCCTGCGTGGCTTGCCGGACGCCTCTTCGGCGCGTTTGAGGCGTCGCTTCTGCCGGCTGGCGGCCCGCTTTGCGGCTCTCGCTTTCCGGACCTCGTCTGGCTCTTCTTCCTCTTCCGAGCTATCGTCGTCGTCGTCGTCGTCGAAGTCATTGCCTGAGCCAGAGTCATCGTCGTCGTCGGCCTCGGCGGCAGCTGCTGTCGCGGTCGCCTTTCGCTGCTGCTGGGACGCCGTCTTTCGGCGCGGTCGCGAAGGCTCAGGTGCGTCGTCCACCACGCGACCTTTGCCCTTGGCATTGGCCGCGGATCCGCCCAAGCTCCCAGTCTCTGCCTGCTCTGGTCGATCGGCCGGCACCCTTGCCTTGTCGGCTGGCTGGGACCTGACCGGCTGGGATGTGGTTACCTCTGCCCCGCTACCTGCAACGGCACTTCTGGCTGCTTCTCCGGTGCCACCTGCGGCGGGACCGTCACGTTCTGTGCCAGCAGCAGACGGAATCGAGGAGGCGGCCATCACCGATTCGCGCCGTTCGCGCGTGGCCGCCGCCGATGGGGGTGGCATCTCGCCGGCATTGCGCGTCGAAAATGACTGTTTGTCTGCGGTAGACGACGGCCCAACAGCGGCAAGGGCCGCAGATCCGTCTGCAGAAGCATCGCTGTCGACGGCTCGGCGGTTGGAGCCCACGCTGATCGAAAAGGGCTTCTTCTTTGGCGGAGCGGCGGCGGTGGCGGCGGTGGCGGCGGTGGTCGAGGTGGAGGCAGCTGGCGCTGCGGTGCCAACATAGCCTCCGAGATCGCCGGCAGGGAGCGGAGGGATGGAGGGGGTGCGAAGGCGACTGCCAGAGGGGCTCGGCGTGACCGAGGTTCGGGAGCCCGGAGCCTGACGGGAGATCGCTGGCCTCTGGAACGGCGTATGGTTCGATGCGGATGGCCCAAGCGAGGGAGATGAGGCATTCGAAGCGCGTCCGGGGACAATGATCCTCGACGGCGATGGAGCGACGGCAAAGCTCTTACCACCAGACGAGAGAGGGCGAGGGCCTCCGATTGGCGGAGGCTGGTTGGGTCTGAGCGAGGGCGACGACTGGATAGAGGATGCGGTCGCCCTCAGCACAGGAGAAGGCGAGGCTGCAGCGAGGGATGGACGCCTGGGTGCGGCGACGGCTGGCGAAGCGCCGGCAGCCGCTGCGGACGGTGCCGGCGGTGCTGGTGTGGATGTGCCGGCAGCGGCGGCGCCGGCAGTACGCCTCGGGACGATTGAGGGCTTGAAGCGGGTGCCGCCCTTTTCGATTCTCTGCGACATGGCGGGTCAGAGGCGATGGCGGTAGGATGACACGTGAGGTGGTGCGCTCCTTGCCGACGATGTGTGGCTCGATAGCAGCGGATATAGGAGTGGAGAAGGCCTATGTGGCTGGGGCGCTAGGGCATGGTCCGAGGCGCGATGGGCGAGTGCTGTTCAAGGGTGGGAGCTGAGGTCAAGAACTGCTTGCCCGTGCTGCGTCTCTGTGGGTATACGTGAGTGTAGGGTCGACGGTCGGGATGGCAGGCACTAAGAAGGTAGGTGGCGTGGCGGGAGCGAGGCGGTGGTGGTGGTGGCCGGCAGCCAGCCCTCGGGGGCCATCCGGGCAAAGGCCTGCATGCAGGGAGGGACACGGCTGTCGGGCTGTCGGGCAGTTGGCGTCGACTTTTTAGAGGGCGGCGGCCAGCCTGCCCGAGTCCCAGGCCCGCGCCCAAATGAGCGGCTCCGAGATTGGCCCCGAGGCCCGGACCCTCCTGCAGGAAGAACGGCGAGCACTCGTGCGTCGCGGCCCTCCATCCTCTCCACCGCCTCCTCCTCCTCCTCCTCCATCCCTCGCACTGGGATCGCCATCCTTGACCCTTCCCCGCGCGCACCCTCGCCATGTCTGCAACGCCCTCTTCCACGCCGGCATCGCTGCCCGCACCAGCCCCGACAGGCGCCGCGCAAGACGTGCAGATGGGCGATGCTACCGCCGACGCCGAGTCGCAGCCCCTCCCATCGGACGCCAACAAGACCCTCTACCTCAACAACCTCAACGAAAAGGTCAAGCTGCCCATCATGAAGGAGACTCTCCAGAACCTCTTCACAAACTACGGAAAGGTCCTCTCGGTCGTCGCCCACGACAACCACCGCATGCGCGGCCAGGCCTTTGTCGTCCTCGAGGACGAGAGAATCGCAGACAAGGCCAGGAGAGAGGTGCACAACTTCCCCCTCTACGGCAAGCCAATCCAGGTCAATTTTGCCAGGACAAAGAGCGACGCAGCGGTCCTCAAGGAGACGGGCGGCTCGCAGGAGATGGACGAGTTCAAGCAGCACAAGCAAGCCCGGCTCGAGCGCAAGAAGATTTCGCGACGAGACAACCCGCTCAGGAGAAAGGAGCTCGAAAAGAAGATCCGCGCAAAGAAAGGTGAGCAGGCACGATCCCGATTCGCTGCTGCCCGTGGTACGCTCATTCGCTCATATTTCGTCCGCGCCCTCCTCTGACTTATCTGTCGCTCCTCGGTCGCGTGCTCTGCCTTTCACTCTCGCTCTTCGTCTTGTTTTCCACTCACAGCTGCTGCCGGAGAGCTCGACGACGAGACGATGGAGGCCGCCGCCGGGCCCTCGGCTGCGCGCCGGCCCGGTCAGGAGATGCCAGACGAGTACCTGCCGCCCAACAAGACCCTCTTCCTGCAAAACATCCCCGACGGCGTTGGCAAGGGCGAGCTCGAGTCGCTCTTCTCCGGGTGCGTACATCTTGAAGCGGCAACGAGGTCCTGTTGTCCACCTTCAAAGTGCGTTTCCGGCACCTCTGGGCTCATCGCTGACAGATCCGCCCACCTTGCCCCATCCTGCCCTGCGACCGACAGCTACTCGGGCTACACCGACATCCAGACGATCCCGGGCAAGGCGTCGATTGCCTTTGTCGAGTACGCCGACATCCCATCGAGCGTGGCCGCGCGCAGCGCTCTCAACGGCTACAACTTTGGCGCAGGCGACAAGCTCAAGGTGCGTCTGCGCAAGGGCAGGGCATCAGCGATCCGGCACACGACTGACGCCTCCGTCCTTTTTTCGACCCTCGACGTCGCCGCTGCTGCCATCACAGATCACGTTTGCGCGCGCATAGCTGCCCCCGCTTCCGCCGACAACATGCTTCTTGCCAAGATTCCAGGCCGTTGCCGATGCGCAGCGGCCGCTCTCGTAGGTGCCACCCACCTCCCGTTGGATTCGCATTGCACGGGGCGAATCCGCGTTTCCGTACCTGCTCGATCGACTCGAATGCAAACGCACTCCGGGCGATTCAGCCATTGTCCGTCAGTCCGAATCGGCGGTGAGCTCTGAGCTTGGGAGCGGCGATCGGCTCGCCGCGATCCTACCTGTACGGCGGGATTAGTGAGGTGACTGGACGGGCGGCGTTAACGACCGAGACGGTGGATGCAGGACGTCGATGAAAGGGACGGTTCGTTGCTGGGCTCCCTCCATACCGGTAGCAGGCCAGCATCCCCCGGCCGACACGACACCGGGCAGCGGGGGCCTCGCCGGGCGGGCGCGACGTCCCCGGGCGAGGCTGCACGCATGATTCAGAGTCGAGGCGTGTCACCCGCCTCTGATCTGCTCCTCGGGCTCGCCGCACGATCCAGGAAGTCGAACAGCATATCCGGTCGGCCGAACGGTCGCCCTAGCCTCGTTCTTGGTCGCTCGGGTTCGATGTGCCACGGCGGCGGCCCCGCCTGGCTCTTTGTTTTGTGCGGGGCCGACAGGCAGGCCGAGCCTGCCCCGTCTTTGATGCGCTGCCACACGCGATCTCAAAGTCGAAAAGGCCAGACCCCTCCTGAGCTCGGGAGGCCAGGCTAGGATGTGTACATGTGCATGGGCTCCCTCACGCGCCCACGCCCGTGCAGCTCCACGGTATCCTCTCGACGCAAACCGACGAACGGATGGGCCGTCGAGCGAAGCAAACCAGGCGGCTACGGTATTTCTAGCCGCGGGACAAGGAGGGCCGGGCAGGGTTTAGCCTGGATCATAGGATGGCGTCTCGCCTGTGCCTATTGTTGCGTTGCCATGTCACCTCCTCAATCCGCAGCCCCATGTGAGCAACATGCGTACGTCGCCTAGGCTGCTTCCTCAAGCTCTCCTTCGCCATTCGTTCAAAGGCCACGTATGGGCCCGTGTTCTAGCACGGCTCGACCTGCCTGCCTGCCCGCCTGCTGGTTTGCGTGATGCGGGCCCCTCTGCACAGTACTGGTACAGTGTCCGCGTGTTGGGTTCGTTCGCACCACCGACGCTACGTATGGCTTTCAGGTTTGCACCGCCGCGAGTACGACAACGCCAGCGTCGGCCTCTGTGCGCCGATGCGGGCATTCAGGGGGTTCGTCGAGAAGAGTAGAGTGAAATGCAGACAGGTAGCTGCCCGTCTAGCTACGTCCATGGGTAGCAGCGTCTGCTCTTGTGAGCACGGGACGTTACGCTGTGCGGATGATGCAGACGTCTAGACCGACAAAGGAGTTGCGGGCCCTCGACGGATCACAAGGGTGTGGATCGAAGGATGCAGACAGAAGCAGCCCGCGGCGTGGGCTGTCACGTCCAGAGGCTAGGGAGGTTCGACGACGGAGGCTCAGCCGACCCTGTGCCGTTCTGACAGCGAGGACCAGGGACTCGGTCTGCCGGTCCGTCTTTCCTGACCGCCATCGTCTTGCCGTCCCCCCTTGCATACGCTTCGAGGGATGGCGCTCGCCCGTGGTCCACCAGCCGGGCGGGCGATGCGGACGCTGGCTGTCAAGCATCGTGCAGACAGAAAAGATGGCGGCGCTTGAAGCACCCCAACGCTTGATTGCTTGGCCTCGAAGCCAGATGTCGCCTGTCACCAGGCCTCCGCCGGCCGGAGGGCGGGAGCGGGCCTTCGTTCTTCGTTCAGAAGGGGTGCGGCGCGGTCGAGGGAGAGGGGCGGTGCGGTAGCTCCTCCTGGCTCATCTGCGCTCCCGCTTGATCTTGCGACTCCGCCGATCTGCATGAGCAGCGAGCTGTCCCTCGAAGCTGCCGCGCTTGCCGGACTAGCCGCCGTGTGAGAGGCTACGCTGGGGATCTACAGTATCAGATACACATATGTACTGCGCTGCCAGCGCCAGCTCGGGAGGCTGCCGCCCTTCTTCCTTGAAGCTTGCTCTACCGCTCTGCTTGCTTCCTGCTCGATGCTTGCTGCTTTGTCCAGGCGTCGAGCCCCCAGGGTTCGACCGCACATCTCGCCGCGGCTGTTTCATGCCTTGTCCTATGCCAGCACAGGGCCGGGACGGTCAAGACGAGTCGCGTGTTGTACGTGCCCTGCGGGATGTGGGTAGCCTGTGGGCTCCGATGGTCGTCGTACGGGCAACAGCAGCTTGGAATCGGTGCAGGTGCGCTGGCCGGTCGCGATTGTCGTTGTCGCTGTTGCCGTCCGTCGGGCAGGGAGGGCCCTTGCTCGCTACTGAGGCGGGCGTCCCAGGATCTCGGTACGGCCTTCAGGCGACCCTCTCTCCCCTCCTCCTGCCTGGCCGCTATGTGGACAGCCCATCTCAGAGGTGTTCTTTGGCTCCGCCCTGCATCGATGCAGTCGGAGCGCGCGGCTCACTGGCTTGTAGCTATACATATCGATGGTATAGTCGCGCTGGACGCCCCGCCGGAGCTCCGATCGAGAAGGTCTGGACAGATGGACCGGGCGGCTTTGAACGGCATCGCGATCCCTGACGGCCATCGACCCAACAAGGAGGCTGTGACATCGTGCCTTCTGATCGAGGTCCTCACCCCGCCCTCCTGGTGCGATCATCGTGGTCGCGGATGGCAATCGAGGGGCAAAGGGGCCGATGCCGAATCCGAAGCCTTCCCCGCCTGTTGTTCTCCGAGCCGCGGCCAGCCGGGTTGGTGGTCTAGGCCCTGGTCTGGTCTTACACCGGCCACGCTAGTCTGGCAACCATCACAGGCTAGGTGACGAGGTTGGACGCCGCCGTCGCTCTCCGTGTCGGCATGCTCGCCCGTCCGTCTTGACGCCGATGCCGATGTCGATCCCGACGATCGATGGCGGCGGCGTTCGATGATGGCGGCGATAGCCTGGTGACGATCGCCTCGGCCGCCTCCTGGGCCGAATATCGTTTTCAATTTTGTCAGGATTTACCCACCTCACGACGTCCGGATCTCCGCCACCTCTCACACCGGCGCAGGCAGGTACAGCATACCTTTGTCTGCCGTGCTCGATGACCGGGGGTCCCAGCACAGGGACGGCGCCAGGGTCACAATGCCTTGCTGTTGCCAGCTGCTGCCAGCGCGATGGCGGAAGTCTCGCTGACCACCATGATGGAGCGCCGACCCAGCACAATCGCGCCCAACGCCACGGACTGCCAGCAACACGCGGTCAGCCGTGCGCCATCTCTCGGGCCACCAGAAGGGGCGGAGTGGCGCTGTGTTGGTGCTGCTTGCGCCACCCCCATCCACCTGCTCCCTGCTGCAGCTCGCCAGCTCGCCAGCTTGAAGGCGGATACGTAGAGAGGGCTCGAGGGCCAAGCCAACGAGTTGACGTACAGCCACACGCGCGCGCGCACGCATGCACACACACACACACGCACACGTACAGCAGCGGGCCTGGCCTGGCCAGGCAGGACAGCGCGCAGTGGGCCCGCGCAGCAGAGGTGCGGCCAGCATGTAGTCGCCTGATCCCGGAGCCCGACAGCAAGAGGGCGATCGATCGGATGTGCTCCCCGGGGCGCCAGCGAGGGCAGCGGTGGCGCGCGCACTCGCACTGGGCAGGCCGGCAGGCAGGCGCACCTAGACCAGGCTAGGCTTTGGGGGTCCCTTGGGCTGAGGAGGCTGGAGGGTCAGGCAGCAGGCAGGCCGAGCGGGCCCAGGCCCTGGCCTCCCAGCCTAGCCTGGGCAGACAGCGACGGTTCGAGCTCTCTTTTTTCGCCTCGCCTCTTCGGCTGGGAGTATTTTTTTCTTTTTTTTTTTTTTTCTTTCGCCCCGTCTCGAGCCGCGGCGCGGCGCCCGGTCAGCAGAGGGGCCTGGCAGGCAGGCAGGCAGGCAGGCAGGGGCGCACCAGGGAGAGGCGGCAGGCAGCAGGCGTAGAGGCTGTTTGCCTGCCGCTGCCCAAACGAACCTGCCCAGCCCTGCCCTGCCCAGCCCAGCGTTGCCCAACCCAGCCCTGGGCTCGCCCTACCTGCTTTTGGCCTGTCGAGAAGGCGCGCGCCACCTTGGCCAGCGCCTGGCCTGTCAGGCAGAGCAGGCTAGGGCAGGGACAGGGCAGAACCACCGACGCCGCCACCACCGCAGAAGAGCTCGACGACAGGCAGCCTGCCTGGTTAGCCGGCAGGGCGACCCTGAAACGAACCACCCTGGCCTCTCCCCACCCCCCCTCCTGAATCCATTGCCACCCTCCCTCGATCTTCGACCTCGCTCATTGGACGCCTTTCCGTCTTCATTCGACCTAGCTTGCCGCCACCTCGCGCGCTCCCCCCAGTCTTGCGCATCGCCTTGCTGCCGTCTTCGCTTCTTGTCTACATACTCGCCACCCTGCAAGTTCCTAGCCGGCACCTTCGCCACCTTTTCTCTCCTACCCAGCATATCCTTACCTTCCCGCTCCTCCATCGTCACCGCCAGCATCCGTCCCCCGTCTATCATCTCACGCTCGCATCCCTTAACGGTGCCGTTTGGCGTGCTCAGTGCGGCCCTCGCACTCTCGACGTCTCCTTCATCGTCTCTCAAGTCACCGGACCCAACAAGGCCTTTCTCGCTCGACGCCCAGCGCATCGCTCCAACCACGCCGATCGTCGCAAACTCCTTCCACCTTTCGTCCCTCGCACTGCCTCGTGGCCCGGCCCTTGTACGCTCCGCGAGCAAAGCAAGGCTGCCATCGTATCGACCGCATCGCATCCCCGCAGCAATACGACGTCGTCGCTGCCTCTCGCCTCAGGTCAAAACCCAGCTTCGACCTGGAACCTCTTCAGCACCTGGATCACCCATCTTCGTCGCTCCGCTCCGGCCAGGCGCACGACAAAGCGTCTCTCCTGCCCTACCACTCTGCATTCGCAACCCACTGTTGCTTGTCTCCTGCGGTTTCGACTACTGCTTGCATTCGCGCATCCACTCGGCATCTTGCTCCGAGAGCATTTTGACCGCCGCCGCACCACCCATACAGCTCCAGGGTACTCTCAGTGCCTCTGCCTCGAATCGGTCAACAGCGCTTGACCTCCCGTGGCAGCCTCCGCTCTCTCGCTCGCCCTCGCCCGCACCTACACCCCCTCAGCGCCCGAAACATCGAACCAAAGACTTCCACCACCCGAAATATCGAGCCAAAGACTTCCACCACATCTCGACCCCTTAGCCCTTCGCCCGCCTCTCATTCTTTGAGAGGAATCTTCAGGCAGGCTCACCTTCAGCCCCTGCCCATTCCAGGTTCTCAAAGTCTTCCGTCCCAGCATCCCACCATCTGCTCCGCCGACTCGACTTCTGTCGTCCGACCGGCTGCTCACCCCTACCTCTCACTCGAACATACGACGGGTCGACCTCGCTGTCCACCCGTGCCCCTCAGCTGTATACATCTCCTCCAAGCTCACGGCAGCCGCCGGTACCTTTTCACCAAGCCGACACGACCCTCACCACACCGTCTCTTTGAAGATGTCGGCCGCCGCGGGACCAGAAGTGGGCAAGCCTGTTGAGCCAGTTGGCGCCGACATTGCTGCTACCGCTGCTGCCGCTCCCGCGACAAGCGCCGCAGACGGCGTCCAAGGCGACGCTGTCGCTGCAGCGGCCGAAGCTGTCATCGTCGCCAATGCCGCAACCATGGCCGCCGCCACCCTCGATGGCGAGTTTGCTGCAGCGGCCGCCTCTGAGGAGGACAAGGGCAGCCAGGCAGACCCTGGCCGCTTCTCGTCTCCCCGGCCCGCTCCCGTCGACACCTGCGGCACTCCGGACGCTCGATGGGACCTCCGAAGACCATCGTACACTGCTGCTTCGCCGGGTGTTCTGTCGCTCAAGCGGCTGGCTGCCGCCAGCAGCGAATCGAGTGGCTCGTCGACCGACTGCTCATCGTCGCTCCCCTCGACGGAGCCCTCGACCACGCCGTCCGAATTCTCGACGAGCAACGGCCACGGCGACCGCAAGAGGCTCAAGATCACGCCGCGCAGATCCAAAAAGTCCAAGCATCTTCAGCTGCCACACCCGCTCGGCGTCAAGCCGCTCGGCAACGCTTTCCTGTGCCCTGGCCAGAATGGCCGCTCCGGCACTCTTGGAACGCTGGCCCTCCTCGACGACGACCTGATTGTCCACATCCTTGGCCTGCTCGCGGCCGACGACGGCGATGTGACCACTCTTGCCCGCGTTGAAGCGACGAGCCGAGGCCTCTACGCCTTTGTCAACTCGCTCAACTCGCTGTGGCGCGACCGATTCCTGCAGCGCTTTGAGGGCAAGGTCAAGAGGTGGTGCGGAAGCTGGAAGAGGACGTACGCCTGGCACCACAAGCTCGACCGCATCGCTGGCCAAAATGGGGCGCAAGGTCACCAACTCGGTGGCGCGCTCGATGCCTCTGGCCTCGTGTTGCTCGAGCCGCCAAACCCTCCGACCCGCGCCAGCCACCTCTTCTCCGACACCCTCTTCCACCCCTTCCGCCTCTCGCTGACCCCGATCGACCATTTTCTTGCGCCAGAGGCGCCCCACATTCCCATCGCCCACGTCGACGTCAGCAAGCCTGGCGCCGTGACGCTCTTCCGAGAGCGGCACGCCGAGGCCAACGTACCGGCCATCATCGAAGGTGCAATGTCGCCCAAGGACTGGCCCTGCCGGCAGTGGACGCTCGAGCACCTGGCATCGCGATGGCCCACCCGCTACTTCCAGTGCGAGGCGGTGCGGTGCCGGCTGCCAACGTATCTCAGCTACGCCAAGAGCGTCGAGGCGCTATGCGGGCAGGCGCAGGTGGACGACGACGATGACCGCGACGATGGCATTGCGGACGGAGCGGACGGCAAACAGCGTCCGAGTAGCAAATCTCGCTCGCCCACCGGGACGCCGAGCACCGACGGTTCAGGCGACAGGAAGCAGCTCCACCATGCACCAGCGCTCGTGCGCCGCACGTCGGGCCTGTCGGCGAGTGGAGCCTCGTCGCCGCACAGCGGAAGCAACCATGGTGAAGAGGCGGAGCCTTCGTTGGATCCGTACGCCATCCCCGACGAGTCGCCCTTCTACCTGTTCGACGCCGCGTTTGCCGACGACCCGCACGCCTCGCTCGAGTGGCGGGTACCCAAGATCTTCCACCAGATCTCGGCCGAGGTGCCTGATCTCTCGGGCCACAGCGCCGGGGTGCGCTCCGACCTGTTTTCGCTGCTCGGCCCGCTGCGCCCCGACCATCGCTGGATCATTGCCGGACCGGGCCGCAGCGGCAGCGGCTGGCACAAGGATCCCAATGGGACCTCTGCCTGGAACGCCGTTCTGACGGGTCGCAAGGCGTGGATGATGCTGCCGCCCCACGTTGTCCCGCCGGGCGTCTACGTCAGCGACGACGAGGCCGAGGTGACGGCGCCGCTCAGCATCGCCGAGTGGCTGATCGGATTCGCACAGGAGACACGCAGGACCTACGGCCCCTCTGCGGCGCGCGCCGAGGACCGCGTGCTGCTCGAGGGCGTGTGCGAGGCGGGCGAGGTGCTCTACGTGCCGAGCGGATGGTGGCACCTCGTCGTCAACCTCGAGGAGTCGGTCGCCCTCACCCAGAACTTTGTCTCGCCGCCAGAGCTCGGAGTGGTGCTCGACTTTATGAAAAACAAGGCGGATCAGCTGTCGGGCTTCAAAAAGCCACGCCCCGGCGTGCACGGCCCTGCCTCGTCGTCGCCGCACTCGTCTCCCGCGGACTCCTCCTCTGCTGCTGCTGGCAACGGCAAGAACAGCAACGAGGTCGAGGACGACGAGGAGTGCGAGAACGGCGCCGGCTTCGGCGTGTTTGAGCTGTTCTGCGATCGGCTGGGCAAGTTCGACAAGGAGCTGCTCTCGAGCGGGCTGGAAAAGATGGCGGCGATCGAGGCGCGGCGGGCCGCCGAGGACCGTCTGGCGGGCCGTACCTGCACGCGAATCGTTCGCGCCAAAGCCGAGGCCGGTGACGGGGATGGACCTTCATCGGCGGCAGCTGCCTCGGCGACAGGGGCGCGGGCTCAGACCTGGTGGGAAAAGCTCAAGCAGGAACCCATCGGCTCGCGTGCCACAGCAGCAGCGGCTCAGCAGCCCGCCGACGACGTCGAGATGCGAGCTGCCGACGATGTCGCCACCGCCGCCGCCGCCAAGCAGACTGGACCGGATACCGCCGTCACCTTCTCCTTTGGCTCCCAGCTGGCCGGCGATGAAGAGCTGGACGAGGTGCCGTGGTGAGGCGGTGCTGGTTGACGCCGACGAGCCAGGGCTGCCTCCATCCCTGCCGTCGGCGTCGCACGGTCAGCCCCGCTTGCCACCTCTCGTCGACTCGACATGGCGGTGCTCAGTCGTCGTCGCACTGTTCGTCTCTGCCATCATTATCTATCTGGCCTGCTCCTTCTGGCCACCGTGCCCGCACCTCGTCGCTTCCTCTTGTACACACTCGCACCGCGGCGGACCTTGACCGCACCGTCCCGGGCCACGGCCGCTGCCACGCGCCTTGTAATCTGCACACTGCCCCATCTGTTTCGTGTCCCCAGAGGGAAGCGCCGTCTCGTCGATGTCGTTGCCGCTGCCCTGACGCTGTCGTGTCCAACAGTTGAGGGGCTCGCAGCCGAGGCTGTTACTGGCTCCCGTAGAAACCAGTACGAGTTAGGCCTCGGGAGCAGCTGCCTTGCGACGCGAGCAAAAAAGTAGGTAAAGGCCGGCCGGCCTGCAGAAAAAGTGCAAAAGTTAGGTGTTGGTCTCTCGCCGAGAAGTCTTCCGACCACCATTCCACTTGGCAGCGGGCCTCGGACCGCCCTTCCTTCCTACCTCCCTCCCTACCGTATACCCCTCGCCTTGCACCGCCCCGCCCCGCTTCGTCGCCTTTCTCGCGCCCAGTCCTTCTGACCCCTCTCGCCCTGAACGAGGCAATCAATACAGACTCACTCACCGCCATGGCCGAGCACCAACTCGCGGCGCTCCTCGAGGCCACCCTCTCGCCGGACAATGCCACGCGCTCCGAGGCCGAGCGGGAGCTGTCGGCCATCCAAGGTCCCGACAGCGACGCTCAGGGCAATGTCGGTCTCGCTCTGGTCAACCTCTTGCTCGACGCCTCCCTTGCACTCCATCTGCGCCAGTCGGCCGGCATCGCCCTGCGCAAGTTCATCACCCGGCGCTGGTCGCCCTATTTTGACCCCTTTGCCGGCTCGCCCGCCGTCGATGCCGCCGTCAAGGACCAGATACGCCAGCGCCTGCTCCAGGGTCTCGCCGATCCGCAGAGAAAGGTGCGACTCGCCACGTCCTACGCCATCTCGACCATCGCCGGGCCCGACTACCCGGACCAGTACCCGCAGCTGCTGCCATGCCTCCAGCATCTGCTCCAGCAGGACGATCCTCACGCCATCCACGGCGCCATGACGCTGCTCTGCGACTTTGTCAAGGTGGAGATGGACGAGGTGCAGCTGATGCAGGTCGCCAGGGAGGTGCTGCCCACCCTCGAGGAGCTCCTCGCCGACGAGCAGCGCCACACGCCGCATATCCGCGCACGCTGCATCCTCGTCTTCCGCCAGTGCCTCACCACGCTGTTCATGGTCCGGGAGAGCTTTCCGGACGTCGCCAAGCAGGCCTCCAACGAGCTTCTGCCCCGCTGGCTCAGCGCCATGGAGTCGCTCCTCGCCAAGGACGCCGCAGCCGAGCTCCAGTCCGGCGGCGAACGCGGCTGGGAGACTCTCTCGCTTCGCAACGAGATCTTCAAGACGCTCAAGGTGGCCGCCATGTTCCGCTCGCAGTTCAAGTCGCACGTCGACGGCCTGATCCGGCTCTCGCTGGCCAACCTCTCGTCGCTGCTGCCCGTCTTTACCCGCGTCTACCTCTCCTCGTCGTCGGACGTCACGCCGCCAGCAGGCGAGGAGGGCGACGACGATGTCGCGGCCGACCTCCCCTCGCTGGCCTGCTCGATCCTCGACTTTATCGCCGAGGCCTCGCGTGGCGACCGATGCCGCGCCGTCTTCCTCTCTGGAGGCACCGGCGGCGATGGCGCCGAGACCGAGGCCCTCTCCCAGCTCGTCGCCCTCCTCCTCGTCTACGTCGACATGACCACCGACGACGAGGACAACTGGGCCAACGACGCCAACGCATTCATCGCCGACGAAGACGACGAGACGCTCGCATACAGCCTCCGAATCGCCACCGCCGACCTGCTCGGCACGCTCATCGAGGACTATCCGGGTCCGGCACTGCGATGCCTTGGGCGCGAGGTCGAGCGGAGGGTGCAGCAGGGCAGCGCGAGCAAGGCGCGCGGCGAGGAAGAGTGGTGGAAGGCACCAGAGGGCGTGCTGACGGCCATCGGCAACAACGCCGAGGCCATCACCGAGATCCTCGACGCGCAGAGCGCCAGCGGACAGTCGAACCTGGACGTCGAAGCCATCTTCACCAATGTCGTGCTGCCGAACGTCGGCGCCGACGCACCGCCGTTCCTGCAGGGCAGAGGCTTCGTCTTCGCGTCGCAGTTCGCCTCGACGCTGCCGCAGGAGCTGGCGGTCCAGTTCCTCGAGGCGGCCGTGAATGCCATCGACTCGGACGCTGCCAGCCTGCCCGTCAAGATCTCGGCGGTGCGCACCATCAAGAACTTCTTCCGCCACCTGCCGTCGCGGACCGTGGCTCCCTTTGCTGGCCGGATCGTGCGGCAGCTCGGGCCGCTGCTGACGCAGGCGTCCGAGGACACGCTCGTGCTCGTCGTCGAGACAATCCAGAGCGTCGTCGTCGAGGACGAGGAGGCGGCGCACACGGCCGAGGGCCCGTTGCCGCCCATCGTCGAGCCGCAGGTGATTGGCTCCATCGTGCAGGCTGCGCTCCAGATCTGGGCGCCCAACGCGCGCGACGTGATCCTGCTCAGCGTCGTCTCGGACCTGCTCGAGTCGCTGGCCGGGTCCAGGCAGCAAGGCGTCCCGGATGTCGTTGTTCAGAGCAGCATGCCGCTGCTCGCGGCGGCGATCGGCTCCGGCATCGAGCAGCAGGACAACGAACCCTCTGCGCTCGCCGAGACGGCCGTCGAGCTGGCCAAGAGCGTCCTCGACGGCGCCGAGTCCGCAGCGCTGCGCGGCGTCGTGGCGATACTCTGCCCGAACCTGCTCAAGGTGCTCAAGGTCAGCGAGGACCGCGATGTCCAGCAGAACGGCATCGAGTGCCTTACGCTGCTGGTGCGCAAGTGCGGTCCGGAGCTGCTGGCCTGGCGTGAGCCGGCGGCCGCATCGGCGCCGTCGGCCGTCGAGTCGATCCTCGAGGTTGTCGCCCGCCAGCTTGCGCCGACCGACTCGTCCGAGTCCGGAGGGCTCGCCATCGGCGACCTGGTGATCGCGCTGCTGCGCAAGGCAGGCGACCAGATCGGACCGGTGCTGCCCCAGCTGGTCGACGCCATGGTGCGGCGCCTCGCGACGGCCCAGACGGGCACGTTTTGCCAGTCGCTCATCGTCCCCATTGCGTTCCTGATGCATCGCGACGATGCGCAGGCCAAGCAGGTCATGGACCTGCTCGAAGGGATCGCCATTGCGCCCTCGACCGGCGGCGGCGGCGGCGCCGACGAAGCCTCCTCTGCGGCAGCGAGCGGCAGCGGACTCGAGGTGCTGCTGCGCAAGTGGGTCGAGAACGCCGACACGTTGCAGGGCTTCTGGCAGCAGCGCATCAGCGCGATGGCGCTGTGCAAGGTGGTCGGGTCGGGCCGGCGGCTGCTGGGCGAGGTCGTGGTGCGGGGCGACCTGATCCCGGACACGTCCAACGTTATCCGTACGCGGTCGAGGGCCAAGACGATGCCGCACCAGTACACGCAGGTGCCGCTGCTGGCCAAGATGGTCAAGCTGCTCATCAAGGACTGGACGCAGGCCACGCGCGGGCCGCCGGATGCGTCGGCGGCGGGCGGTCTGGGCGAGGCGGCGGGTGCGCGTACGCCCGAGACGGACGACGAGGATGGCGAGTGGGACGACGATGACGCCGACGACATCCACGGCGGCGCCGGGGCCGGGGCAAAGTCACGCAACAAGGATCTCGCCTTCCTCTCCGACATGCTCGGACCGGGTGGGCTCGAGGCCCTCAACGCCGATGGTGGCGACGGCGACGACGACTTTTGGAGCCTCAACCCGTCGGAGCGCGATCCGGACATCCTCAACGATGCCGTCTACTCGATGGACTTCAAGGCTTTCCTCGAGGAGTTCTTCCTCGGCCTCTCCCAGAGCCGGGGCGAGGATCTGCAGCGCGTCTACTCGCTCCTCAACGACGAGGAGCAGAAGTGGGTCAGGATGGCCGTCGAGGCTGCTGGTCGTCGTCAGTGAGCGACATGTGAGGGGGACAGCGAGTGGCCAGCCGGTCGGTCGGTCGGCCGCCCGCCCAGCCATGCAGGAACGCTGACGGGCATGAAGACACACGCGAGGCTCGCAAACGAGCAGAGAAGGGGCAAGATAGGCATTGTATTGCAGGGTCTATCCACCGCCGAGCCGTCGCGGTCGCCATCGCCAACACCGCCACTGACCACCGCGCCAGCCCCGAAAAGGAGAGCCACGGCCCTAGTCGGTGGTGAGCTGGGCGTCGACCTTTTCAAAGCTCTCGAAAAAGTGCTGGAAGAGGCGGATCTTGAGCTCGACGTCGCGGGATCCGCACGTTTCGCGGATCGAGTGCATGCTGAGCTGCGGGTTGCCGAGGTCGACGGTGCGGATGCCGAGCTTGCTGAGCATGGGCCCGATGGTGGAGCCGCAGGGCATGTTGTTCTTGACGACAAACGACTGGAGGGGCACGTCTGCGAGCTTGGCGATGCGGCGGATGAGAAAGGCCGTCGGGCCCGTGGTGGCGTAGCGCTGCTTGACGTTGGTCTTGATGACGGGCCCGCCGTTGAGCTTGGGCCGGTGGTTTTCCTCGTAGTAGGACGGGTAGTTTGGGTGGAAGCCGTGCGCCATGTCCGACGAGACGAGGAACGACTTGGCAATCGAGCGGTCGACGGCCGTCGGGTGCGGTGCGCCGGCGTCGCTGGCGTCGCTGCTGGCGCCGTCGATGTGGATCGAGACGAGTCGGTGGACGAGGGAGCTGAGCATGTTGGACTCGGCGCCGTGGGTCGAGACGCTGCCGACCTCTTCGTTGTCAAACAGGGCAATGGCGCGGATCGAGGCCGAGTCGTCGAGGGCCGAGGGCGACGAGAGCGAGTCAATCAGGCCCTCGGTGGCGCAGAAGCACGACATCTGGTTGTCGAGGCGCGGCGAGTGGATAAACTCGTGGTTGATGCCGCCGATTGAGGCGGGCTGGGTGTCGTAGAGGCTCAGCTCAAAGTCCTGGATCTGGTCGACGGCGACGCCGAGCTCGGATGCCAGCAGGTCGAGGAGCACGCTGTGGTGCTTTTCCGTCATGAGGGGCGTCCCGACGGCCTGGGCGCCGACGCTGTCGCTGCCGTCGTCGGCGGCGGCGGCCGAGGCAGACGAGGAAGCCTTTTTGTTGAGCGCGTCCGAGGCGAGTCCGAGGATGGGCAGGGTGTGATCCTCTGCGCTGAACTTGAAGGCCTCGTTTACGGTGCGGTCGAGGTGGATGGCGAGGGTGGGGATGCGGAGGATGGGGCGCTTGATGTGGACGAGCTTTGCGGTGAACGACTCGTGGTGGGCCGAGTCCGAGACAATGACCCTGCCGGCGAGCGAGAGGTCGCGGTCGAACCAGCTGGCCCAGATGCCGCCGCCGTAGGTCTCTACGCCGCACTGGAGGTAGCCCTCCTTTGCGCGCTTGGACACGGGCTTGATCTGGAAGTTTGGCGAGTCGGTGTGGGCGCCGACGACGTGTACGCCGTTGCCCGGCTTGAAGTTTTTGCCGACGGCAAAGGCGACGAGGGCGGACTGGTTGCGCGTGTAAAAGTACTTTCCGCCGCGCTTTACGGCGCCGTCCCAGAGCTGGGACTCGGTGAGGCGGACAAAGCCGGCGGCCTCGAGCATGGCGGCCGAGGTGGCTGCGGCGTGGAAGGGGGTGGGGCTGGCATCGACGTAGCGGAGGAAGCGGCGTGCTGCTGCGATGTCGTCGCTGGCGAGGAGCGAAGGGTTCGAGGCGGACGGGTTGGAGGCCGTGGCGGGGTGCATGGCCGTCATGGTCAAGGGTCGGGCGGGGTGCGAGGGGACGAGGTGGGGGAGGATGCGAGCGAGTGACGACGAGGGAAGGGGGCAGAAGCGGTGGAGGAGTAGAGACGACAGCTTGAAGGCGGACGGTGGTGGTGGTGGTGGTGGTAAGGATGGTGGTGGTGGTCGAGTAGTTGATGCAGGTGAAGTCAAAGGCGAGGGAGGAGGCACGAGGAGCCAAGAGTGAGCGAGAAGCAAAGGCTGCCTCCCTCACTTTTCGCCGCCGCTGGGCCTGGCTGGTGCGTCGGACGACACTGCACCGAAAAAAGCGGGGGGTGCCGGCTGTTCTGGCTGTTCTGGCTGGATGGCCAGCTTGGCCAGCCGGCTGTCAGCTGCGCCCACAGCAAAGTCCGGCGGCACCTCGTCGCCTCGACCCTGCCTAGCCTAGCCTGGGCCTGGCTGGACCCTGGATTCCCTCGCGGGCCCTTTGGCGGTCGGTGCCGTGTTGGTCTCGATGTCGGCCTGGCCACCTTCCACCACCACCACCACCACCACCGTCGCCACACGCGCTGCCGCCATGGACAAGGGCAAGGCGCGCGCACTCGAGCCCAACATTGGCGTCGCCGCCGACCCCGCCGCCTCGTCGCCCCTCTCGTACAACCAGCTCGTCGATGCCCTCGTCGACTTTCTCGAAGTCGCATTCCACACCATCCTCTGCCTCCGCGGCGTATACCCAAACGACGTATTCACCCGCAGGAAAAAGTACTCGCACCCCTGCTACCAGTCACGCCACCCGGGCCTCAACGAGTACATCGCACGCATCCTACGCAGCCTAAAGGCCGAGGTACACCAGGTGAGCATTCGCCTTGTCGCCTGCAAGCACCGCGACCGCGATCGCGACCGCCACCCATACCACCCACAAGCAACCAGCTGCCACCTCGGAACCACGCTGACATGGGCAGCGGCCCTCTGACCGCCTACCTTCCCTCCGCCCCCAGTCCAAGGTCGACAAGGTCTTCCTCGTCATACGGCCCAACGTCGCCTCGCCACCCTCACCCTCGCCCACTCTCTCGCCCTCGGCCAGCACCTCGTCCCCCCACACATCCTCATCGCCAGCCGCCGCCTACGAGCGCTTCACATTCGCCCTCTCCTACATCCTGCCCTCGTCGCACATCGACCCGCGCGACCGCAACCTCGCCCTCTCGCACAACCTCACCCGCTCCGAGCTCGACATTATCTTCCGCGGCTTCCTCCAAAAGCTCATGGTCGTCGACGGCGCACTCTACGACATTCCCAACGCCACCGCCACCGCCACCGGAGGGGGTGGTACCGCGTCGCAGGCCGGTCAGGAGGGCGAACTGACGTTTGCTGTCGTCATCGAGATGAACGACGACGCTACCCCTTCGGGTCAGGCAAAGGATCAGCCGGCCGAGGGAGATTGGATCTTTGCCGATGACGACAATATCGGCAGATTGGCGAGGGCCGACGAGAGGAGGAGGAGAGGCGAAGAGGATAGGCTGCGCCGCGCCCAGCTTGGACAACCCCCGGCGTCAAAGGACGGCGGCCGTCCCTCGGGCTCCCACTCGGATGCCGATTCCGCTTCCGCTTCCGACGACGACGATGACGGATCGAGACCCACAGTCCGACACATCAAGACGCTCGACTCGGGCGTCATCAACATGATGATGTACGTCGAAGAGGACCTCGTAGCCAAGCTCGGTCCATCCGCTCCACGGCATCGCCGCCGCCGCAGCAGCGATCGCAACGCCGCCAGCGGCCGCCAGGGTCAGGGTCAGGGTCAGGGTCAGGGTCAGGGTCAGGGTCAGGGTCAGGGTCAGGGGCCCAGCAGCAGAAAAGATTCGACCACAACCGCTGCGTCCGCAGCATCCCGGCTGCTCTCGACGAAAGCGAGTCAGCTTCTCCACTCCGACGTCCACTCGCAGCAGCAAGCGGGCAGCAGGACATCGAGGAACCGGGCTAAGCGACTAGACGGAGAGAGGGAGCTCGACCAGCCGCCCGTGGCCGACTTTGACTCTATGGCGGCTGGCGGCAGGCGAGCAAAGGGCGCTGCTAAGCGGAAGCGCGCCAGGATGACGCTCGGCGACACGCGCGCCGCGGAAAGCGAGAGCGAGAGCGAGAGCGATAGCAGCCATGCCATGTCCGACGATCGATCCAGCATCGACATACGGGACGCTGGTGGCAGCGACGTCGACTTGCGGTGACCGACCGAGAGCGAGGGCGAGGGCGAGGGCGAGGCGGGAAGCAGTGGGTGCGTGGGGTTCGGCGGCGGGTAAAATACAGATGCATGCGCGGACAGGGTACGGAGACGGGACACACTAGGGCTGCTGCGATGGCAGGAGCGAAAATCTCAACCTCGCAGCATCGGACCCAGGCCTATCCTCGACAGACCGGGCCCGCCAGGACCGACGGCGGAAGTCACGCCTCCGCCAGGGCCAGAGCCTGCGCGGTGCAAAAGCGAGTCGGAACCGACCCAGCGACAGACATCGAGGCAAAGCCATCAGCAAGGACTTTTCGAACCTTCGACCTGTGCCGGTCACGGATCGGGTGCGGCACTCACCGTGCTTGTGGCCGACTGCGCCCTGGAGCCTGTCGACTTCGGAGCTCCACCTGCCGAGTGCGTCGTACCTGGCGCGGTTGACGCTGGCGGTGGACCGGTCGAGGTCGAGGAAGCCGCGTACCTGGTCAATCTTGCCGTGGATCTTGTCGTCGAGGATGAGGGACATGACGAGGTCCTCGACCTGGTCCATTTCGACGTTGAGCTCGCGCACGAGGAAGCCGAGCTCGATGCGCGAGTAGGGCTTGATGATGTCGATGAGGTACTGGGTGCGCAGGCCCTTTAGGACGTCGTCGATGTAGGCCTTGATGAAGGGGTCGTCGAGGATCGTCTCTTGGTTGTCGCGCAGGATCTTTTCGGCCTCGTGGACTTGGCGCCGCTGGTAGGCGCTGACCAGGTTGGTCATGGCGACAATCTGCGGGTCGTTTTTGTAGGGCTTGGTCTCCTGCGAGTCGAACGGGTTGATGTCGCTGCCCATGAGCATGTGGGCGAGGACGAGGTACTTGAGCACCTGGATGCGCTGCGGGCTGCCGGCCTCGTCGTAGTTGAGGAAAGCCTGGAAAAAGTCGACCTGGGCCGCCTCCCAGCTCTTTTCCGACATGTGCATCTTGCCGCCGCACTCGCGGATGACGCCCATGATGCGCGGGTGCGGGATGGCGCTCTTGACCTGGAGGGTGGCGTTGTAGACGTCCTTGAGCTTCTTGAAGTTGCCCAGCTCGCCGTACATCTGGATCTCGAGGGCAAAGATCTCGAGGAGGATGGTGCCCTTGGACTGGTCGTCGCCGCCGTCGGGGTCGGTGCAGTAGGCGCGGAGCTCCTTGATCGTCTTTGCCAGGCGGCCCCACTCCTTGCGCGCGAGCCAGAGGCGGGCGAGCTTGAGGTCGGTCTTTACGCTCAGGCGCTCGTTTTTGGCCTCCTCGAGTGCGCTCTTTGTGACGTCGTAGAACGACTCCATGGTCGAGAGGTCGATGTCGGTGGCGCCCGAGACGTAGTCGAGGATGTTGTTGATCGACTTTTCGCTGTAGTTGCGCGTGACGGCCGACTTTGTGTAGGAGAGGAGGGCGGTGTAGGTCTCGAGTGCGCGGGCGTGGTTGCCGCGGTGGAAGTGGATCTTTGTCTGCTGCTTGAGCGCCTTGAAGCCCCAGTCGCCCTTTTCCCCCTCGGCTTCGACGACGGCCTGCAGCTCGCGGATGGCCTCGTCCGGGTCGGACTCTTTGATATTTTTGGCATTGTAGTAGCGATTCTCGATGCCGGCGTCGGCGTTGTCGTCGTCGTCGTCATCTTCCTCGTACTCGAAGTCGTAGTCCTGGGAAGATGTGGGGCGAGAGAACGGGGGGAAAGTGCCGCGGTGGACGGGTCAGCGATCCGGTGCGAGCCGCACTGAATCTACGCCATGCCGCATATCGACGACGGCGAAGACTCACCTCGTCTGCGGCATCGTCCATGATAAACTAAGGGGGGGGGGGCAAAAGAGGGGATGAGTGTGGGTGGGTAGGAAGGGGATCCGCGGCGATCAAAGAGCTGTGCGGGTGGAGCGGATTGAAAGGGTGCGCACCTCTTCGTCGGACATGATGGCTGGCTAGCGAGTGTGATTGGTGAGAGGAGAGATGCAGGCGGGGTGCGGAAGGATGAGGATGGGTAGAGGGATGGCGGTGATGGTTGGAGGTGGGATCAAGATGGGCAGAGGGCCGGTGTTGGAGCGATTTTCTGCAAGCACATGTGGAGAAGGGCTGCCTGCTGAGCGAAGGGGGTTGCGTGGCCCATGCGCCCGTCAGCCTGGCCTGAGGCTGGCCTGCCCTAGCCTGTGAACCAGCGTCCGGCCGGGAGAAGAGCCAAAGCAGCAGGCTAGGCTGGCAGGCTGGCAGGCTGTCAGGCTGAGGCCCGCCCGCTTGCCTCTTCCCGGCTCCGGGCGCCGACGGGCGTGGCTCTCTGGCCTGACTGCCTGGCTGCCCTCGAGTCTCTCCACACTTCTGACCACGGCTCGCTTGCTGCCTTTTCTCGCTGCCTCGCTGCCTCGCTCTCACGACCGCTACCACTCTTGCTGCCTGCCTGCCTTGCCTTGCCTTTGCCAGCCACCATACCATCCCCTCCACCATACCATCCCCTCCTCTTCTCCGCCTCCCCGCCGCCACGCCTTCCCTCTTGGCAATCCAGCGGCGGCCGCTCAATCATCCTACGCGCCACCCGTCCTCAGCTTAGCCAGACTCCGCCTCGTTCCTGGCCGCCCCCTCTCGCCCGCCAACCACCGCCAGCATCCCCACCCCGCCTATCCTCACCCTCTATGCTCTGATCCCTCCTCGACCCGGCCACACCGCTCGACCCGTAGCAGAGCGCACAGCCCTGCCTGCGTCGACGCAACCTCCAACGCCATGCACTCGTCGCACACCTCGGACGCCTCCCGCTCAGCCTCAACCTCTCGTCACCAACAGTCCCGCAGCCAACCCTCCCTCCCCGACGCCCCAGCAGCCCGCCCTCATCGCACTCCCCTCTCCTCACATGCCCCCAGCATCGTCACCCTGCCCAGCCAGCACAGCGTCGCACCATCCCAACACAACGGCGCTTACCCCGCCACAAACGGCCGCACAGCCTCATCCGCATCCGCGTCGGCAGCAGCGGCACCACTTCCACATCACTTCGCGCCCACCGCCGACGGCGGCGACGACGAGGAAGAAGATGACGACGAAGAAGAAGACGACGACGACGACGACGAGGATGACCTCTCCACCACCAGCGGCCGCCGGCATGGCGCCCTCCTCCAGCCAGAGATGGACGACTGGGTGCTGCTCGAGGCGAGCTACATGAGCCACTGGGGTCACAAGCGGCACATCACCGCCGGAAACCCAAAGCCCCGCGACGAGAGGGACCTCCCAGACTGGCGCATGCGCGAGCGCCTCAGGACCGTCACCGCCGCCCTCGTCATGTGCCTCAACATCGGCGTAGACCCGCCAGACGTCTCCAAGACCAACCCTTGCTCCAAGCTCATCTGCTGGATGGACCCCAGCTCGCTCGAGGTCTCCAAGGCCCTCACCGCCATCGGGCGCAATCTCCAGGCCCAGTTCGAGACCCTCAGCACAAAGACCCGCTACAAGCAGTGCCTCGACCCCATCGTCGAGGACACCAAGCGCTTCTGCACCCAGCTACGGCGCACCGCAAAAGACGAGCGCATCCTCTTCTACTACAACGGCTTCGGCGTGCCCAAGCCCACGCCCGGCGGCGAGATCTGGGTCTTCAACCGGGCCTATACCCAGTACATCCCCGTCACCCTCTACGACCTCCAGACCTGGCTGGGCAGCCCCTGCATCTTTGTCTGGGACGCCAGCGCCGCCGGCAACGTCGTCGTCAACTTCAAGAGGCTCGCCGAGCGCAGGGCAGAGGAAGAGGGCTCTCGCACCGGCAGGGACGGCGGCGCAGGCGGCGGCAGCGCGAGGGAAAGGTCGAGCGGCGCCGAGGCCTCGGGATCCAGCTCAGCCGCCGGCGCTGCGGGCACGGGTACAGGCTCAAAGCCCGAGGAGCCGCACTTTCCCCTGCGCGAGAGCATCCACCTTGCCGCCTGCGGCCCCGACGAGACGCTGCCCATGAACCCGGACCTGCCTGCCGATCTCTTCACCTGCTGCCTCACCTCGCCCATCGAGATCTCGCTGCGCTGGTTTGTGCTGCAGAACCCGCTGCCCTCGAAGCTCAACCTCGACATGGTGATGAACATACCCGGTCGACTCCAGGACCGCCGCACGCCGCTGGGCGAGCTCAACTGGATCTTCACCGCCATCACCGACACCATCGCCTGGACCGTGCTGCCGCGGACCATCTTCCGCCGCCTCTTCCGCGACGACCTCATGGTGGCCGCGCTCCTCCGCAACTTCCTCCTCGCCGACCGGATCATGCGCTTCTATCACTGCACGCCGATGAGCCATCCCAAGCTGCCGGCCACGCACAACCATCCGCTGTGGGACAGCTGGGACCTTGCCGTCGACCAGTGCCTCGCGCAGCTGCCGACACTGCTGGCCAAGGAGCGCGCGGTCGCCGAGGCGGCCGAGGGCGGTCCACCGGTCCCGCCGCACCTTGCCTCTTTCGAGTACCGCCACAGCACCTTTTTCAGCGAGCAGCTCAAGGCGTTCGAGGTGTGGCTGCAGCAGGGCGGTGTCAGCCGCAAAGGTCGGAGGCGCAGGGTCAACGCTTCGGTCACGCCGCACGGCAACCCTGCCGCCGGCTTCTCGTCGGCGGCCTCGATGGGCGCAGACCCAGCGGCGTTCGATGAGGATGGAGAGGTCTGGCCGGTGCGCGACCCGCCAGATCAGCTGCCGATCGTACTCCAGGTGCTGCTATCTCAGGTGCACCGCCTGCGGGCGCTGATCCTGCTCAGCCAGTTTCTCGACCTCGGTCCCTGGGCCGTCAACCTCGCTCTCAGCATTGGCATCTTTCCCTACGTTCTCAAGCTGCTGCAGAGCCCCGCCGCCGACCTACGCCCCGTGCTCATCTACATCTGGGCACGCATCCTCGCCGTCGACCGGAGCTGCCAGAATGACCTGCTGCGAGACAACGGCTTCTTCTACTTCACCAGCGTGCTGAGCCCCTTCCAGAACGGCGGGGCCGGCGGTGCTGGCGGCGGCAGCGGCCCGACGGGCGGCGCAGCGGCATCCAGCGGCCAGGCTCTGCCGATCCCCAACGTCTCCGAGCACCGTGCCATGTGCGCGTTCATCCTCTCGGTCTTCTGCCAGGACTTTCCTTCGGGCCAGGCGGCGTGCCTCGAGACTGATGCCATGCACTCGTGCCTCGAGCATCTCGAGGACGACGACTTCCTGCTGCGCCAATGGAGCGCCCTTTGCCTGGCGCAGCTTTGGGACGACAGTGACATCGGCAAGGCAAAGGGCATCGCCCTCGACGCCCATGGAAAGCTCTGCTGCCTGCTGGGCGATGCCTCACCCGAAGTGAGGTCGGCGGTCGTCTACGCCCTCGGCGTCCTGCTCGGAGCCAGCGCCTCGAGTCAGAACCAGGTGGACACGATCTCGGCGACTACGGGCGAGACCATCAACGTCGGCAGCGGCAGTGGCGGCAAGGGAGGCGCCTACCTCCCGCGGCGAGTCTGCCCAGGCACCGGCGCGGCAACCGGCCTGCCTGGAAGCAAGCAGCGCGGCCTCGAGATTGGCATCGCCATCGCCATGCTTACCACCAAGGGTGACTGCAGCCCGCTCGTCCGCAAGGAGCTGGTGATCGCTCTCAGCCCGGTTGTGTTCGAGTACAAGGGCTTCTTCGTACTCGCGGCCTACCTGTACTACTCGCGCGAGGAGGCCAAGCAAAAGGCTAAGCGAGAAGCCGGTGCAGGTGCCGGCGGCCCGCAGCCTCCAAGCCCGGTCAAGGACCGCTTCGCCCCGCTCCACGTGCATGCCCGCTCTCGCCGCAACAGCGCATCGAGAACCCCGGGCGCCGACGACGAGGCAGACCGCCTCGAGGCCGAGGAGGCTCTTCTGGCAAGGGTGGCCAGCAAGCTCGTCATCGAAGAGGAGCTGGACGAGGAGGACATCGCCAACATTCCGGCGTTCATGACCATCTTTGTCGCGCTGCTCGACCTCAGCGTCGACTGCCACCCGGAGGTCGCCAACCTGGCCTGCACCGTGATCGACTTTGTCGTGGCTATGTTGCTCGAGAGTGAGGTGGCGACCGCCGCCGAGAGCATTATGCGTCGATTCGGCGGCCTTGACGCCACAAACCGATACGTGACGCCGACCAACACGAACGTCAGCAGCGAAGGCTACTTCCCACTGACGCCCCGCGCGGGCGTCGCCGTCTCCACGCCCGGCTCGATCGAGGAGGCGCCGCTGAGCGCTGGGATGGCCAACGGCCACTATGGAAGCGCGACGAGCCCCTACGGCGCCAACTCTCAGCCCCACTCTCGCCAGCAGCACGGCTCACACCCCAGCCGCAACGGCGCCTCGGGACCGCCCAAGCGCTCCACGTCCGCCTTTACCCAGGCTGTCAAGACGATTGCCACGCTGGGCTACTCGCGGCCCTCTTCGCCGGTCAATGCCGAGCACGATGGCGCTCCTCGACACCCGCACCACCCGCATGGAGATATCAGCCCGACCGGCAACCCGCCGCCCGGTCCGGCAGTGCTGGCGCCGCGCCGCAACGCTGGATCTCTGGCGCTGCCCTCGCAGTACACCTCGCCCTACGGACCGAGATACGCAGGCCCGAACACGCCCGGCTCAGAAAACAGCCCGTCGGCCATCTCGATGCCTCCCTCCCCGACGTCGACCACCGCCAAGCTGGCACACCGTTCGGCCAGTGCAGAGAGCCTGGCGCACATCGCCACGCGGCAAGAGAGGCGCAAGTCTGCCGGCACCACCAACAGCTTTGGTCTTGGAGGCGCCAGCAGCGCCGCAGGTGGCGATGGAGACTCGCTCAACGGCAGCATGAACGGCTCACGAGGCGGCACCGGCACGGGTACGGCCAACACCAGCGCGGGCGGCCTGGAGCACGTCAAGGTAGCGGACGCGCTGGCAGCACTGATTGCGCTCGATCTGCAGAGGTTCCAGAGCCGCTTCCTGCAGCAGCTGGACGGCAACAACGGCCTCATGTCGGCCGGCAGCACGCCCATGCCTTCGCCATCGGCCAGCCGCGGTGGGAGGTGGACCGCCCCCTCCACGCCCGGTAGCAGTGGCCTGACGACGCCAGCGAGCGGCTTCGCCCCCAACGTGGATCTGCGCGAGACCCTTCCGCTCAAGAGTCGGCTGTTCGCGTGGTGCAGCGAGTACTATACGGAGCCGCAGATGAAGGTGAGCTTCCTGCCAGTGGGCTTTCTGTCCGACAGAGCAGGTTTTCTGATATCACTCGCATCTTTTCCCCGTCCCGACCAACTTGAATGAACAGGCGGCCGAGAGCGAGGAGCCGGGCAGCGTCAAGTACAACGTGCAGTCTTGGAAGCGCCAGCGCAACGAACGCCTCGTTGCGGATACGCAGGCGCAGGCCGAGGATGCTTGTGAGTCCTGCCCCTCGTTTTATGGCAGGAAGAACGTGTCACGCCTACTGACGCCAGCGTCGGGATCCTCCCCCTGCCTTCCAACGATTTTAGCCAAATCGGCTTGGACCGATCATGCAGGCTTCCTGAGGAATGGATCCGTGCCATACCTGATGCTGTTCCATCAGTTCGAGGATCACCTGGTGACGGCGAGCGACCAGAACACGATCAAGTGAGTTGCACACGGAGCTTTTGGTTGGACGACGCAAGCAGCCGACCTCGATGGCTGACATTTTGGCCTTCCGTGCCCGATTCGTCCGCAGCGTTTGGGACTGGGAAGAGAAGCGCCTGCTGAGCAGGTTTGCCAACGGCAACCCGGCTCGCACCAACATTACATCGGCCCTCTTTGTCAACGAGGAGGCGGATGCCATGCTGCTCGTCGGAAGCGGTGAGTGTCGCGCGCCGTGTCGGCCTCTGCATCGATCGTTGTCGCAGCGGGAAGCATGACTCCTGACCCCAGCATCTGTCTGCTTCGTCTGTCCGACCGATTGACGCTGCAGCCGAGGGAGACGTGCGCATCTACCGCCACTACGACTCGCCGGCCTTCACGCCGGGCTACCGCGGCCCCGAGCTGGCAAGCAGCTTCCGTGCGCTGCCGGACCTCGTCAGGAGCAAGCGGCCGAGCGGCTTGATCGTCGACTGGCTCCAAGTGTCGGGTCACCTTCTGGCCGGAGGCGACAGTCGTGTCATCCGAGTCTGGGATGCGCACCGCGAGCTGTGCGTCTGCGACATCCCGACGCGCGCCTCGAGCTGCGTGACGTCGCTGTCGTCCGAGACCGACATTGGCCACATGTTTGTCGCCGGCTTCGGCGACGGCACGGTGGGCGTCTACGACCGGCGCAACCCGCCCGAGGCGAGCCTGGTGAGGCTGTGGGAGGAGCACCAGACGTGGGTGCAGAACGTGCACCTGCAGAAGCGCGGCAACCGCGAGCTGGTGACGGCCAGCGTCGACGGCGAGGTGCGGCTGTGGGACATCCGCGGGCGCAGCTCCATCAGCCAGCTGAGCATGGGGCGGAGGCTGGGCGGCAAGCTGTCGTGCATGTCGGTGCACGAGCGGATGCCCATCTTTGCGGCCGCCTCGTCGCCGCGGCCGCTGCGCCCGGCCGTGTCGCCGCAAAACGTCATCCTGACCCACCTCGAGTCGATGGAGACGCTTGGCAAGCCCATCGTGCGCACCTTTGCGCCCACCGGATCGACGTCGCACCTCGGCTCGTCGTCGCTGCACGCCGGCTCGTCGGGCCACGGCCATGGTCACGGCAGCCACCATCATCACCACCACCACCATCATCACCACGCCAGCCACCACGGCGCCTCGTCGCACCACGGCGCGGGCCACGCGGCAGGAGGGTACGGGTCCTTGCACGGCGGCGCGGGTGCGAGCAACAACCTGCTTCTGCCGCCGGCGAGCGAGACGGATCCGTCGCAGTTCACGCCGGCGACGGGCGCCATAGCCTTCCACCCACACCTGCCCATGGTGGCTTTCGGCGGGCCGGACAACCTGATCGAGATGCGACGGTGGTCGCCCTAGCGTCGACCGGTAGGCAGGCCAGGGTAGGTCAGGAAGCCCCTCCTGCTGGTTCGATCCGGGCCCCTTGTCGTTGTGTTCCCTGCTCGCGTGTACCACCAGCCCAACCTGCTTTCTAGATGCATCACAGATAGGGTGGGGGAGAGTGTGAGTCGAGTGTGGACGGAGGAGGGGAAGAGGCAAGCCCATGGCTGGTCGTGGGACCGGGCTGCCTTTCCGGAGTCTGGTCCCCGGTCGCATCACGTGCGTCGCCGCGGGTCGCGTCGGCCTTGGAAATGAGGGCCAGGCCTGGCCTGCAGGCAGCCGGGCGGCCAGAGCAACACCCGGGGGGTCGGCCAGAAGCGCGCAGCATGCTCGCCGCCCGCATGACGGGGCAACCTGCGGGCGAGGACTGCCTTTGCCTAGCCTGCTGGTCGGTCTGTCAGACCGGGCCTGAGCGGGTCGGGCCCGGGAGCGGGGCTGTATGAGACATTCCTCGTCCTGCCTCATCGATCCGCCGCGACCAAACGCAACGCAAGGCAAACCTTGGCCCTAGCCTTAGCTCGTGCGGCGGTGCCGTGTCGGTTCGGGCCGGACCCACACCATCGTAGCCTCCATATTCTTGCTCATCCGCGCTGAGATCCGTAGCTTGATGGAGCTGAGAAAGAACGCACAGGCAAGGCAAAGATACGTGGCGAGCTTGTTGGTCAGAGACCGATCGACGCTCTGTGGATGACGAGGTTGATAAGCGTAGCACAGCGCGGCGACAAGAGGCATCCGATCAACGATGGACACATGTCGGCATAGGTGTAGCTGGAAGGAAAGACGGGCTTCTGAACGGCTCCGTGTGGCGGCGATGGCCGTCTCTCTGCACCTTGCCTTGTCTTGCCAGGCCAAATGTCTTCCCGAATCGCTGCTGCCAGGAGATCACGTCCGTCGCGCCCGGACCTCGCCGTCTCTCCAAATCACCGCGGACGCATGCTTCCGTGTTCGACTCAAGCACAAATGAAGGCCACCGAACGGCCGGGCTGGCTCGCTTCACCCCCCACCACCGCAACGGCAGCGAGCCGACGAGAGGCGGCCACCGGACGGCGCCGGATAGAGGCCAAGAAGCTAGGTGGGCCCCATTAAGTCACGTCCAGGTGCTCGCTCGGGGTGCTGCCTGCTCCACCGCATGTTGCCGGGAGAACGAGGCAAGCAAGAGAGCGGACCGAGCTCGCCACCTCGGACATCGAGGCCGTTGCGTCCTTGGTCCAGGGCCCGTCACAGAGCAGCCCCACATCGTCGCTCGGCCTGAGCTGCGCGAGAGTGCGCGTCGGATGCTGGCCGAGGCACGTCGATGCCGTCGAGCCTCGCCGAGCCGTTTGCGTGCTGTTGACGGCAGGTGTGCTTTCTGTGATGGGCCGGGCCTCGGCCTCGGCGCCGCCGCCCAGCCTTGGCTTGCCTTGCCTGCCAGGACTGGTTGACCTGCCTGCCGTGCTTGGTTGACCGAGGCGCATCGATCCAAATTTGGCCGGGCTTGGCTCAACGAGGGCTGCCAGAGGAAGGTCAGGGCCAGGCGGGCAGGGCGCGTTTCCGTCGCGCGTGTTTTTTCCCCTCCCCTCTGGAAAGAGGCCCGAGGCCCGAGGCAGGAGGCAGGAGGCAGGAGGAGCAGGCAGGCAAGCCCACAGGCAGGCAGCCAGACGAGGCGGCAGCGGGTGATGATGCTTGCTTTGCCCGGCTGCCCGCCTGACTGTCCCTGCGTTCTCTGGACGGTGGGGATCCCGCTGGACTTCCGAAGCGGCTGCCTGTTTGGCCCACGCCTCCCAGCTCGATGGCTGCTGGTTGCATGCCTCGTGCCTCCTTTCTTCCATCTTCGCCCCTCCCTCACTCCCTCAGCCCCCCCCGTCCATCGTCTCCTCGCCTCGGCCTTGACTTGTACACTGCGTCCCGCCGCACGCCACAGACTGCTCTCGAACCTGCCCTCCTCCATCTGGCAAGCCTCTCCGACCCCGCGGCAGCCTCGCCACCCCGTCCACCTCGGCGTCGCCATTCCTCCTGCAGCGGCAGGCCCCACGCATCCTACCGGTAGCCTGTCGTCTGAGCCGCTCGGCCTCCTCCTCCATCGACCGGCCGGACAATCCGCATACCAGCGTCATTCCTCGCCGGCCCGCCCGAGCCCCTCTCGCTGCCTGGCCTCTTTCCTGCCTTGGCCGGCGTCCTCCTCCTCACTCGGCATCCCCGCGCCGATCCCGCCATATTCGACCCGGCGTGCCCTTCGCCGAACGCCTCGTCTGCTTCACCCTCACACCAACGTCGATCTTGCCTGCGCGCCATCCTGACCCGGCCTAGACGCCTCCCAGCTGCGCGCTTACGCCTTGCCATCGGTACCAGTCCTCTTCTCCGACGCACCTGCCGCCTGCCTCGTAGATCCGTGTCGTCGCTTTAGAGCTCTGCATCGTGTCTCCGACCCTCTCGACCTTTCGGCAGCGCGCTCCAACGCGTCCGGTCGACGCACGCTCGCGCAGCCAAGCAGTCTCTCCGTAGGCTCCCTCCGTCAAGCCCGATACCGCCCAGCGCACATGGCTTGCTAAGCTGTCCGGTGAGTAAAGGCACCCAGAGCATGGTCCTGCACTCCTCGTCGTCTCCGCCGTTTAGGGCTCGTGGTGCGCGCGACCCCCTTGCACTCGTCATCCCCTTTCCGGCCACGTTCCCCTACGTCGTCCTCCCTCTCCGACATCCACTCTCCTCGTCGCTCCGCCACCTTGTTCCCTTCCGTCCTACTACCATTCCATTCCCATCCCCTGCCGCTCCTTCTCTCGTCTCCGCCCCTGTTTCGTCAACATCTCGTCTCTCCTCCCCTTCCTCCAGCTCCCCATCCTCCACCCCCCGTCGTCTGTTCCACTCTCGCTCGTAACGTCTCCCCACACAACATCCACGCTCCTTTGACTGCCAGCCTCTCGCCATCCTCGCCCTATCCGCCGCATCTCGAACTCGATCCCTGCCTCGTCTCGATCAGGGCTCCCTCATTCTCTCGTTCGACAGCCCAGTCCCTGCCCAGACCGGCATCGGCTCACTCACACTCTTCGCTTCGTCTCTCCACCCTCTTCGATTCCCATCTCCTGCCTTCTATCGACACCCTCGCCTGGCTTTCGTTCGCGAACGCCGCTCTGACCCATCCCAATGGCGATGCCTTCTGCGTCGTCGACGTCGACGTCTTCACTGGCCGCCGCCTTCTTGCCGGTCAATCACACCTCTACTGCCGGCACGGCGCCCTCACCCTTGCTCACCGACACTGACATCGGCGACGCGACCACTGCTCGACCTGACCAACATCAACAACATCTTCACACGTATCCCGACCAACACCAATACCACCACCACCATCACCACCAACCCCCACAACAACACCAAATGCCACCACAGGCGCTCCCACATCATCAGCATCAGTCCCAACCCCCGGTTCAGCAGCAGCGACAGCAGCAGCGTGACCTTCCAGGCCAGGCCCAGGCTGGGTTTTCATACGCGTCTGGAGCCTCTTACCAGCCTGCTCAGCACTTGGTCGGCCATTGCGCCTCTCAGCACCACCAGGAGGCATCGTTGCAGCAACAACGCACGGAGCATATTCTAGCTTCGCAGCCGCAGCCGCAAGTGCTGCCCCAGCAGCCATCGCATCTTCCGCTGCACTCGCAGCAATTGGCAGCACAACATCCACCGCAGCTGCAACCGCTGCCTCAGCACCTCTACGGCCATCAGGACCCCTCGTTCCGCCTCTCCCTACCGCCGCGACAGTTCATCGATCCTGGGCCCAGCGACTTTCAGCCGCTCCAGCAGAGTTTCGCTGGCGTGCAGCTGTTCGAGGCAAAAGGGCGACTGCCGATCCAACGCGCGCACAGCCTGAACAGCCTGTCTCAACCTTTCGCGGACAGCCAGGCGACCCAGCCACTTGGATATCCGGAAGCGTACGCGCAGTTCTCCAGCGACTTTGCCAGCTGCTCCTCCGTCGGGGACTTTAGCGGCTTCGCATCCGCATCATCGTCTTCCTTGGTCCGCTACGCCTCGTTCGACATGGCTTCGGCTTCCCTCGGCGGCATGTCGAGCGGCAGTGCCAGCAGCGGCGCTGCGGCCGGTCCGAGCAGGGGCTCGGTTGCCGCAGAGCAGGCCAATATCGATCAGCTCCTTGCCATGTCCAAGGCCCAGGCCGAAGTGGCCGGCGACGCAAACATGTTTGCCTGCCCGCATTGCGAAAAGACCTACACGGGTAGGCACGCGCGCAGCATCTGGAGGCGACACCTGCAGGACAAGCACAACATTCCGCTCAGCATCCAACCGCGAAGGACTCGATGGGACGGAGACGCCAATCGTCCCAAGAATGCCGAGGAGAGGAGAGCGCGCATGCTCGAGAGCAAGAGGCGCTGGGCAAGGAAAAAGCGGCAGCAGGAGAAGATGGGCCTGAACAAGGGTTCCGCGGGTGACGACGGGGCCGGGGATGTTAGCTTCGACGACGGCGCCGACGCGGACATCTCGACGCTGAATGCCGGCGACGATTCGGCGACGATCGAGCGCGGAGCGGACAAGGAGAACCTCTCGCCCGCTCAGCCTGGCGGTGCGCTGCACGGAGGTGCGCTGCTCGATACCCAGCCCAAGCTGGCTCACGCGAAATGGCCTAGTCCAAGTCGCAGGGTGAGTGAGCCCAACCCCTTCTTCGCCCCTGAGGCGTCGGGCCTGCACCATTACGAGCTCTACGGGGCCCACGGAGCGGCGACAGCGGCGGGCCAGCGGTCTGGGCCGGGTGACGCGTCGACGACGCCGCTGAACCGTAGCGTGAACCTCTACCCGACGCCGCCTTCCTCGGGTGCTCCCCACCAGGCGCCGGCTACCGGCTTTCCGGGCATTCATCTCTACTCGTCCTCGCCCATGCGAAAGGCCATGTCGGCCTCGACGTCCTCCAATGCCAAAGGGCGGCGGGCTCCGTCGGCACTGCCCCTCATGTCGCCGCCCGCCTCTGACGAGCGTTCGACCGCGCTCGCATATCAGCAGCGGATGCGCAACTCGGCCACGGCGGGGGCAATTGCCAGTCACGAAGGCCTCCAGGCGCCCGTTGAAGGATACCTGGCTCCAGCCGACGGTGCAGTCGCCAGCGGCATGGGCCGCGGATCGACCGACAGCGTGGCCGCCACATCCGTGGCCACCCCGACGTCGGCCACTTTCCCGGGTATGCCAATCGACTTGGCTCCGAGGATGCAGACGCAGGGTGCGGTCCCCGGTCGCAAGACTGACCAACAGGAGGCTGCCATCCAGCTGCTCGCTCTGCGCTCGAACAGCAACAGTCCATCGGACAGCAACACCCAGGGATCTCGGAAGCGTCGTCATGCCAGCATGGACCAGCCGTGGGACACGCCGAGCAAGACGCGCACGTCGTCTACCAACGCCGAGCGCCTAACCAGGCCCAGTCCGAGTCCGAGGTCCAGGTCGTCGACCAACGTTCTTGCAGCGAGGACCGACTTTTTGGACGACGCGCCAAGCGCTGCGAGAAGGCGCAGCGAGCCCCGCGACACCCCTTCCAAGGCGACGCTTCTCCACGCGCCCTCGATGGACCGCTCCACGACGTTGCAGCATCCAGCAGACGGCAGCCCGGCCCCGGCTCCCAGGACTCAACCGCTTGCCATGGTCGGGGGCAGTGGCGGCGGCGTCGGCCTGGCTTCGTCCTCTGCTGCACTGCTAAGCCTCGCGACGCCCGGACCGCCGACACGAGCCGCGAGCAACCCCTTTTCGCTCAACAAGCACAAGATTTCCCCCTTCGAGGGCAAGCGCAGGCTCAGCTTCACGTCCAAGGACAAGCTCTATGACGCGTTCGGCGGCGAGCTGGGCATGTCAACCGTGGCGTCGCCCATCCACGTTGGCGGGCCGCTCAGCCTGCCCGCGCTGGGCCCCGGCGGCATCGCCATGGAGAAGAGCACGTCGGCCCAGTCGGCGGCGTCCGACACCAGCATGCTTGGTCCCAAGCTGCCGCCCTTGGTCAGCACGCCCATCCGGCCCGGCGACAGCCTGAGCGCGGTCCGCGGAACGGCCAGGGCCATGTACGAGGATGACGTCGACCCGCTTCCGGCCCAGCAACACCAGCCTTCGCACCTGCAGCACGGCGGAGGACGCGGCAAGCTGGGCCGCGACATCCTGCCGCCTCCCATGTCGACCTCGAAGCGAGCCGCCGTCGTCTCGACGCCCTTCTCCAAACCTCCCGCGGCGTCGGGTCTGTCGGTGCTGCGATTGGGAGCCTCGGCGCTCAAGTCGACCGCGCCGGGCACGCTGAGCCGTCCGACGCCATCCAAGTTCGGGGGCGACCAGTTCTCGTCGCCGCAGCACCTCAACCTCACCGAGTCGCTTGGCCTGGCGCCCCACTCGATCTCGCGCACCTCGTACGCCTCTTTGTACGGTGGCTCGCTGGGCCTGACGCCGAGCATCTCGGCTCTGGGCGGCTTGACGCCTGGCCTGACTGGCTTCCACACGCCGTTCGGAGCTTGGCCCGAGAGCGCACGCAAGGGCTTGGTCGCCGACGACGACGACGACGATGACGACCTCGAGAACAAGCCCAGCGGCGACCCATCCGGCTTGGACGGCAAGGGCAGGCGCGTCGCCCGCGGGCTCGGCAACGACGAGACCCCGAGCAAGCCCAGCAACCCCCAGCGCCGCAAGCTCCAGCCCCTCAGCCTCAGCTTCGCCAGCAACATCGATGGCTGAGCCGGCCAGCCGGCAACAGCAGATCTCGCCGCTACCGGTCACAAAGACTCGCTTGGCCTGCTGGCCCTCGCCAGCCTGCGATTCGCCTGAAGACGGCCATTTGGCCGTCATATATTTTTGCATCTTTCCCCTCCCGCCCGTCCTTGCTACATCTCGACCGCAGCCAACACCATCAGGGCCGCAAGGGGGCGCCCCACGAAGCCTGTTTCCGTTACCCAACCTTGCCCGTTCCCATCCAATCTCGACCGCCATCATCAAGAGGCGGCCTCGGGACGGAGCCAAGCCAGCCCTCCTCCGTTCTCCGGCACTCTGCGCCCGGCTCCACCCCTTGCGCCGTTTGATGGCTATCCACACCTGTATACTAGACCCCGATCCCACCCGCCGCCATGGTCAATTTCCGACGCTCTCTGATGCGCTGGCAACGGCGACCTGCCTTGCCCTCGCGCTTGCGCTTGCCCTTGCTTCTGGCTCGTGGGCCCCCGTCCCTGTGCGCTGCGCTTCGGCCCCCTCCGGAGCTACAGCTTGGTGAAGGCGCGGATGGCCTTCTCAAAGGCGCGCTGCATTTTGCTCTCGGCGCCTTCGCAGGGCGAGTCGGCGACGAGCATCGAGTCGGTGTGCGCCCACCGCTGTCCGCCCTCGACCTCTTCCAGGGTGAGGCGGACCGTAAATCGGCGTTGCGGCTGCTGCTGCTGCTGCTGCTGCGGGGCGGGGCTGGGAGTGGCGGCAACTCGACCGTCATCTCGAGGAGGAAGACGAGGGGACGACGACCTCGCGACGTTTGAGATGGTACTTCCGTCGTCGTCGTCGTCGTCATCGTCAGAGTTGGGGTCGAGGTCGATGACCGAGGGAGGAGGGGAGCGGGAGGAAACAGAGATGGCGTCGAGAGGTGGATTGCGTTGGGCTGCACCTTCTTCGCGCTGCTGCGAAGCGGGAGGCGGAGGAGGTGGGGTGACGATGTCGTCCTGCGTCGAACGGAGATCGATTTGTTCACCGCGTCGCTCCACGACGGCCTCGGCAGCGTCGACGTCGGCGTTGAGGTCGGCGTCCATATCGGCATCGACGTCGATGGTCTCGACACCGACGCGGACACGGTCCACGGGAACGAGGACGGGCGTGCCGACTGAGTCAGGCCGAACCGGCTGCGACACGCCAGCATCGAGGTGCGCAGTCGGGGCGGGCGTCAAAGTGGCTGCGGCCGGAGTCCGGGATCGGGTCCGAGCCGAGCGCTTGCCGGTACTGGTGGCCGCCGCCGCCGCCGCCGCCGCTGCCATCGCGCGCTTTCTGCGATGTCGCCATAGCCAGGCGGGCAGCGACGCCGCCAGCCTCTTCCGATCTTCAACCTTTACCCGAACCTTGTCTTCCTCCTTGATGCCCAGTCCCAGCGTACCATCCCCCTCGGATTTGGCGCGTACCGAGGAAAGGTCTGGGAGTGTGGGGGCCTTTGCAGGCTCGCTCTTGACTGCCGACATGGTAGAGCATTCTCGCTTCTGTTTTGGACGAGGTAAAGAGACTTCTGGGCTCAGAGGGCGCCGGGCAAAGGAGAATGACGGCTCCTTGACCAAACTCACCACCGTGCTGCTCTGGTTGCTCGACAGGCCCGCGGATACGGCAGCTAGGCCCGTTGAGCTGCAGGTCGAGGGGCCAGTGCGCTGTCGCCACAGTCGCAGATGAGAATAGGGCAGCGGTTGAGCATTCGCCGGCTCGTGGTGACGGCACAGGCGGACGAACCTCTCACCTTGATCGAGTCCATGATGACCATAATGTGATGTCGAACACGGGAGTGAACGGGCCAAGTGCAAAGCGACAGGAATGGTGACGATGATGTCGGTGGTGGTGGTGGTGGTGGTCAAAGATGCCGATGGGTAGGAAAAAAAAAGAGGGGGGAAGGAGGCAGGGGCAAGCACGGCAGCTTATATATACGAGGGAGAGGGAGGCGGGGATGCCTGCCCGCCGTCCTCCCCTTTCGACGCTCGAGCTCCTTTGACGTTTCCGCTGCCTGCCGCTCGGTGCGGAAAGATGTGCTAGGGGCGAAAAGGGCCGCACGCTCAATCGATGCCGACCGCCCACACCTCGAGACCCATGCAGTCGAATCGGCCCTCGCGCTCGTCGTCGGCCGCTTCCGCACGGCGCGGCTTGTCGTCGCAGAGCACCGCATTGTCAAAGGCCGGGCAGCGCGACGAGACGCCCCGCTCGAGCGCGCCGTCGATCCACAGCCCAAACTTGCCGTTGCCGCCGCCGACCGAGAGAAAGTCGGACTCGGTGAGCACCATGTAGTCGTTCTTGCCAGTCCAACGGAACGTCTCGACCGCCTTGCCCTTGTGCGAAGAAGACGCCACCGCCTCGTCCTCGCCGCCGCCAATGTCGTCGGCATCGGAACGGCCCGACTTGGCGAGCGCGTCGAGCTCCGCTCTGGACCGCCTGAAAGTCTTCCAAAGAAAGCACTCGCCGCTGCCGTAATAGTGCTGCTGCGGCCGGAGCTTCTCGTTGACGTAGGCGCCAAAGACGTTGTCGTTGTCGTCCTTGATCGCGATGACCAGGCCGGCGTCCTGGATCGAGATGCCGCCACCGACGTGCTTGACGCGGGGTTGCTGGCCTCCGCCCTCGACGCCCATGGCCGCCTTTGTCGCCGCAGATGCGCCGCGCAGCCACCCTTCCGCCTCTTGCACCCCCGCAGACACCTTGCGCGTCGACGAGGGGTCCAGGCCCTGGGAGACGCGGTGGTAGAGGGTGGCGAGGCTCATGCCATGCTGGTCGAGCGAGTAGAGCAGCTTCCACTGCCTTCCGAGCTGCAGGCGGGGCGGCAGCGCAGCCTGGATCCGCGCCGCGTGCCAGGGCTCGCACACGCTCTCCGTCTCTGGCCGCCGATCGCTCAGGGTGACCGGGATCGCACGTTTGGCCTGCTTTGCGTCCAGGGTCCAATGGCCCGTGTTCCACTGGCGGCTGCTCGAGGCGTCGAAGCCGGGAGCGCCGGAGATGGGCATCGATGCCGAATGCGACGGCGCACGCCTGAGGGTGTTCGGGGCTGTCTGCGTCGGCGGCGAGGCAAACAGGTCGCGCGCCCGCATCGGTCCCGAGCTGGGTGCGGCGCCGAGCGAGGACGTGGACGAGGCGAGCGGCGAGCGCCTGCTCTCGACGCTTGGGCGACGTTCGGTCGCGCTCAATGGGCTGCTCGTTCGTCGGTCGTCTGAAGCAAACAGCAGACCTCCGCCTGGCTTGGCATCGTGCGTCCCCGGCGTGTGGTCGCCTTCCTCGGGAGGGACGATAAAATCGCTGGCACTGGGCAGGTGGCTGACGAGATCACCCGAGAGGCCTCGCAGTGAGGTCCACGTCTTGCGGAGGCTGCCAGTCCAGCTGCTGGGCGAGGTGCTTTCTGTAGGCGAGGTGGCCAAGCGCGGGATCGAGACAGCGGCATGGGCCTCTCCGGCTGGCTGTGTTCTCGTCGTGCCGGACGAGTCAAAGTAGTCTGGTTGGTTGTCAGAGTGCGGGCGCATGGGGCTCGTACGGGCGTCGTGGATGTCTTCGAGCTGCGATGGCTCCAGATGGAGCGAGCTGCCTCGTCCCAGAGCCCTCTGCGGAGCCCTCTCGAAGGCGTCGAAGAAGTCTTCTTCCTCTTTCGGGACGTCTGCAGCTTTGTCCTTTCCATTCTGGCGGTGAGACGCGGCCCTCTTGAGGTTAAGCTTGCGCTCTACCTCTCGCAGGTCGATGATGGGCGGCGAAGGCGCCCGATGGGCCTCTTGGTGCTTTGCCGCCATGTCAAAGGCGTCGAAGAAGGCATCGTCGGCCGGGTTGTGCGTCGCCGGAGCTGCTGGCGTGGCGGCCTTAGATGTTGCAGATCCGCCTTGGACCCCTGGCAGCTCGCCTGTATGGGACGCTAGGAACGAGTCCCAATCGTCCCAGTGATGGGTCTGCGAGGCGGACGAGGCAGTCCTCTTCGGGCTCGGCCGCGTGAGGCTGGCGCCAACGGACGGGAAGCGCGGCGATAGGGGCGAGAAGTCTTGGACCAGATCGCCCGTCTGCCAGTCGTCGTCGGCGGCAGCCGTGGGCGGCGCACTGTGATCGAACATCGCTGACGGCTGTCGATGCGGCTGCTGATGCTGATGAGCGGTGATGATTGGGTGCGGAGAACGGCGAGCGGATCGGGTGCCGTCCAGGGGCTCGGAGAGGCCGGGATCAAAAGCAGCCGGGGGCGGCGGCGGCGGCGGCGGCGATGAAGCTGAGCTGGGCCCTGCATCGATGCCTATTGGCGGCATGGTAGAAGCCTCGACAAAGGAACCAAAGCCGTCCGAGGGGACGCGAGCGTGGCCGCCTCCCTGTGCGAGACAGGCGGTGGAAAGAGGTGGCGGTGGTGACGTGGGTCAGCATGCGGTGCCTCATGCGCCGGCCAAGCGCCGGCCGTGCGCCGCTCTGAGCCAGCAGCGGACTAGACTCACCCCTGGGCCAGAGATGGAGCCGCCGCCGCCTCCGCGTCGTCGGAGGCCTCCGGAAGCGGGCGACTCGGGCGAGGCCATACCGGCTCACGCTGTCATCTGCTTTTTGAGCGGTGTGAGAGCGGCCAGCGAGCTTGCAACGTAGCTGGCGGTGCTGTCGAGGGCAGGGGGAAGGCAAGCGCGAGTGAAGGCAGGAGGAACAGCGGCGTGGTGTCGGAGGCAAGTTGAAGAGGCGACGACGATGTGACCGCGCGAAGTTGAGCGTTCGAGGGAGCTCAAGGTCAGGAGTTGAGTGAGTCCAACAGGCCGGCGGCGCCGCACTGGCCAACGCTTCTCGGCCAGGGTCCGCCGGTGGGCGTTTGCTGGCAGCGCGGCCTGAGTGAGCCACCCAGTTTCGCTCGGCCAAGCCGTCTGCCGAGGAAAAAAGAGACGCAAGAGAGAGACGACCCTGCCCCCACTCCCTCCTCTGGCCGCACTGACGACGACGTCTCGCCCCGCGTCGTCGCTTCCGGTATCGGCCTCCCGCCAAGCCACATTTGCACTTGGAATGCTCATCGAGCACGCTGCCTTTCCCTTTTGCCGCCTCGCTCAACGAGGATAACCGATCGCTCTCCGTCCCTGCCTGGCTCTGTTCGCCTCCCGAGAGGCCCACAGGTCTTGCTGCCGATTCACGGCGACTCCTCCGCACGACCACGGCCCAGCAGACCACGCCACGCGACGGCAGAAGAGAGCAGTAATGAGATGCTGGCCAGCCCCTGGCCGCTCGCGATCTAACAGTCTCGCAAAAGGGCGGGCTGGCCGGATGCTGGGACGATGAGAGGTCGTCTCGACAAGAGACGCTTAGTGTACAGATGCTGAACGTGACTAGGTGACGCTGTGTGTGGTTTTTTGGGGGCGAAAGGCATGCCTCTTTGCCAAGCTAGGCTCAACGAGAGAGGCAGCCATCGACGATAGACTCAAGGAGCGGAAGCGGCCGAGTCGATCGGAACGGTGGGCCTCGGGTGCAGATGCAAAGAATGTGGGCGGCCAGGTCCGGCCGAGGGAGAAAGAGTAAGGACGGTGGATCGCCCGCCAATGTCGAAGGACTCCTGCCTCGCTCCTCGAGCCATGCAACAACGGCAGAGGATGGCTGGGCGCCCGAGGTCGAGGAAGGGCCGCGGAGCGAGGCCAGACGAGGGTAGCCAGTGATGCGTCCTGAGCATCAGGGTGGCGAGTTGACGGGGGGGCGCCCGGACTGAGCGTGACGTGGGCGCGATGGAGTGGCTGCTGCCAAGGTGGGCGCAACCTCGAAGGTCAAGGAAGCTGGGCGTTGAGCGCCGTCTTCCAGGCGATCGCTTCGTCTGAAGATCCGGCGGACAGGTAGATGATGCCCTTGCGATCGACGAGCCTGAGATTCAGTCCGCCGACAATCTCGACGGGCTTCTCGAGGCGAAGCATCGCGTACAGGCTGACCGGCGATGACGCGTCCCGTCCGCCCGAGGGGTCGTTCACGAGCACGACGACGTCGTTGCACAGCAGCACCGTCAGCGCCAGGTTCTGGCTCGACTGCGTCAGGTGGTCGACCTGCATCACCTGAGCAGAGTCACCTGATCTCGGCTGCGCCGCTTCGGAGCCTGTCGCGCACGGGAGGGCCTGGCGGATGAAGCCAGGCACCCGCTTGACGACCCTCCGCAGTCGCAGAGGCCCATCCTTGACCAAGCGGCGGTGTGGCTGGACGAGCGGGCTGTCGAATGCGCCCCTGATCCGGTACTGCCACGCCAACAGCCTCCGGTCCTGCTCCGACTGGCGCTTGCTCTCGTTGACGTTGGATGCGATCCTCGACACGTGATCGAGCGCGCTCGAGAGGGCGTCGGGCGACCGCAGGCGCGAAGGGTCGGTGCTGCGGACAAGGTCCTCGATCAGCAGGCGGTAGCGCGGGATCCTCTGCACCGGCAGCAGGAGGTAGCTCTCGACGTTGAGCTGCGAGTGGCGCGGATGCGTGCGGCAGCGCTTCATGAACGCCTTGATCTTCTTGCGCTGGGTGGGCGTCAGACCAAAGTCGTAGCCGAGCGGCGTGCCGGCCAGGCTCGAACCGCCGCCTCCCGCGGCGTGCTGGACGCCAAGGCTGTTGGACTTGAAGGCCGAGGCGGCGTTGATCACCGACGTCGGCGCCATCCACACGTTGATCCGCATCTGGGCCGAATCGCAGCTGTTGATGTAGCTCATGTACATCTTGAAGAAGGCGGCGTGGTGGGTGAAGACGCTCGCCACGCTCTCAGCCACCGCGGCGGTGAAGTCCGAGCTGCCGTCGGCCGTGTGGTCGAGCTTGCCATCGAGGAGCGGGCGAGCGGCGGAACGCAGAGCCGGGAGAAAGACCTCAGCGTGGAAGCGCAGGATGGCCTCGACGTTGCCGAACACGGCCCTTTGCTCCGACTGCGGCACGACCGGCGCGCCTCCTTGCCCGTCAGCGGGTAGCTGGGCAGGCTTGACGTAGATCTCGACCAGCTCCTGGAGTCCTCGCACGTAGGTCTCCTCGGTCCGGACGATCTCGTCGATGATGCGCATGCGTCGGACCGAATCGTCCTTGACGTTGAGGTCCAGCATGGCATCCTCCGATGAAGACGCAGAACGCCTCTGGGCGCCGTCTTCCGCCGAAGGTGTCGAGGCCGAGGTCGATGCCAGACTAGCAGACGACCGGAAGAGCATGCTCGAGGCCGACGAGTCGCCGCTTGCTATGCTCGAGTTCCTGGTCATGGGCGATGGAACGCTGTCTGCGGAAGAGGCGTCGGTCAGGCTAGCCTGTTCCCTGAGCACCGGACTGCCATTTGCCGGCACCGGCCGTACCGTGGTCAGATCCTCAAGGTCGCGGAGGTAGTGCATCAGGGCACGCAGACGTTGACGGTGTCGGGCTAGAGCCGCAGCGTCGAGCTCCTCGACCGCCTCTGCCGAAGTCGCAGCAGTCGACGAAGCGTTCGCGATGGCCTCGAGACCGTGGACGGGCAGGAAGCTCCGTCTCCTGGCTTGCCTGGACGTCGCCGCCAGCGACGCGACGCCGTCGGCCGCAGGCGCGGCGGGCGTGGCTGTCGAGCTTGGCGGAAAAGCCGGCGAAAACGGCGTCATGGGCACCTGAGTGGGGATTTGAAGGCCCGACTCGGCCAGGGTGACCAGCTTAGCGGGCGGCAGCGGGGGCGGGGACATGGAGCCACGGAAGCCGAGGGCCGAAGAGGAGCCGCTGCGGGACCGCGGGCGAGTGGGAGCTCCGCCCGAGTTGCGCAGGGTGGCGCGCGAGGGCTTGGGCGACAGGGTGCGGCTCTCGGAGCCAGCGGCGATGTGGTCGGTGTACATGACGCCGAGCCTCGAGCTCGAGGCCTTGCGGCCAATCTTCTTGAGGAAACCCCACTTGCCCGGTCCGCCGTGTGCGTCCTCAAACGCCTCCGAGCCCCGGCGGCTGTCTGGGCGCGAGCCGGGCGTCGACGACGTCTCCGAGAGCGCGCCAAACTGCGACATGCCGTCGTTGACGTCTGCAGCCGAGCTGCTGAACGGCAAGCGGCTGCCCCCTCCGGACGTCGGCGAGACTGCGCTCGACGGCGCGGTCGACTCGTCCTCGGGCGAAGTGGGAGTCGAGGTGTCTGATGCCCAGTGCGCCTTGTGGAAGTCGCCGATGCTGCGAAGCCGACGAGCCGACAGGGAGCGCGACGTCGGAGACGCGGGCCCGGGTGGATGCGGCAGACCGGACGAAGAGCGGGCAGGATGCGTCTCGGTCTCCGGGGCGCGATCTTTACCGGCCGAGGCGAGGATGGGCGACACCACGTCGTGCCAGACGCCCTTGAAGGCGTTGCCTTCGAGCATCAGGCGATCGAGCTTGCCGAGGCGATGCAGCCAGTTCGGAAGGTGGGTGAGAAGGTTGTTGCGCAGCCCAAGGCACTGCAACTCCTGCAGCCTGCTTAGGCTCTGCGGCAGCGCGCGCAGGCCGGCGTTGTCGGCCGACAGGACGCGGAGCGCCCGAAGGTTCGAGACGAAGTCAGGAACCTCGCCGAGCGGGTTGCGAGAAACGTCGAGCTCTTCGAGGCCCAGGCAGTTGCCGAGCGCGAGCGGCAGGCTGTCGAGCTTGCAACCCGAGACGTCGAGCACCAGCAGCCTCTGCGTCGAGGGTAGGACCCGCTCCAGCACCTCCAGCACGTTCGGGTCCGAACAGTCGCGGAGGACGAGGTGGGTCGTGTTCGGGCCCGTCTCCTTCTCGACCTCGGCGATGGGGCGGCCGTTGGCGTGAACGATTGCTGCGCTTCCGTCCTGCGCCGTCTTGACCGCCTGCGAGAGCTCGTCCTCGGTCTCTGCCGACTCGTCAAAGCCATAGAGGCCGTCCTCGTCCCAGCGGAAGCGGTCGGCGTAGGCTCCCAGGATATGGCTGAACTCGGCGCCCTGCAGGAAGCTGTTGATCGAGACATCCGAGACCGGGCGCGTCGACGCTGTGGCCGCGTCCGAGGTGGCGGGCCGCCTCGTCGAGTTCGAAGAGGTGGTTTCGAAACTCGGAGCGCGTTCGTTGACCTCTGCCGCGGGCTCGAACTGATGCTCGCCATGGGCTGCAAGGCCGGCCAGAGGTGCCTGCGTCGGGCCAGCGCCAGGCTGAGGTGTGAATGCCTTGCGTCGGATCGAAGCGGCCCGACGCAGCGAGCCGTTGCGCATCGGGTTGGCAGCGGTCGACTCGGACTGCCTCAGCGAGCTCGATCTGGGCGGGCTCTGAGGGTTGCCCCGAGAGATCCTGGAGAGCGACAGCGAGGAGGAGGACGTCGACGATGAGAGGGTACGGCTGAGTCCAATGCCCATGCTGTCATCGGTCGAGACGGGCAGGCTCGGGCTCATGCGGCTAGAGGACGCGCTGTAGGACGAAAAGGTCGACGATATCGAAGACGAGTTCTTGGCGTGGGTCCTCGGGACGCCGTGTGATGCCTCCGACGAGCATCGCTGCCGTGACTGCGTGCGCAGCGGGACATGCGGCGGCAACGGAGTGCCGTCCTCGGCGAGGCGGCTACGCTGGAACTCCTTGGGACTGAGCTCGCTCGTTGTTCGCACCATCGCGGGTCGGTACGCATCCAGCGCGTTGGCGCCGCCATCGAGGGAGAGCATGGCGAGGCCGGCCAGGTCCGACTTGCGGGTCCAGGAGGGGGCTCGATGGTGAGAAAAGGGTCCCGACAAGGCGGGCGAGCCCTCGCCGCCGAAGTTGGATGGGACGACCGGAGAGGCACCGGAGCGACGGTTCTTGAGCGCGTCCAGCCCGTCATTCGAGGTGATGCCGAGGCCGACCGAGTGCTCGTCGATCTCTTCAGTCTCTTCGGCCGGCTCATCGGCGCCGCCGTGGTCCTTTGGAAATGGCTCGAAGCCGAGGCTGCTGTGTGGCCCTCCGGGGCTGGTGTTGCAGCTGGTCTGGCTGCGCTCCGTCCAAAGGGATCCGCGAGTAGAGGTCGAGTTGCGCACGGACATGTCGGAGGAATAGTGGCTGTTGCCTCTGCTGCCGCCGCGGCTCAGGCGTGCACCACCGGGCGATGGCTCGGCGTAGCTGCCCATCCTCGAGGACGACGGGAGCGGGAAGCTAGAAGGATCGGGTAGGTGTGAGAAGTAGCCCGAGGTCCGCTCCAACGCAGAGAGGGTGGTCGAGCCAATGCTTCCCGGCGACGGATTCCCGACGGCGGCAGCGCCGAGGTCGTGCTGCAACGTGCTGTGCATCGACAAGTTCCTGACACGGCCGTGCAAGGGCGCTTGAGCGGCCTCACGAGCTGTGCTGCTCCTCTCGCGACTGCCGCACCGGGACCTGCTCTGGGAGGCGGAGCGTCGAGCCATGTCCGGAGAGCCGGAAGGCGGCATGCATGGCGAAAAGAACGTCTCCGGCGAAGGGTGAGCGGCCGCGCTGAAGAAGCTGTCGCGATGCGTGGCGTGATCTGAAGCCGATAATGAACAGAGTGTGGTAACGGCAGAGACGGACACGGGCGTCGGCGTGTCAGTGCATATCCGGGCGCGCTGACAACTGTGCTGCGGTTCTTGCGTGGGGCAGCAGGGTCGTAGGCCCCCGCCTGCCAGTACCAGCGTCGTACTCACCCGCATCGGTGCCGTCGCGGCCGCTGGAATCGGCGCTGTCGGCCTTCCGGTGGAGCTGAGAAGGGGTCAGGTCGATGTCGTTCGACGACCCGGCCTTGACGGTCTCCTGCCTTCCAAGCCGAGCCGTCGGGGCAAGGGCGATGGTCGTATCCGCCAGGTCCGCAGACAGGTCGAGGGGTCTCCATGACGGCGTGAGGTTTTGCTTGACGACCTCGGGCGATTCGATCTCCAAGTAACTCTGCAGCGATGCGGCCGCTGCGGTCGAGGCCTCCGGCGCGGCAGAGGTCCAGTGGCGCTGGAGAGCCGGTCGGTCTGGAAGCTGAACCAGAGGATCCTCTGTCGACGTCGCCAACGTGTCAAGCTGATCCTCGTCGAGCTGGTCGGTGGGTGCTGGCGGAAGCGACTTGTCCAGCGACAGATTCAGCGTCGTCGGTCTTGGTGTGGCTTGCGCTGCTGACATGATGACATGCGTGCGTCTCGGAACTGGAGGACGGGGCAAGACAGAGGGCCCTGGGCGGGACGACGATCCACCTGGTGAGAGACGGCGCTATGAGAGGCTCAGCGCGTCGGAGTGGGCTGGCAGCGGACGGAGTCCCAGGACAAAGGAGAAGTGGTTGGATGTCGCTCGCCGGTATCGATGTGATGAGGGCGATGGCAAAAGGCCGCTGGTTTGGCCAGCAAAGCGGCGGACTGAGGGTTTCGCCGGGGGCGATGAAGACGAAGTGCGGTTGGCTGGCCTTGCGGCTGCTTTCGGGCGATCAAGGGTTCGAAGTCGAAATGGGACGGGGCCGAGCCTACTCTAATGAGGCGCGGGCGACGGGGTGACGCTGCCGGGACGTCGATCGCAGAGGACGGATAGAGGAACTCGCGGGCGAAGCTCTGCAAACCAAAGGTCGCCGGCGAGCGTTCGGTTGATCGTTCGCGAGATCAGACGAAGGGGCCCGTGTCGCTGATGTGGTGGCGTGCGGAAAGGCGAGTGGTCCGAGGTCCGAGACAATAGCGGTCAGCAGAGGTGCCAGCTGATGACCGACCGGAGCGGGGATTTACACGGCTGCCGGGTGGGGAGTAGAGGAAGCAGCGATCAAAGGATGACGAGGAAAATGGCACGAGGCGGATGGCGGCGTCGGATGGAGACTCGACGATGGCGGTGCTTCCGTGGTGACGGGGGCGGTCGGAGGGCGGAGTGCGAGAGCTCTGCCGAAGCGGTGTCGCGAGGTGGGTGCAAGCGACGGCTGTGTGCTCTATAGGGCGAGGCGGTAATATCAGGGTTTCCGCCGTGGTTGGACGATGTCGAGGTGCTAGACGGAGAGGTGGGCCGAGGTACGTCTCTTTGTCCTAGAGCATCGAGGTGTGCCAGGGTAGGTGGGGCGCGCGTCGAGAGGTCGGGAGAGAAAGGGAGTGGTCGGTGAAAGCCAGGAGGGGTGGGGTCGCTGACACCTGCAGCAGGGAGCGCGGCGTTGAAGGCGAACAGGAAGCGACTCGAGGCGGGTGGTGGTGGTGATGGTGGTGGTGGTGGTGATCAAGGGGCGGTGGCGACAACGACCATGGGTGCAGACGATGGCGAGGGCCACGGACGGAAGCTTGCCAGCCAACCAACCAACCAACCAACCAACCACCAACGATGATGCGAAGGGGGGGGGGGGGGGAAGCGCGGCGCAAGGGTCAGGGGCTGCAGGCAGGCGGTGCTGTCCGTGCACGAGAGCCCCCCCCCTGCCTGCCTGCCTGCGTCGTCTTCTGGTCTTTTTGACGGTGGCCAGCGCAGACGAAGCAGGCCAGAGGCCGGCCCTGCCCTGCCCTGCCTGGCGCTGCCTGCGCCCCGGCTCTCCTCCCTGGCTGCTCAACCTGCAAAAGGCAGGGCCGCCCGCGCGCGTCAAAAATTTTGAGGGTCCTTGCCATCTGCAGGCAGGCAGGCAATCAGGCAGCAGGCAGGCAGGCTCGCCCCGCTGCCGCTGTGGCAGACGAACCCCAGCGAGGCCGGCCCCGGACCAGGTCTCGGTCCCTTTGATCTCCAGGCAGAGCAGGACGATGGCCACCGCCGCAGACATGTCGTCCCAGCTCGACGAGGGGATCCCGAAACAGATTCGCCTCACCCTCTCTGGATCTCGCATGCGAACACCGGCACCGACCGTACCGTAGCTGCGCCGGCCTCTGAGGCCACGGCAGTCCAAACGAGCAGAGGCTAGGCGAAAGGCGGCCGCCCGTGTCTTGGTCTATCTGCGCTCTCGATCTGGCCTGCCTCGCGCCAAAGCAAGCAGTCCGGGCGGCCCAAGGGACCCTAGCCTGGCCTGCCTTTGGCCTGCCTCTCGCCGCGTGCGGGAACGCCCTGCCTAGCCTAGCCTGCCTGCTGCCTGCTTGCGCCCTCGCTTAGGCCGCCCTCCGATCTTTCCTGCCTACCCGGCCTGCTGGCCCGCTTTCAACAGCCAGCAGCTGCCTTGGCTGCCATCACAGCCAGCGTCAAGCAAGGAGGCGGCGGATATCGCAGCATCGAGCGAGGAAGGTGGCAGGCAGCCGGCCAGGCGGCTGTAGCTAGGCAAGGTCGGACCTAGCAGCATGGATGATGTCGACCGGGGCAACCGACGAACGGTTGCGCAGCGGTAGGTAGTACGCGTGTGCCATCAACTCCTCTGCCGCCGACCGCTGTCATGACGGCCGGCCGAGGCAACGGTGGAAGACGACGAGCAGAGCAAGCAAGCAAAGATGGGGGCTTCGCTCGTGCGGCGGCGTCCCCATAGGTAGCTCTGCCTGCCTGCCTGCCTGCCTGCCTCCAAATTTGGGGTCGCCTTCGCGATCGCTTGGACCGGACCGGTCAACACGTACGCTGCGCTGCGTTGGCTGCGCTGCGCTGTACGTATAGGTGGGTGGGGCGGCTCAGGCAAGAGGGGGTGGTCGGCAGGTGACGGTAGGCCGGCCTTCTTCCCACCATCCCCTCGTCGTAGTATCGCCACACGCGCGTCGGTAACGGCGAGGATCGCGATGGGCTCGATCTGCTGCCTGGCAGGTATGGTAGGTAGGCCGCCTGACGAGCTCGCCAGCCAGTACTCACGCTAACGACGCGTTGTGATGCACCGGCGCTGCACAACCGGAGCCATGTGGGCCGCAGCTCAGCGCCGGGACATGTGCGTGTACGTGAAGCTGAAGTGGCGGCACCGCGGCAGGTGAGAGTAGTTACATACGTCCCTTTCTCGTCGGTCGAAGACGTGGGCCAGGCGCGATGATCGCGCGCAGCGTAGGCCCCCTGCCTCCTGAGCACAACGAACGGGCCAGCAGAGGGTGGTGGGCCGAAAGGAGGTGGTGAGCTCAAATACGCCCATGCATGAGCGGCCTGGCGGCGCTGCGAAAATCTGGGGCTGGAGAGGGGGAGGCCACCGTTCGCTCGCCCGTCAAGCTGCTCTGACCGTCTACCGTAGCTTGCTTGCTCGGTCGCGCTGGGCTGCAACGCGGACGCATCGAAAGAAGAAAGGGGCTCGCTGAAGCGGACCTTGGTTGCGTCGTTCTCGGGGACCACCCCCAGCTGCGCAGCTGGGGTGCGACACCGGTTGGGCCTGGCAGGCTGGGGCGGTTGGCCTCAATCTTATCCCAGGCCAGCCTGGTCAGGGCAGGCGCCGCGGCTCGACCGGTGCGAGTTGCCAGGCGGCCAGTCTGGGCGGTCTCACGTACGGGGGGCCGGATCTCGCCAAATTTCAAAATCTGAAAATCCGATCGGGAAGTGCTCACCCTACCTGGCTGGCCTGGCCCAGCTCTCTCCCGATCTGCAAGACACGCGCGTGCTCGTGTGACTTTGGAAGAACGAGGCTGGCCTGGCCTGGCCTGCTGGAGGTGGAGGCTCGGTCTGGGCCAGCGCGAGAGCGAGCGAGCGAGCCCTTCGCCTCCTCGACTGCCTTCAAGGTACACCCAGCCACACCCTCTCACGCTATACAACCCACAAAGCACCACCCAAGCAACACCATCGTCATGGAGGTCCCCACGCTCGTCGTTTGGCTGGTCGGCGTGGCTATCCTCTACCTTTGTGAGTGCAAAGAGTCAGGCAGTAGAGGTAAAATCCCGCCTCGCTCGCCTGACCGTTTGGATTGCATGTAACACTATGCCACCGCGCACCCCTCGCCGCACCAGTCTTTGCCCTGTACAAAGCTTCGTTCGCAGCCATCCTCTACAAGCAACGCAAGCTCGAGGTGCAGCGTCACAACGACCGCACGCACGCTCATCAACACCCTGAACGGCAACCTTGGCGAGCTGCGCGCCGCTCTTCGTGACAACGCCACCCCTCCTCCGTCCTACCAGGATGGAACCGTGCGTGACGCATTCGACCTCGACTTCTGAAGCGGTCAAGGAGCGGTAGGGCGCCGGTTGCTTGAGCGGAGAGGGAAAGGAGGGGGCGGGGAAGGGAGGAGGAGGAGGAGGAGGAGGAGGAGGAGGAGGAGGAGCAGGGCACCTAGAATCCGGTCGACCCCTCGCGAAGCTGGGCGAGCTTCTTGTTCAGCTCGGCCGGCGTACGATCAAGCTCTCCGGCGATGGCCGCCTGCTTTTGCGGAGAGAGGAGGCCGAAGGTCTCGCAGAGATCGCCATCCACGACGGCCTTGACAGGAGCATACATCCCCCGGAAGGCGAGGTGGTCGCGACCGACGATGCTGCCGGCTTCTTGCCGCATGTGCATCTCTAATGTCGAAAGCGTCTCGACGTCCTCCTTGCTCACGAACGGTATCAGCGTGCCCAGGGTGCCGCTCAGGCCCGTGTAGAGGATCACCTCGCGACCGCCGGGCACCATGCGGACGCGCGACAGCGACGTGGGGATGTCGCCGACAAAGTAGTGCGCCTGCAGGCTCGCCTTGTGCGCGGCGCCGTTGAGCAGCGGCTTCTCGTGGATGATGGTGAGGCCCGTCGGGTCCTCGTCGACCGAGCGGCTGGTCGACTCGTCGATGCGCAGCACAAAGACGTTGCCGAACCGGTCGCCCGCCACCACGGTGTCGTAGTCGAGCATCGCCAGCGACGTGACAAAGCGCGGCATCGTGTCGTCGGCGAACACCACCAGCCGGTTCTCGAGCGGCTTGTACGACACGAAGAGCACCGACTCCTGCATGTCGCCCACGACGATCCGCGAGCCCTGCGCGTCGAGCTGGACAATGGCCGAGGGGAAGGTGCGGTTCTCGCTCTTGCGCAGCAGCTTCTTCTTGCCCAGGTCGTAGATGCGCAGCGACTTGCCGATCCCCGCCAGCAGCCGCCCCTGGAACGGCCGCAGCGCCAGCGGCACGTCGTCGACCTCGGTGCGGTGCATCAGCTCCAGCCGCCGCCCGTCGTCGAGGATCTTGTAGACGCTGAGGTAGGCCTTTCCGACCGAGCGCGGCGAGAGGTGCACGTCGACGCCAGACCCGACCACCAGGTGCGCCTCGCCCTCGGCCGAGGCGAACCTGACCAGCGCCACGCTGAACGCCGCCTCGTTGTCCTCGAGCTCGACCTGCTGCAGCGACTGCGCCTCGGTGGCGTCGACGACCCGCAGGCAGCTCGACCACTGCCCTGGCCCGGCGCGAATCAGGCCAAACTCGGCCGCGGGCAGGTCCAGGACGCCCCGCTGCTCGGCCTTGAGCGCCTTGCCGCCCATCTCGGCCTCGCGTTTCCGCCGCGCGCTCGGCGACAGCGTCCGGTGCTCGGCCTCGGCAATGTAGAGGAGGTTGCTCCGGTCCGGGTGCGCGGCGACCTTGCGCGGCGTGTACGAAAGCGGCGTGCTGTCCTGCTTGAGCTTAGTGCCGAGCGTGGGGATGGTGAAGATGCGCAGGCTGCTGCCGATGATGCCGATCAAGCCCTCGGGGCACAGCTCGGCGCTAAAGGACCACGCGTGGTCGAGCGCCTCGAAGATGAGCGGCACAAAGTGGAGCCGCGACTGGTACGAGTAGCTCAGCCACGACCGGCTGCTGAGCGCCAAGACGGCGCGCTCGCCCTGCACCGCGGTGCGGATCAGCCGCACCGGCTTGCTGCCGAGGAAGCGGGTGCGGGTGTCGGTCAGCTGGCCGGTGACCGAGTCGAGCACGGTGCGCAGCAGCACGCCGTTCTGCAGCCCGATGTTGACGAACAGCGTCGGGTGGTGCCGGTCGACGATGTTGTCCTGCATCTCGGCGATGCAGATGCTCGACGGCAGCGCCGTCAGGGCCTGGATCGAGATCGAGGCCAGCGTGCTCTCCGGATCCAGCGAGACCATGCGCACCGTCGAGTCAGCGCATCCGGCGGCGAGGTAGGGCGTCCGCTGGCGCCCCTCGGGGCACTCGGCGATGCTCATGGTGAGCACCCGCGCGCCCATGGCCTTGCGCTCCTGAAACTCGTTGAGCTGGCCCTCCATGTCGAGCTCAAAGTAGACGATCTCGTTGCTGCTGAGCGCCACCACGACCTGGCGCGCGTTGGTCGTCGATGCGACAATCGTCGTCGGCTGGCCGTTGGGCAAGCTTGGGGTGGCCCACTCGTTGACCTGCTTGTCGGCGAGGATGTGGCGGATGCCGTGGGGGTGGACCTGGAGCAGCGCGTCGTCGCCGAGCTGCTGGACCGCGAGCGTGGGCGACGTGGTGAGGAAGCCGCTGTCCGAGACCTCCTCGATCGTCTCGCCGATGCTGAGCACGAGCGTGCCGTTGACGAAGCTGAGGACGATGTAGCTGTCAAACTCGTCGCGCCTGGTCAGCTTGGTTGTCCAGACGGCGTTGGGGACGCCTGGCAAGTCAGAGCTGACGGCCTCCTGCACCTCGAGTCCGTGGCGGAGCATCTTGAGGCTGCTCCGCGCGCCGCGGCCGCACGCCGCAAAGATCTGCGGCGAGTCGGCTCCCAGCGGGTTGAGCACCTTGGCGTCGAGGATGGGGTCGAGGCTCGGCAGCTCGTCGACCTGGATGAGGTTCTCGAGCGGTCTCGGCGTAAACGACGGTAGCGCCGGCGGGTGTGCGCCCGCGCCGTGGTCCTCGTAGTCGGTCGAGGCGTATTCCGGTAGGTCGTCGTCGTCGCCGAGCTTCTGGAACGAGTAGAGGTACTGGGCGCCAAACTCGGACGCGACAAAGAGGAAACCGGCGCGCAGGATGCACAGGCCGGCGGCCACGGGCACGGTGTCGAAGTACTTGATCTTGAGCGAGCGGATCTCTTCCTCTTCGTGCTCCATCGTCACCTTGAACAGGTCGCCGTCCTCGGTCTGGACCAGCAGGAAGAAGGCGTTCTTCATCTTGTGCAGCACGCTGGCCACGATGAGGGTGCCGCGGCGCTCGCTCTGCCGCTCGAGCGGGTTGTGCCGCCGCGGGATGGGGACGCGGTGCTCGTCCTGGCCCTGGTGCTTGTAAGTGATGTAGTCCTCGCTGCAGACGAGCACGCCGCTGGGGCCGTCCCACTTTTCGAGGTTCTGGTTGTAGCCGCCGGGCACCTGGATGAGGAGGTTGGCGCGCGGATCGACGGGCTCCGACCACCGGCGCACGACGTGGTTGAGGCCGAGGTCGAGCTCGTAGTAGGTGAGCGCCTTTTCCGCCTCGGCGGCCGCCTTGCCCGTCGGGTCCTGGTCTGCGTCCGAGTAGTCGACCTCGAGGCTGGCAAAGAGCGGGTTCTCGAAGCCGACGTCGACGCCGACGATGCTGTGGATGATGCCGCTGGGCTTGTGCGCCTCGAGCGGGCTGGATATGGTGAGGTTGGCGGCGGTGTCGCGGTTGAGGATGTAGACCAGCTTGGCCTTTTCCATGGCCCCGATCATAACGGCGCGGCCTTTTGGGTCGGTGGCGAGGTACTGCCCAGGCACGATGCGGCGAGATCCGGACCGCCCAAAGGTCTCCTGGTGCAGCTTGTCGAAGGTGTTGGTCTTGGGCTGGTACTCGAGGATGACGATGCGGCCGGAGTCGGATCCGATGATGAGGTAGTCTTTGGAGCCGCCGGTGAGCCGGAAGCTGGCGAGGCTGCGCACTACGCCGAAGGCCTCATGGGTGAGGACGGTGGCCACCTTGCCCGTCTGCGTGTCCGGGCGGAGGAGCTCGATGCGATTCGCCTTTGCGAGGACGATTTCCTGCTGGCGTGTGCCAGAGAACTGGCCGACGACGGAAGCCGTGACATTGCTCGGCGGCTGGAGTGTGAGGTTGTAGAGATGCATGGCGGGGCGGGGCGAGGCGATGGTGCACGCAGCTCGCAGATCGAACAAAGAGTATGGATAGAGGCGCAGACGGGGCGCTGACAGCTCCTCGAAGCGGCCGACCGGCCCCCGGAGCGGGTGTGGGTGGCGCGCTTGCCCGGCCGGCCGCGCGGGAGCGAGGGGAACAGAGGCGCGGTGGAGGAAGAGGAGCGTGACCACGCGTTCCTGGACGCGGCGACGACGGCGTCGAGGGGGCAGAAGTGGATGTAGAATTCCGCGCGACGACGGCCGTGTAGGGCAGCAAGAGGTGCTGGGCGAAGCTGGCAAGAGGAGAGTTAGGGGGGATGGAGGAGAAGAGGAGGGAGGAGGCAGCAGTCGCGAGGGGCGCTCCTCGGCCTCAACCCGCAGCGAAGAAAGCTCTGCTTAGTCAGCAGCGTGTGGAGCACAGGCGGCCCGCCCGATCGAAGCAGAGACAGCCGCTCTTCCCAAAAGCCTCGGCCTTCCCTCTCGCCACTACCAACACTACCACCACCACCATCACCACAAGTCTGCTCACCACCGCCACCGTCCCAGACCAGCCAAAAAAATGTTTGGAGGTGAGCCATTTGAAGCTGCCTTCGATCAGACAAACACGCCCGGCCTCACAGCGCTGACACGTTCTTCGACCTGCCCCTGATCCTCGAACTACAGCCGCCCCGCCCGCCCCTTCGCCCGCCGAGCGCGCCGCAGCCCGCCTGCAGGTGCGCCAAACCTTCCGCGGTCTCGGCTTCTACATTGCATCGCTCTGGAGTGGTCAGTCCCGTCCCCCTTCGACCGATCCGCTGGCCACCTCTGCCCGGCTAGCAAGGCGTCCTGACACTCTCCTTGTCATCCCTTCCACCTGCCCTTGCACAGCCCCTCTGGTCCTCTACTACGTCAACCAGGCTCTCGGCCGTCACATTGCCTAGATCGACATCGAGTCCCCCATCTTGCAGCCTCGGCCCGAGTATCCATAGCCCCCGCACGGCGCTACCCGCCCGCCGATTAGCCGGCTCGCTCGCCCCCTGCGCACACTCAGTTCCGACCCCGGCTCTGGCTCAGGCCGGTCTGGAGAGCATTCTATAATCATTCGAGAAGCAACGAAGCCACGAGCGGCGTGCAACAGTCCGTCTCGCCACGGTTCCTCACTCGTCGTCGTCGTCGCCCTCGCCCTCGCCCGCGTCCTCGTCGGCCTCCTTCCTCTTGAGCTCCTCGACAAACTTCCTCGCCCGGTCCAGGACGTCCTGCTGCCCCTCTGGCGTGCCCTTGGTCTTCTCAAACTCGAGCCACTTCTTGAGCACCGACTTAGCCTTTTTGCTCGACAGCTTGAGCGCCAGCACGCGCTCAAACAGGTTGCTGCGGTCGGCAAAACGCGGCAGTGGACAGCGAGGTAAAGACGGGTGGGGGCGAAGGACGTCAGCACCTGCATCGTCGTCGTCGAGCTGTCGGGCTAGGAATCTGGGCGGGCACGCGGCTGGTCTACTCACCGGACACCCGAGATGTTGGCCACCTTGGCCTCCTGGTCAATGTACTGCCACCAGAGGTCGAGGCGCTTGGGGTACGAGTCGACCAGGCCCTCAAAGATGGTGCGGCCCCGCTCGGCCTGGCCGTACTTGAACTCGTTGAGCGCAAACGCCGTGATGGTGCGCACGTGGTCGCGCTTCTCGAGGCTCTGCAGGCTGCGCGGCAGCAGCAGCCGCGCGTCGTCGGCGCGCTCGTGGCGCAGCATCATCTGGTTCCACGCGATCCAGACGTCGGGGACGAAGCCAAACTTCTTGCTCGCCCGCTTGAACATGTCCTCGGCCTGCTCCAGCTTGCCCGTCTGCTCAAAGATGGCCACCATCCGCAGGTGCACCGTCAGCGCGTCGTTGACCTGCGCCGCCTCCTTGAATGTCTGCTCGAGCGTCTCGTCGGTGCCGTACGTGTTTTCCAGGTTGAGCAGCGCGATCCAGACGTTGAGACGCTCCTGCTCTTCGCGGAACGAGATGACCTTGATCGCCCGACGTGCCACCTCGCGCGCCTTGTCGACGTCCGAGAGCTGCAGCTGGAACGACATGAACTGGATCCAGAGGTACGAGCTGTTGGGCGATCCGAGCAGCAGCCGCTCAAAGTCGGTGTTCGACTGCGGCGCCTTCTCGGCCAGGTCGGCGGTGAGGTCGTCCTCGATCGCCTTGCCCTTGCCCTTCTTGCGCTTGTTGCGCTTCGAGGCGGCCGCAGCCGCACCCTCGTCGTCCGACCCTTCGCCGGCGTCGTCAGAGTCGGACCCCGATGCGGCCGAAGCGCCGTCATCGTCGTCCGAGTCGTCGGCGGGCGCCGACCAGCTAAATCCGCCAGACAGGGTGAGGGCCGGCACAGGCGCCTTGCTCGAGAGCCCGGTCGGCTTGCCCTTGTTTCGCGTCGGCACGTCCTCGTCCTCGTCCATCATCTCGATGTAGTCGCCCTCGTCGTCGTCCGAATCCGCCTCTTCGTCGTCGTCTTCGTCGTCGCTGTCGTCGTCGACACCTTCGAGCAGTGCGCTGACATCCTGCTCGCCGTCCTCGGCTCCTGCATCATCGCCGTCGCTGTCCTCGTCATCGTCGTCGCCCTCGTCGTCGCTATCGTCGTCCGAGTCCTCAAAGTCCTTGGCCTCAAAGTACGACGGCTTGAGGCCAAACGAGATGCGCCTCTTTTCGCGGTTGACGTCAAGCACGATGGCGCGGACGCGGTCGCCGACGTGGAACGCCTTGATGGCGTCAACCTCCTTGGTGTCGGACAGTTCGCTGCGGTGGCAGAGTCCGCTGAGGCTGGTGCCCTCGATCTGCACAAACACGCCGAACTCGGAGATGCCGCGAATGAAGCCCTTGACCTTGTCGCCCTTGCGGTAGTCGGTCAGCTTGCGCTCGGCCGGGTCCTTGGCCTTGAGCGCCGCCTCGCGCTCCTTGAGCCCGCTCTTGCTCGAGCCGGGGTCGCTCTTGAGCGACATCTCGACCTTGTTGCTCGCCTCGTCGACGTCCATGATGGTGCCCTCGACCACCTGCCCGGCGACGAACCGAGGCTTCCAGTCCTTGACGTAGCTGTCGAACAGCTCGCGGATCTGGATCCGCGCCACGACGTTGCGGCCGAGCGAGACGAAGACACCCGAGTCGGCGATGCTCTTGACAATGCCGCGGTACTTGCGACCCTTCTTGAGGTCCTGGGCCGACTCAATCTCTGGGTCGACGATCGACGCCGGGTCGACCGGCGTGCCCTCGACAGCAGCGAGTCGCGATGGGCGGGTGCTGGCCTGCGCGATGCGGCCCTGCTTCTTCTCGGCGATGAGCAGGCAGCGGACCTGCTCGTCCTCCTCCGGCAGCACGGCCTGCTCCGGGTTCGAAAAGTCGTCGGCGCAGTCGGTGAGGTGGAGGATCGCCTTGCCGCCCTGGCTCAGCTCAATCATGCAGTCGTGCTGCTGCGGGCTTCTGCGCACGACGCGGCCGACGACGATCTCGCCAATTGTGTAGCCGGCCATCGACGACTGGCCGTTGTTGCCAGCTGCGGCCGAGGCGGCCTTGGACTTGTCACGGTTTGATCGCAGCTTGTCGCCGCAGATGACGAGGCCCTTTTCGGTGTTCTTCTCGACGGCGATGAGGCCTTCGACCTTGTCGCCCTCGGCGAGCGACTCGCGCAGGGCGTCGACGGTGACGCCGCGCTTAGCGGCAAGGATGCTGAGCGAGATGAGCGCGCGGATGCCAGAGGGGACGAGCGTGAGGACGGCAAGGTCCTGGTGGACGGCGGCCACGGTGGCCTCGACCTTGTCGCCGACCTCGACGGCGTCGACGTTGATCTTGGCGAGATGCGCCGCGCTCGCCTGCTTGATGCTGGCCGTGATCCTGCCGCTCGAGGCGTCGACGGCGGTGATGCGGACCTTGACGACCTTGCCCTCGGAGTAGCTGGCCTTGAGGTCGGACACGTAGTGATCGGCCAGCTCGCTCGCGGGCACGATGGCACGCAGCTGGCCGAAAAAGTCGACGAGCAGGCTCGAGTCAAGCACCTTGGAGACGGTGGCGTGAGTGATGACGCCGACGCGGGCGTCGTCGGGCGTGGCGACGACGGGCAGCTCGGACGAGACCAGCGTCTTTTTGAGGGTCAGGGTGATGCGGTTGCGGTTGGGGTCGACGCGGAGGACGCGCGCCTTGACGGTGAGGCCCGGCTTGAACTTCTTCTCCGGGTTCTTGAGCGCAATGTCGGAGAAGTGGCTGGGGAAGACGGCGCCGTCGACGTTGCCGTTGAGCTGGAGGATGATGGCATCCGAGCTGACCTTCTTGATGACGGCCTGCGGGAACACCTCGCCCACGGCCACCTCGCTGACGCGCATAAACTTCTTCTGCAGCACGCTCTGCCTGAAGCTGAGCTGGAGCAGCCTGTCGGCGGGCGCATGGCCGACGACACGCGCCTTGTGGCGGCTGCCCACCTTGAACGGACCCGACGTCGAGGGGAGCGAGACGACGTGGTCGTCGGACGTCTGCGAGATGTGGACGAAACCGGCGATCTCGCAGCCGGCGACCGAGCACGAGAGGCCCCAGTCGCTGTCAGTGGCCGTGACGGTGGCCTCAACGTTGGTGCCAATCGGATAGGCCTCGGACAGCACCAGGCCGTCCTGAGTGGCGGGCGGCGCGAGCTGGACGATGTGGGGAGCCAGGCTGAGGCCGAACTTGCGCTCGGTGTCGGACATGGTGCCGTCGAGCGCATCCGAGTCGGGCACCGGCAGGTCCCAGATGACCCTGGCCTTGTGCTTGGAGCCGAGCTTGTAGACGTCCTCGATCGACTTGCCCTCAGGCAGAGGGGGCAGGTGGAAGCGGTCGACGGTGGCGTCAAACATGCCAAACAGCTTGACATTGAGGCCCGTGCCCAGCGAGGCGGTGACGAGCGCCTGGACCAGGATCCCGGGCACGACGGCGGTGACGCTCGGCCCGCTCTTGACGATGCTGTCGCGGATCTCGGCGTCGGCGGTGCAGTCAAAGGTGCGCCTGTTTTCGGCAATCTTATTGACCTTGACCTCGATGACGCTGCCGATCTGGAGCTGCTTGCCGTCGGCGCCTGCGCGGAACTGAGCGGGAAGCTTGGCGACGTTCTTGAAGTTAAGGAAGCCCGACAGCTCGTCGATGCCCGCGTCGAGGATGTAGCCGTGGTCCTCGAGGCTGGAGACGGTGGCCGAGAGGGTGGAGCCGACAGAGAGGTCGGTCACGCTGACGCCCTCATTGACGAGGTGCGGGGCGATGCTGAGCTCGACCCTCCTGCTCTCGCGCTCATACTCTCCGCCCTCGCGGCCGGTGCCCATGCCCTTGGTGACGCCGGCCGAGTGTACGTTGATGACGCTGGCGCGGAGCCACTGGCCTACGTGAAAGAGGTCGCGGAGCTCCGGGATGGCCTTGGCGCTGCGGCGGGCGTTGTCGTCTGCCATCTCCTCGTCGCCATCCTCGTCGTCCTCGTCATCGCCGCTGTCCTCGGCCTCGGCCGCTCTCTGTAGCCGCTCGGTGAACTGGTGGCTGATCTGCGTGGCCGGGATGTGGCCCAGCAGCTGGTTCGGAAGGGACACGACGACGGCGAGCGGGTGTACGGCGAGGACCGAGCAGAGGACGCGCGCGCCGGGGACGAGGCGCTTGTAGTTGAGGTGCTCGACGCGGATGTGGTCGACCTTTGGCTTCTTCGGTGCGTCCTTGACAGCCTTCTTCTTGCCATCCTTGGAGGTCTGCTGCTTCTTTGCAGCCTTTGCCGACGACGCGGCGTCCCTGTGCTTTTGCTTTTGCTTTTTGGCGGCCGAGTCGGTGAAGAGGGCGTCGTCCTGGTCACCGATCTCTGCCCTGGCCTCGCGCTTTGCCTCCCTGAACTCGAGCGGGGTGAGGCCGCTGCCGCCACCTCTGGGGAAGTCGACCTCCTGGGGCGCGGCGATGGGTGCTGCGGTCGTGGTGGCGGTGGCCGATTTAGGGCGGAAGTCTGTCTTGGACTTGCGCTGCTTTTTGGCGTCCGACGAGGCGGCTGTGCTGGCCTTGGCGGCGGACGAATCCCTGGACCTCTTTACGCCCGGCATTTCGATGCGTAGCTCGGCGGCGAGGGCGGTATCAGAGGATGCCTGAGATGGGTGGGGGAAGGAATGAAAAGGTCGGTGATGGGTCCGGGCAAGGTGGTCGGTCGAGTGCGGTGCCAAGCGAGCAGCAGCCTCAGAAGAAAAACCCGGCGGGGGGTTCAGGCGGCGTGGCTCCCAGAAAAAATCCCGGCAGCCACCGCGCACAGCACAGCAGCGAGAAAAAAAGTTCGGCCTTGGGCCCACGGCGGCCAGACGGCTCCGAGTCCGAGAAGTGCGTTGACCGACTTCCGAGGACCAAGCAGAAAATAGAAAGCTCCCGAGTTCCGAAATCGACAAGCAAGCCGCGTCCAAAAAAGCCGATGGGCCGAAGCCAGAGCCACGAGCCAAAGGGGCCCGCGCAGCCAGCCGCCTTTGCCCTTGCAGCCAGCCTGGCTGCGCTGCTGCGCTGCCCACACGAGCGAGCGAGACCTACATACCATAACTATCCGCCCGTTGAGGGGGGCCATGCGCCAACCTCGGTGGCCCGCCGGGCATTTGTCCTGTTTATTGGCCGGCACGGTGCAGCGCCTGCAGAGCCAGGCCAGAGATACATATGGCTACGCAGCCAGACGATCCCCCACCCCCGCGCCCCTCTGCCACAAGGTTGGCAGGTTGGCAGGCAGGCAGAGGTCGTGGGGAACGAACCAACGAAGGGCGCCCCGCGTCTGCCGGCGGGCGGGCTACTTATCGGAGGCCCCAACAGGCACGCGGCCCCTTCCGCTGTCGGTGCGTCTTTGCTTCGCTTCTTCGATGCACCCTTGCGCTCGCTCTCCCTCTTGCGCACCACTACTACTCGCCTCGAAAGCCACACTCCTACGGCTGGGAACCCCCATCACCCTGCTTGGCCGGCTAACCTTAGCCTGCCTTGACCGGACCGACTCCGGTTGCTGCTGCTTGCCTGCTGCTGCTCCTCCTCCTCCTCTTCCTCTCGACGCCGCGACTACATAAGACAGCATTGCCGCAACACACTCCGGTCGCCCACCCAACCGCCATCCCCTCATCTCTGCCCATTCGACGTTGCAGCGAGGTCAAAGCCACCTCGGCCGTCGACCATCCGCAATGAGCCCTCCATCCAGGACCGATGAGAGGACCGCCCTCCTCTCGGACAACCACGCCAATGGCCGCTCCTATGGCAACGCCGCCGACGGCACAAGCAGCGCCACCTCGACGCCCGAGACCGAGCATCGCCACGTCGAGGTCATGCCCCCCCTCTCGGTCCTCGCCCCCGTCATGGTCGCCCTCTGGGTCCCCGTGTTTGTCGCTTCCCTAGACGGCACCATCGTCGCCACCCTGCTCAGCAGCATCTCTTCCAGCTTCAACGCCTCCGAGCAGGCAGCCTGGCTCGGCAGCTCCTACCTCCTCAGCGTATGCTGCTTCACCCCCATTTACGGACGGCTCGCCGACATTGTCGGTCGCAAGGCCTGCCTCCTCACCGCACTCACCTTCTTCACCGTCGGCACCGCCCTCTGCGGCGTCTCGACCTCGATGGAGATGCTCATTGCCTCGCGCGCCATCGCAGGCATGGGCGGCGGCGGCCTCACCACCACCTCGAGCGTCATCATGAGCGACCTCGTGCCCCTCAAGAACCGCGGCCTCCTCCAGGGCCTCACCAACATCATCTTTGGCCTCGGCAGCGGACTCGGAGGGCCCGTCGGCGGCTGGATGAACGACACGCTCGGTTGGAGGAAGGCCTTCCTGCTCCAGCTCCCCTTCCTCGCCCTCGCCTACGTCCTCGCCAGCTGCTTTGTCAACATCAAGGTCCCCGTCCCCTCGCACGGCCGCACCACCATGGAAAAGATCCGGAACATCGACTTCCTCGGCTCCGTCTCGCTCGTCGTCGGCGTCTCGTCGACCCTCATCTCGCTCAGCATGATGAGCGCAAACGACCGCACCATCGACGAGCCCATCGTCTGGGGCGGGCTCGTCCTTGGCGCCGTCAGCACCGTCTTCTTCTTCTACGCCGAGAAGCACCTCGCCCCGCACCCGGTGCTGCCCCTCAAGCTCATCACCCAACGGACCGGCGGCGCGGTCGCCGCCTCCAACCTCTTCCTCAGCATCGCCGCCTTTGCCACGCTCTAGTGAGTGCCGAAGCGCGTCGCTTTGCTCCCGCTACGACCGCAGCACGGAGCCTGGACCGCTGACAGCCTCCTCCCTGCTCTTCCCCTCCCGCTCCTTATCTCCGCCCCTGCAGCAACTTCCCCCTCTTTTTCCAGGCGGTCAAGCTGCAGACGGCGAGCGAGGCGGGCCTGCACCTCATCCCCAACAGCATCGGCCTCAGCCTCGGCTCGGTGCTGGCGGGCATCTACATGCGCCAGACGGGGCGCTACTACTGGTACAACTTGGTCCACGCCCTGCTCACCGTCCTGTCGATCGGCACCATCTGCTTCTTTGGGCCCCAGACGCCCGAGTGGCTGACCTACCTGGTCGTGGTGCCCAACGGCTTCGGAACGGCGGGCGTGCTGACCTGCACGCTCATCGCGCTCATCAACAGCGTGCCGCGCGCCGAGGTGGCGGTGGCCACGAGCTGCAGCTACCTCTCGCGGACGTCGGGCCAGGTGCTCGGCGTGTCGTTCAGCGGCACGCTGCTGCAGGCGCTGCTCAAGGACCAGCTGCGCAAGCGCATCCACGGCGAGGGCGCCGAGGACATCATCTCGCGCATCCGCCACCAGTCGCACATTGTCGCCGAGCTGCCCCCGCACCTGCGGCAGGCGGCCGTCGAGAGCTACTCGTTTGCGCTGCGCTGGGTGTTTGTCGGCATCGCCGTCGTCTCGCTCTGCACCGCCATCAGCAGCTCCTTTATTGAGGACAAGGTGCTGCCCGACTTTGAAAAGGCAAAGAAGCCCACCGCCGACGACCGAGAGGGCTTGGCGATCCAGGGTCGGTAGACCGTGCCTGGCGGCTCCAAGCGCGGGTGCTTGTCCTGCGTCTGGACCATATCTGTAGATAGAGCTGGTGCTGAAGAAATAGTCGCCGATACAACGCCATCTCCTGCAAGGACTGCTTCTGCTCGATGACTGGTGTTGACCGGGTTGCCGGCGACAAAGTGCCTTGACGGCAGCATACTGTAAAAGGGGCTGTTGGCGCCCACGGAGCCAAGAGAGAAACAAATTGCGCGCTAGTCGATGAGCACTCCTTGCTGGCTCGCAATCTTGAATGGTGCGGGCAGTGGGGCTGGCCGATGGCCTGTGCTGAAGGCAGGGTGACGGGGGAACAAGGAGGCCTGATGCTAGGTGATGAGCTTGAAGCCAGACTGTAACTGACCATCAGCAACCCCCACATCCCCCGGGCGCTCTTGCCGTCTCTTGAGGTGTGCTCCCAGTCTCGACCGCCTGCCTTTGGGGTCATCGTTCCGACCACCACTTGCCTGGCTCTTTCAGCACTGACCGCTGCTCCGCCCTCGCAACCGTTCAAGATGCGTTTCTGGACCGCTCCTGCCCTCCTCGGGCTTCTACTGCCAACTCCTTCGGCCCTCGCCCTCTGGCCGCAGCCGGCAGAGACGGTCAGCGGCCACGGCTTTGTCCAGGTGCCCGCTACGATGACCATCGACTTTGCAAGCTCGGTCGATCTCGCCCGCGTGCCCCACGACCTCACCGCTCAGATCGCCCAGGTGTCTCGTTCCATCCAGGAGCAGCCGATGCGTCCGCTCGAGGTGGACCGCGGCGCCTCCTGGCGGGCCTCGATTGCATCGGCGCCCAAGCTCGACAAGGTCGAGATCTCCATCGTCCAGCTGCTCGCTCGACACCCCGATACCTGCCGCGGCAACAAAGAGCGCCCTTCGAAGCGCAGCCAGGCGCCCCTGCAAGGTACCGGCGCAGCTTCGCAGCCAGGCGGCGACGACTCGCACTCCCGCTGTTCCATCAGCCACTGGGCCACCCGTACGCTCTCCACCCAAGTCGCAAACGACCGTGTCGAGATCGACGTCTCGAGGCCAGTCTCTGCCGACCTGCCGCCGCGCGAGGCCGAAGCCTACGAGCTCGACATCGACAGCGACGGCAGACCGGCGCAGATCCGCGCCTACACTGCCCTCGGCGCCCTTCGCGCGCTGAAGACGCTCCAGCAGCTCGTCTACTCCCTCGACGGCCCCGGCGCCGGCGCCGGTGACCGCCTTAGGTTTGTTCGGGATGTGCCCCTTCGGATCAAGGACCGCCCGGCATTCCCCTACCGCGGACTGCGTGAGTGTAGCGACAGATCCGGCTGATGCCATGCCGCGCCCAGCAAGGCTGACTGGGGCCGGATCGGACCCCCTCGTTTTCGTACACCCGCTCGGTGGCCAGTCCTGGACACGTCGCGCAACTTCTACTCGACGCGTGCGCTCGAGCAGCTGCTCGACGGCATGGCGCTCGTCAAGCTAAACCAGTTCCACTGGCACATCACCGACGCTCAGTCCTGGCCGCTGTCGTTCTCCAAGGGGGCGGGCGACGAGGACGGCATCGACCTCTCCCTGCTGGCGGCTCGCGGCTCGTATGGCAGCGACATGGTCTATAGCGAGGATGACGTCCGGTCGGTGATCGCCTACGCTGGCCGGCGCGGCATCAACGTCAACCTCGAAGTCGACATGCCCGCTCATCTCAAGTCGGGCGTCGAGGACATCTCCCTCGGCGGCAGCGATGCGCCTGCCGCGTCCGACGCAAAGATGATTGCGTGCTCGGACGAGGACAACTGGCCCAGCTTCGCCGCCGAGCCGCCGTCGGGCCAGCTCAACCTGCGCCCGACGAACCAGTCGACGGGGGTGCCCGAGCACATCGCGGCCTTCGCGCGCGCCGTGCTGGCGCGCACCGCCTCGCTGACGCCATCGCCCTACCTCTCGTCGGGGGGAGACGAGCCCAACCTCGGCTGCTGGCGCGCCGACAGCGAAAGGGACATTGACGAGAGCATCATGAAACCCTTCATGGGCGTCGTCACCGACGCCCTGACAAAGGCCGGCAAGAGGGGCATGGTGTGGGAGGAGATGGCCATCAAGTTTCCCGCAACGGGCGCCTCGCTGGGCGAGGGCTCGATCGTCGAGGCCTGGACGACGCCGGACAATGTCGGCGCCATCCTGTCGTCGAACCCGGGCACGCTTCTCATCCACGCCCCCTCGACCCACTTCTACCTCGACTGCGGCTTCGGCGGCTGGCTCGGCGCCAACCCGCAGGGCCAGAGCTGGTGTCCCTACGTGACGTGGCAGAAGACGTACACCTTCGACCCGTACGCCGGTACCAAGACGCAGGCGGAGCGCGCCCGCGTCCTCGGCGGCGAGTCGGCGCTGTGGTCCGAGCAGATCGACGAGACCAACCTCCAACAGCGCGCCTGGCCCCGCGCCGCCTCGGCCGCCGAGGTCTTCTGGACCGGCGCGAGCTACACCGCGGTCGGACCCGGAGACCAGGTCGGGAAGCACGAGCGCAACGGCACAGAGGCCCTCGCCAGATTCCTCGACGTCAGGGAGAGGCTCGTCTCCCTTGGCATCAACGCCGAGCCGATCCAGCCGCTCTGGTGCGTCCTGCGCAGGGGCAGGTGCAACCTGCCCACCTAGGCGCATGGGTCGGCCCGCGGGTCTGATTCGTCATCAAGGAGCCGGATCTGGTGCAAAAGCATCATGGGATTCAGTATCAATCAGGTGGGGCGGGTCACGCTTCCATGCTATCGAGGAAAAGGCCTAAGGGGGAAGGGTCGGGGAGGTATAGGTGCGACAGATTTGGTGCTGGTCTTCGCGTCTGCTGGCACGGGGTCGGTTCTGTCTTGTTGTCGTTGCGCTGCTTTACGCCTCTGCAACGCGATGCTCACTTGCTAGCTTGCTTCGGCATGCCAGTGTTTCCGTCGGTAGGCCTCAGCAGAGGGGCGGCCGGGAATCAGCTGACCCACAGGTCGAACCGGCCCTTGCCGTCGGCATCTCGACGCGTCTCGGCGCGATCGCGAGCGTTGGCACCGGCGCCTGTACCCACCACTCGGGCGCGGCTGCCGTCATGGGTGGCGTTGCGGGCGTGCCCGCGGGTCCAGTATTTGCCGTCGGCCCTTTCTCCACCCTGTGCGGCGGCGGCGGTGGTGGATGGAAAGTCGATGGCGGCGTCGAGCGAGGTCTCGAGGAGGTTGATGCGCGACAGGTCGCGGCTGTTGCGCGGCATGACGGGCGTCAAGGGCCGGCTCGCCAGCTCCTGCTCCTGCTGCTGCTCGAACCGCTCGACCTGGCGGGAGCTGGGTCGGACGACGCTGTCCGAAGCGGTCCGAGCGTGGCGGAGGTGCGAGCGGCTCGTCGAGCGCGGACGGAGCGGCGTCGTGGTCCCGCCGACCCGGTCCTGCTGCGCTCGCTCGGCCAGGATGCGACCGAGGAAGAGCTCCTTCCTCCTGGTGCGCTCGTGGACCGATCCGGCCGGGCTGACGGTAACGTCACCGCCGCCGACCAGGTAGCCCTGCGCCTGCGCTTCTGCGCGAGCTCGGATGCGAGCTGCGTCGGCCTCGGTCCCGTTGGTGATGATCGTGTCGCCGCTCAGGCACTTGGAGATCCACGGCACCACGCGACTCGCCCTCGCGGAAGAGACGCGCGGGCCAGTCGATTGTCCGCGGCCATTACCGTCCTCGAGGTGGCCTCGCTCGCGCCGCCGCGCCGCGCGGCGGTGTGCGCGCGCCCGCTCGTCGTGGTCGAGCTTGGCCACGGCCGCCTGCCGCGCGCGTCCGCCGTAGATGTAGAGCAGCACCGGCCCTGCCACGGCGACGAGCGAGGCCGAGGCAAAGATGACGGCAAAGGCCTGGAAGCTGATCGTCTCCGAGGGCGTCGTCGACGGGAGATAGAGCACGTTGGCGACCATGACTGTCAGGCCGGCCAGGACGGCGAATGCCGCCAGAGCCGTCTCGTTGGCCCACCGCTTGTCGCGCCTCGACATCGACGAGACCGTGTCGTCCGACTCGCGGCGGACCAGGCTGCGCCTTTGCGGCACCGTCGTGTAGGGATCCTCGACGGCCCCGACGTCGTTGGTCCGAGCGCCCGGCGACACGGAGGGCGGCGTCGAGGGCGGCTCCTCGCGCGCCGTCACGTCCTGGATCTTTGTGGTGCGCGCCGGGGAGAAGCTGTCCAGCGCATACTGAAGCGCGCTGACGACGACCATGATGAGGCCGGCAGTGTGCATGACGACGCCAAAGGCGGTGAAGATCCAGGCCAGGTCCATCTGCGACGTCAGCGCCAGCGTGTAGAGCGAGAGCGAAAACAGGCCGGCGCCCAGCAGCGCGCCGATCAGGACACGCTCCGTCTTGCGCTCAGCCTTGGAGGCGTCGATGTAGCCCTTTTCGTCGATGTGGAGAGTGCGCAGGTCCGGCGCTCCGTTGATGCGCGAGTCGACGACGAGGAGCGCAAACACGGCCCACAGCACGCCCACGACGCCAGAGACGGTCGAGGCGAGCGCGCCCATCGTCGGCGAGAGGCCGTGGACGTCGACAAAGACGCGGTCGATGGCCGCGTACATGAAGACGAAGACGCCCAGGAAGAAGATGGTCGTGACGCTCAGCAGCGGGAGGGTCCACGAGCTGAAGAGGACGCGGAAAGGCCGCACGCCGTCCTCGGCCAGCACCTGGGTCCACGTCGGCTCCGGTTGCGGATCGGGCGTCCAAAGCCCCTGTTCGCGACGGAGCGTCTGGACGTGGCGGCGGAAGAGGACCGAGGCATTGGTCTCGCGCGTGCAGATGCCGATGACGACAATCATGACGCCGGCAAAGGCGAGCATGGCCCAGAATTGCCACGACCACGACGCCTGGGCGATGATGAGGCGCGCGATCCACGGTCCCGCCAGCTGGCCCGTGGCCACGGCGAAGATGAGCATCATCAGGCCGACGAGGCGGGTCGTGTAGGTGTCAAAGATGTCGACCAGCGTCGCGGCGACGAGGAAGAGGACGACGCCCGCCACCTGGCCCAGCAGGTACTCGAGCACCAGCATCACGGCGACCGCGCTCGTAAAGCCGGCGATGACGCAAATGGCACCGACTATGACGAGCGTCACGAGCACGATGCGCTGGCGGCCGAAGCTGACGAGCAAGCAGCCGAGCATCAGACCGCCGGCCTGGCTGCCGTTGAAGCAGAGCATCCCGAGACCGATGAGCTTGTCCCACGGCGCGCCCGGGCGGAAGTCGGCCAGCATTTGCGGGATGGCCTCGGTGTAGCCCGAGTCGAGCGCCTGCAGCGCAAAGGCGTAGACGCCCAGCACGAGCATCTGCAACAGCTTGCGCCACAGCGGCCAGCGGTCGGGCAGAAAGTCGAGGTCGTCCGACGCGGTGCGGTCGCTGAGGCTGTCAAAGTCGGCAGGGTCGATGTCGGCTTTGGGCAGAGTCGCTGGGAGGGATCCTGGTCCGAAGCCGCCGTCCTTGAGGTTGCGGGCGATGAGCGCCGTCGGCTCGTTGCGCAGCGTGGCCTGGCTCAGGCGCCGGTCCTGCTGCCTCGGCGCTTGGGCCGCGGCGCCGTAGTCTTCCTGCGGCGCTCCGTCGACGCTCGGCCGTGCAACCTCCTTGATCGCATCGGCGTCGTCGGCCTGCTCGTCCGACGACCAGGGTCGGTGATCGGATACCAGCCGGCCGCGGAATTCCTTCTCCTGCTTCTCTTCCAGCAGGTTGTGCATCATTCCGCGCGTCACCGGCCGGCTGAGTGCGCTCTCGCCAAACGCTACCTCGCCTAGCTTGTCGACGTAGTTGCGGCCGAGCGCATCCCCGACGGTGATGTTGTTGTCGTAGATGGAGCCATCGGCGTCTTGGACAACGCCGTCGCGGATGCTGAGAGCATTGAGGCCGCCCGCCGCGACAAAGTCTTGGAACGCCTTGCGACCCATGGTGCCCTCACCCAGGTGCAGATTCATGGCACAGTCGAAGCCCGCGCGGAAGCACTGGCGGCAGGCCGGCGCATTGTGCAGACGCCCCTGGCCGTGGCCCTGTCCATCTCTCGAATGGCCGGAGCGGAACGAGACACGCGTGTTTCCAGTTCGCGGTCGGTTCTTGCCGCCAGCGGCGTGGACGTTGAGGATGGGGATGAAGCGGAAGTCGGACCTCCCGCGCGATTCGTCGGCGCGCGTGTCGGCCGTGTCGATGATGAGCTGCTGCGTCTGGCGCGTGCCGAGGTACGACTCGGAGTCCGCGTCGTCGCCATGGTCGGTGTGGCCGAGATCGCGATGGTGGGAGCGGCTGCCTTCCGACGATGGCTCCTTGGCCTCTGGAACGTCACTCGGCGGTGCGACGAGGCCTCCAGCAATCAGCTTGGGTCCCTCACGCGAGATCGACCTTCGCTTCTCGGCCTGCCGATCGCTCAGCGTCTTGGCCATGGTCGTACCGCCAGTCATGGCGGCGGCTGCGGCATTACCCACATCTTCAGCCTCGAAAGCCGTCGAGGCGGAATCGACAGAATCGCGGCGGCCACTGGGGTGTCGCTGCATCGCTTCTTGTGGGGCTTCCTTGGTTCCAAGGTCGGCGGTGGATTCGATGCCGACGAAAGCATCGCCTTGCTTCCTCTTGTCGAGCTCCTCCTTCTGCTGTTGCTGCTGCTGGTACAGAAAGAGCCGACGGTTAGCCTCGCGGAGCAGGTCAGAGTCAATATCGGGCGACCCGACATTGTTCCCCTGCCCCTGCTGCTCATCGCTGGGCTGCGCGACTCCCAGAGTGGCGCGTCTCGAGTCGTCGAATCCGCGAGCATTGCCAGAGACCTGCAAAGGCTGGCGGACGTTGGGCGACGCGACTTCCGGGTCGCCTCGTTGCTCGAAACGCGTATTGTGCGGCAACTGGGGCGCTGGTGGTGCCACCGTTGACGCAGGCAGCGCGCTGTCCGTGAGTGGAGCAAGCCGATCCTCGGCGCCAGTTCTCTGGTCGTCGTGCCCGGTGCGATCCTGCTGCTGCACCGCGGCAGCAACGGTGAGTGGCGTCGGCGAGTAGATGGGTCTTGCCGTGCCGTCCTTGCGCGACAGCAGCGTCGCCTTCGAGGTCCCAAGGACGTGCCCCCCCACGCTGAGGAGCTTGGTGTTGGACGCGCCCTCAGTGGGCCGCGCAGCGGGCGGAGCGTGCGGCAGCCGACCGAAGGTGGACTCGGTAGTCTGCGGTGGCGGCGAGCTGATAGCAGCAGGGACACCGTGCGACGCCGCTCCACCATGGCCGGAGGCGGTCGCGGCCAGCGTGGTGCCGCTTTCGGTTTGCGAGTTCGGCGAGCGGAGGCTGGCGGGCTTCGAGGAGCTTCCCAGCCTGACGGCCGAGGCCGAAATGCGCTTGAGGTTCTGCAGGTCGTTGCGTACGAGGGGCACTTGCGGACCCGCCTTCACCACCATGTCGCGCTGAGTCGGCTGCCTCCCCTCTACCTTCGCCTGAGACGTCGCGGGGCCTGCGCTCGCTTGGACTGCAGCCTTCTGCGGAACGATCGGGCCGGTGTCGGCTTCGGGAGACTTCGCCGGTGTCAGGGCGATGGCAGGCAGTGGCGCGGCCTGTGTCGCGGCAAAGGATGAAGGGTGCACGAGCCGGATTGGAATGAGCTCCACCTTGGCTCTCTCCCTTCTGGCCAGGTCGGCGGCCACGCTGCTTGCGGTAGGCGTTGGCGACGAGGCGTCGGAGCTCCACTCGGACTGCGGCTGCTGCTGGATCGCTGCGGCAGCCGTAGCCGCAGCACGCGTACGCTGCGTCACTCCAACTGCGGGGCGCATCGGCTGTCTCCCGAATGGCGAAGCGGGGCCAGCAAGCGGCGGCGTGGGTGGGATCTCTGGCTGCCTGGTCGACGATGTTCGCACATGAGCGGGCGAGGTGGCATCGCTGACCTTCCTTTGAAGCTGCGCGGTCGTCTTCTCTGAGTCTCGCTCCGGTACCGGGGTGTGCGGGTTGGGGAACTCCGCAGACGGCGTCGCGATGGGGTTCGACAGCGGCGAGAGGTACGGCCCGCGATCTTCGCTGAAGATGAAGGGCAGCGATGGTCGACTGGTCCGCTGCTCGCTGACGCGGCCTGTATCGGGATTGAAACCGCGCGGAAGCGCGCGCGACAGCGCCTCGGTCGGCACCGTCCTCGACCCATCGCGACCGAAAGCGCCCTCGGCAGCGATCGGCTCGCGGGTGTCAACCTGGGCCGAAGCATTCTGCAGGCGGCTACGCTTGTACCGCGGCGACTCGGACTCAAAGACGCCCTCGGAAACCTGGTTGAGCGATGTTATCCGCGCCACGTTGCCAGATGGGTGCCGGAGCGTCGACGGGCCTGCTCCAGGTCCAGCACTGGGTCCGGAGACCTGGTCCTCTTCGGCCACCAAGCCGGATGCGACCAGGGTCGAGGAGCGTCTCCGTCTCCCGATTGTCTGATCTAGGGCGTTTGGTGTCTGGGCCTTGGCAGCGGCCGCAGCCGCGGCGGCGGTCCTAGCCTGGAATTGCGCGGCTGAAAGCTGCCTGGAGCGCGTCGCCGTGGCAGAGGAAGCGTCGACGCCGCGCTCCCTTCGGTTGCGGGAAGAGCTGGCTTCTTTGGCCTCCTGGCTAGAGGAGGTGGGTACCATTGTACCGATGATGTTGACGCACGGGCTCGGCTCTGCTCGTTGAAGACGTTCAGGGTGAATCGAGATGCAACGGAAATCAGCGTCTCGACGACGGTCTGGGCTCCTCGACCAGCACCAACCTACCACAGAGCAGCACCCGGCGTAGGAGAGAGGGGGAAAGGGCAAAAGAAGAGGGGAAAAGGAAGTCGACGAGGGGTCCGATCCAGTCGGGCGTCGAAAAAGGGGAGGCGTTCGACGGAGGCGTCTAGCCAAAACCTTCGAGGTCGGGCGTGAGAGTTCTCGGTCTAGAGCTCTCGGTGATCGTAAAGGCTCGTTGGGGGTGGTGATGGGCGTGGTGAGAAGAACACCGTGGGCTTCGGCGGTTGTCAACGGCTGGCGTTGATCTGGCCACGGGTCGGAGCGAGTCGTTCAAGGCCGCGTCAAAAGGGCTGGGGATCGTGCGGAGAAGGGGTAGAAGGGGGTAACGTGTCGAGTCCGAGCTCGAGAAAAGGGGAGGTGCTGGGCGGAAGAAGAAGGTGCAACGCGTGGTTCGTAAAGAAGCAAGTGAAATGGGCTCTAGGCCCGTCGTTATCAAAACGTGGGGAAGGGCGTGAAAGGTGTCCCGCAAAAGGGCGGATCTGGGCCGTGTTCGAGGGTGGCGACCGGGGCGAATATGAGCAGCGAAGCCGACAGAGGCGGCAAAAGCTGGTCGGTGTCCGCGGCCGTGGCCTTGAGGAAACGGACGTGCGAAGAGAAGAACGGGTTCAAAGGAAGAAGCAGCAGCGGGAAAGAAGTGAAGATGGTGGAGCAGAAGGAAGAGCGGGACAAAGAGATGGTGGACAAAGTAGTCGTCAGCTAAAGGGGGGGCAGCCGCTGAGGGCCGCCGGGCTAGCGACGTCAGATTGGCGGGTTACATCCAGTACCTGGTGCGCCATGGTTGTCTCAGAAGCCACATGTCGGGCGAGCAGGTTACGCTATCGATAGATCTGTGACGGATCAGGGCGGGCCGGGAGCGGGGAGCGAGGGGGCAGGAAGCGCCGCGGAGGATGGTCGATCCGGGAACGGCCACGGACATGGGCACGGACACGGCAAGGGGCAGGCGCTGCCTAGGCAGGCTCGTCGGCCGTCTAGATCATCATCAGGATAGCAGAGGGATACCGACCAGAGGCGGATCGACGGACAGGGTGGCCGAGGGCTGGCTGCCATGCGTGTAGAGTTGTTGCAGAGTAGCGGATCCATTTAGGGGTGCTGGGCGCGCGCAACGAGCAGGAGCGGGGATGGATGTTGAGCTGGTTCCCACATCGAGGCAGCGGGTGCCTGTGTCAGATGCGCTGCTTGGCAGCGGGTGTGAGTGGCGCATGTGCGGGTGCAAGATGCCGGAAAGCATAGCCCGCTGGATGAGATGGGGGTTGGGTGCCAGCTAGACGGTGCTTGATATGGCTGGCCCATCGCCGGGCGGGTGGCCAGAGGCAAGGTTGAGGGGGCCAACAGCGCGGCGTGGCTTCTTGTCGGCGGAATCTGACATGTCGCGCCGCCAGACAAAGGCGCCTGGACGGTTGTTGCGTCTCGGCCGAAAAAGAAGAAAAAGGTGGCAAGGTGGGGGGGGGGGTGGGCACAGGCCGAGCCAGGAAGCCACGCCGGCCAGCCAGGCGGGTGGAGGACGTCGCCCTTCCTTCGTCGATCCAACACTTGGGCGCCGCTTTGACCCGACGGCTGGCAAGCACCTCCATCAACCAGCTACCCAATCGCGCCGACGCCGCCCTTCCAATATGGACGGCCAAACCAGCCCTCGTCCCTCAAAGCGCCAACGCCTGCAGCAGCACGCCGACGCAGCCTCACTGGCCCCAACAGACACATCCTTCTCGGGCGAGCAACCACCGCCACCGCCTCCGCCTCCGTTGCCCTCCAACGATCTCTTCGTGCCCCCGCCTCCAGAAGATCAACACGCTCCTCAGCCCCCTCCGCCGCACGACCCAGACCTCTCAGCTGCAGCCCGGATCCCCTCGCCATCAACCGCTCCACCACTGCCGCCGCCGCCACCCCCACCCGAGGATGGTGACAACGACGACGACGACGATGAGGAACACGGCGGCGCAGAGTACTGGTCCCGGCTCGCCGCACAGGAAGAGGAAAAGAAGCGCAGCCGTGCAGACAACGCCAGCGACCTCTACCTCGACACCATCGACCGCTCGCTCCTCGACTTCGACTTTGAAAAGCTCTGCTCCGTATCGCTCTCCAACATCAACGTCTACGCCTGCCTCGTCTGCGGCAAGTACTTCCAGGGACGCGGCAAGTCGAGCTACGCCTACCTCCACAGCATCGACGAGGCCCACCGCGTCTTTATGAACCTCTCCTCGGCCGAGGTCTACGTGCTCCCCGACAACTACAGCGTCACCTCGCCCGCCCTCTCCGACATCCAGTTCCTCCTCAACCCCACCTTTACCCCGCAGCAGGTCGCCCAGCTCGACGCACCCGACGCCCGCCCCTCGCTCGACCTCGAGGCAAAGCCCTACCTGCCCGGCTTCGTCGGCCTCAACAACATCCACAAAAACGACCACATGAACGTCGTCATCCAGGCCCTCGCCCACGTCAAGCCGTTGCGCGACTTTTTCATCCGCGGAGGTCCCAGGCTGCCCGGCCAGAGCCACCTGCGCGGCAATGCCCTGGCGACAACATCGGGCGGCCCCGGTGCGCGCTGACGACTGCCAACGGCACACCAGGGGGACTAGG